ACTATGTAGCTCCAATAAACCCAATGTAGGGGGAACGAATACTACATTGTGCAGTATATATCATGTGTTATTATATATACGGTAGTGCAGCACACTCTAAATTATACTTATATTAGCTACCTTCACCTTCAGTTAGGTTAAGCTAATGTTAGCCTTTTTAGTGCTGCCGCTACATATTCAACATGATTTTTCTTTGTCGTGATTATAAACTCACTCGACAGTGGCGTCAGTAATCTATTATTAAGTTGTTGCGGGATGGAGCTATCAATATATCATTGCGGGATGAACCTATCGTTAGATCATAACCTTGGTCATTATCCCTCTTATAATATATTTCCGACAGTTCTAACATAATTTCTATCAATGATCGTTTAGGTAACAAATCAATTACTTGGCAATCGTTGAGGTAATCAGTTTACTACTTAACAATCGTTTAGGTAACAAGAAGAAATGAAATATCGGTAAAATAAATGATATATAAAGACAAAGAATTCTGAACTTACATTCTAAGTTAGATTCTATTCGTTCTATAAATTATATACAATAAATAATGACTTACAAATAAAAGAGAAATATAACAATTATATTTTGCTTACCTAACATTAAAACTCAAGCTACGCCATTCACCTCAATGCCCAACACCTTAAATAATGAAAGAATATAAGTCTAACCACAGTATGTCTGCTTCAGCTCAATTACTATCTTACACATTTTGGAATACACCAACATTGATGTATCCTTCAATTAATATTGGAAGTTGTAAGGAATGCAACTTTAATCTCTATTGTAAAATATAAAAACAAATGCAACTTATAGAGAAACTATAAAAAGATACACTTTTCCTTTTCTTGGATTATAATAGTATTAACTGCAATAATATACACCAAATATGCAAAAAATGCCATGAATAACATGTAAACTCTTGGCATTACTTCTTTAAAATAGTAACAACATCCTCATCTTCTAGAGTGTGTGACAGACCAACATATTGGGGTTGATGTTTAACACTACTACCATATACCAGAGCATTTCTAAATTCGTCAACAAGCGATTTATGGATTTGGTTACAGAAGTCTTTGACACTACAACGGTCTGATCTTAAAACAACGGGGTCTGTGAAATCAGGTATTCTACCTTTAGGTTTGGTGTATACACGAACTAAATTCAATCTATCCCACATAACTTGTAATAGTTCATCTAGGTTCCATTCTCTTTCTGACGATATTGGAACGGCGTTAGGGATTCTGTACAACAGTTCTAGTTCCTCCAGAGATAGAGAGTCAATCTTATTCAACACGTAAACTGCAGGCATGTATCTTCTTGAAGGTGCTTCTAAGACATCAATTAAATCATCAACAGTAGCGTCACATCTAATAGCAATCTCTGCACTGTTAATTCTATATTCACTCATAACAGCCCTGATCTCGTCATGATCTAAATGTGTTAATGGGACAGTGTTAGTAATGGAGATACCACCTCTTTCTTTTTTCTTAATGATAATATCTGGCGGAGTTTTGTTTAATCTGATACCAACACCTTCTAATTCCTTTTCGATAATTTGTTTGTGATTAAGTGGCTTGTTGACATCTAAAATAATAAAAAGTAAATTACATGTTCTTGCAACAGCAATAACTTGCTTACCACGACCTCTACCATCTTTGGCACCGTCGATAATACCCGGTAAATCAAGCATTTGAATCTTGGCACCTTTATAACGAATAACACCAGGAACTGTGACTAAAGTTGTAAACTCATATGCAGCAACTTCAGATTCAGTACCTGTTAGCTTTGACAAAAGGGTAGATTTACCCACGGATGGGAACCCAACAAAACCTACACTTGCAACACCTGTTCTTGCAACATCGAAGCCTACACCCGCACCACCTCCACTACCAGATGATGCTGCGGTCAAAAGCTCTCTTCTAAGTTTGGCGAGCTTAGCTTTCAGTTGACCCAAATGAAAAGAAGTGGCCTTATTCTTTTGAGTACGGGCCATTTCCTCTTCAATGGTCTTGATCTTTTCAACTGTAGTAGACATATTTTCTGATTTACGTGGTTACTTCTATTTGAACAATGTTAACAACTTTAAACACAATTACAAGCAATTGTTTATAATCTCCTTCTTTCTTATACCTGCCATGTTATAATATCAAAAATTGTTCCAATATATTCAAATTTCAGCAAAAATCCAACGAAGGTCATCGACAAATTCTTTATTTTTTTTCGCTATAATTTTTTTTTCAACAACTACAAGCGAAATAAACTTCACAACGTTTAAAACGATATTTCAATTGGATAATTTCATAATCACATGCGTCCATTTTAGACCAAGCCTTTCATAAATCAACTAGATCTAGTCTTAAAGATATGGTATTATATTATTTTTACTTTTTCAAAAATACACATTTTATGTTAATTATTCTATATTCTAATGTACATGCTTATATAATTAGTGATTGACATTTCAATTATCATATAGCACACAGTAGATCTATTTCCCTTTATAGAACTATTGCTTTTGTGATATTATCGATACGCACCACATTTAATTAATATACTATTTTTATCCTATATTATGAGGAATTAATTCAACAATAGTTACATTAGGTTCTCGCTGGAACCTTGGCTAAAACGTCAAACGAACCAGTACCACCACCATTTAGTTTACCTAAAACAATTCTTGCAGATGGAGATTCTAGCTCTTCACGATCATTATCCAGAACTGCCTTAGTCAAAAATTGACAGGTAGTCTCGTATGACATCTTCATCAAAGACGAAGTGGAAGTTTCCATACCTTGTCTGTTGAAGGCCAAGTATGACCCTTGTCTTGTCATCATATCAGCGATTAAATCTAAATGACGGAAAGAGACAGAAATAGCATAACGGGAGAAAACGTTATTGATTTCATAAACAATCGTGTTTCTGGCAGCTTCTACACCGTAGGTCTTTAAGACGGAAGCGATATCATTGGATCTAACACCATCTACATCAATGAAATCCTCTTGTTCCCACATTGCTTGGAAATTTACACCTTCGGTAACTAAGACACGCTTACCATTTTCTGGTTCTGGATGAACACAACGGTCAATATGGGCGACTTGCCTAATAACACTCTTTCTACAGATATTTTCAACAATGTTAACCATCAACAACTTTTCAGTGTCTGCAGCTAGTTCTAATCTGAATTCACACCATTTACCTTCGGTATCATCAAAGTTGTACTTAGTAATAAATCTGTGGTTCGATACAATAGCAGATTGTCTGTCACGTTGTGTCTTGCTCATATTCTTGTTAGCTTCATCAATGGCTCTAGACAAAACGCCTTCCATACCATCACTATCTTCATTATCAGATTCGGAATCACTACTACTCGAGTCCATATCAGAATCCAAGTCTTCCTCGTCAGATGACTTTTCAGCTTGTCTCATAGTTTCAATTTCATCTTCATCCGGGTCATCGTAAGAAACGGCTTGTTTCGTCTTCTTGTGAGCTTCCTGTTCGTCATTATCTTCTTCAAGCTTCTTGGATGATTCTGAATATTCTTGAACCTTTGGTACAGCAACACCCACATCCGGTAGAGCAGTCTTCTTTTGTTTTCTAATTTCCTTGATAATAGCAGCTTCCAAAGCATGTAGGAAAGTTTCAGATACAACATCTTGTAATTCTTCCTTGGAGACATCGTATTCTTCGCTATATTCATCAAAATCAAAGAACTTCATGTTAATAGCATATGCACGAGCATTGGTGTTATTAGCAGTGGAACCACTTGTTTCAGTAACAGTAACCTTGTCGATGACTTCTGATAGGACAACTTTAGAGATAGATTTACAGAAGGTGTCTGCATTATCATCAGAAACATCCTTCAGGATTGGAAGAGTCATTTGTGGAGTTTTGATAGCAGCAGAGGCGGTCATAATAATTTCTCTCATACGAGGAATACCTAAGGTAACATTAGCAGCACCGTGACCAGCAAAATGGAAAGTGTTTAATGTCATTTGAGTAGATGGTTCACCAACGGATTGAGAGGCAATGATACCAACAGCCTCACCTGGGTTTATTAGAGAACGCATATATTTCAGTTGCATTAAAGCTCTGAATTTCTTCTCACTAATATTATCTTTCGACTTAAATAGTTTGGAGTTCTCATCTAGGAAACCCTCTAATTTATCTTGGAAGTTTTCAGATACGGAACCAAGGTATTTAGCTGGGTTGAATTTAGCCAATACAGGATCATATTTGGTGGATTGCTCATAGTGTGGTTCTTTCTCGTGTTTTCTTCTGTTCTTTAGAGATTTCTTGGAGTATTTTAAGGCAGTTTCAACATCAAGATGTTCAACTAATGCAGCTGGGTCGTACTTCTTCAAGAAGGCGTCATAGTTATCAACACAGAAATTGAACTTTGTCATGTGAGATTCTTTTGTTACATCGACAGCATCACCACCGTATAAGAATTGAATCAAAGTACCATCAGCATCTCGAACACTATTATCATATGAAACGTGAACACCTTCTAGTTGTTTGGTTAAACAACGTTGTAAGTAACCAGATCTGGATGTTTTAACAGCTGTATCAATTAAACCTTCACGACCAGCCATACAATGGAAATAATATTCTTGTGGTCTGATACCGGAGTAGAAACGACCCTTCACATAACCACCAGCTCTAGCATCGGTTTCATAAGGTTTGAAAGATGGTAAAGTCTTACCACTGACCATAACTGGTACTCTTCTCCCTTCTAAGGCTTGTTGACCTAATAGACACATAATTTGAGAAACATTGACATTAGAACCTTTAGCACCAGAAAGAGCCATAGATTGCATAGAGTTTTCCGGGAATTTCTTCATAGTACCACCTGGAACACATTTTGCAACAACCTTAGAGGCGATACCATTCACCTTAGAAGAGGTAACAGCATCTAGAATACCAGATTTGTTATCATCACGAAGAATTTCTTCCAAACGTTTCAACAGTTCTGGATCATTTGCGGCAGTATCAGCTGGTAAGTTTGTAACTTCAGCAGCGGCTTCACGACCTGTATCAACAGAGGTCTTCAAAATATCAGATCTCCATTTGTTACCTTCGTCAGTCAGACGTAAATCGTCCATACCACAAGTAAATGCCGTTGCTGTAATATAGTTGGTAAACAGTCTCCCTAGAACAGAAAGAGTTTTGGCTGCAATGGATGGACCATAAACTTCATGCAAGGAATGAATAATACCATATTTAGTCGAACCATATTGGGATTTATCTAAAATACCACACAGAAGTTCACCATCCTTAAACAAAACAGTGTTTTCTTCAGAGTGTTTACTCCAGTACTCGTTTTTAATCTTGTTGGAAGAAGTCAAATTTATACCTGGCATATCAGCTGGGGTAACATTCAATAGAACTGTGGTGATAATTTGCTTACCAGTCCAAAGTGGGACTGGTTTCATGATAGCTGGAGGAACTGAGACAATTTTTGGTCTGGTTGAGTGACCATCTTCAGGACGGATACAACCATAAACATATTGTTGATATTGTTCTCTTGTAAAGAAACTATCCTTATTAGTTAACCACACACCAGCAGAAATATGATCTTGAATCAAACCTCTAACTGGAGAACCAGAAGTGGGTGTCAAATATTGAGAATCGGTGTTAGCCAGGTTAAAAGCCTCTGCTCTAGCGTTTTCGTTTTGAGGGAAATGCATATTCATTTCATCACCATCGAAATCGGCGTTATAAGCACCAGTGTTAGCATAATGTAGACGAAGGGTCTTTTCACCTGGTAGAACTCTAACCTTGTGACCCATCATAGAAGCCTTATGCAAAGTTGGTTGACGGTTCATGATTACAATATCTCTGTTCTTAATATGACGGTAAACCTTCTTATTGATGGTGTGCGTAGCAGCATTTTGAGATGATGGTGTCATCAGTTGGTTTGCTAAAGCTTTACGTTGTTCTAAAGACATACCGATCAGAGAGACCAAAGAACCGTCTTCGTTTTGAATTTGTAACGCACCAGGCCATTTATCTGGACCATTGATAACAGCTTGACGCAATTCGGCAATATTGTATGCAGTAACTGGTTCTGGGTATGTCAACTTGGTAGCGAAAACAGGTGGAACACCGATTTCATCAGTTTCGATATTTGGATCTGGAGAAATAACAGAACGGGCAGCATAGTTAACACGCTTACCCATCATATGTTTCCTGAATAAACCTTCCTTCTTTTCTAAAGCTTGTTTGACACCTGGAACTGGAAGCTTACCACCATTGTTACCTTGAACTTTTGTAGAATCTATGAATCCGTTAACATCATTTTGGATGGTGACAAAAGCGTTCATCAATCTACTGAAAATGATTCTTCTATCTTCTAAAGAAACTTTATCCTTTTCCAATTTGGACATTTCATCGTTCAAGTCTCTAATTAATAAAGATGTAGTTAAAATCTTGGACAAAAGTTGATTTTGACTGTTTTCATGAATTTCTTCACCTAGTTTAGAAGGTAAACGGAATCTAGTTGGAGGAACAACGACTACATCCATGAAAAATAAGTTAGCAGAAACATATTTCTTAGATAAATTTGGTTTGGCATGGAATACGTATTGAAGAACTTGTTGTTCCTTTCTAAAGACAGAATTCAAAATATTTCTAATTTCAGTAGATAAGATGTAAGTAGAACCGGTCTTTGGTCTTGAGTCTGGATTTCTCCCAACATCGAAGTCTGGTTCATCATTAGTAGTATCTTCACCATTCAATTTCTTAGCTTGTTGTTGTTTCTTGATCATATCTTGACGAATGAAACCCTTAACTCTGTTATTAGTTAGTTGCTTGTCCGTTAAAGCTGTTTCAAAAATCTTAGTGAAACCGTCCTTTCTGAACTTTGGTGAAAACATACCACAGTTATCACACTTTGGTCTAGATAACAATCTCTTATGGAAATCATGGATCAATTTCTTTCTCTCGTCACTAACGGTAGCGGTAAATGTACCTCTCTCATTAGTCTTACCACAAGAGATAGCCTTGGCGATGCAAATGTTTACAAACTCTGTACGTTTGTCCTTCAATTCTCTTACTAATTTAGCTGGGTCAATCTTCGAAGAAAATTTTTTCTTTGGTTCATCATCTTCTTCCATAGCGTTATCTTCCTCAGCTTCATCAAAATCTTCAATGAAATCTTGCAAATCGCCAACAGTAATTTCATCTAATTGATATGATTCGTCAATTAAACCATATTGCAATAATTTCAATTTCATAGCATACTTGTGGATCTCCACAGACTTCAAACGGAAATGGTGACAGTATAGACAAGAACTTCTCAAATAGATGTACAATTGGTTAAAGAAAAGTGGACTGTAACATGGCACAGGTAATTCAATGTGACCTAAATGACCAGGACAGAATTTTTCATCCAAACCACAAGTGGTACATAAGTTTCTCAAAAATGCACCAAGTGATAGATCGTATAGACCACCAGATATTGGATGGCCTAAATTGTCGAGGACAGTTGGGTTTGTAATCTGTTTGGCAGAAAGCGATCTAATGTCCTTAGAGGACAAGACGCTGAAATCAACAGAAGTGATTTCGGAACCGACAGGTTTACTGATATCCATGAGTAATAATATAGTGCAATGTCTCTTATCAGGTTCTTAGTTCTCTGAGTCTCAAAAGAGTAATGGCTAATTGTTGTCTTAAACCTGTAATTCTAATTTGCGATGAGGTAGGGAAATAGTTTTTACTACGCAAAATAAAATTGGTGAAATCAGCAAATCTAAAAAGAGAACAGAAAACGTTCGTTGTGATCCTTTCTTGTTCGTTCAATAGAGAGCCACAGACACAGAAAAAATAGGTAAATTGTCTTAGTGATCTTTGTTTCTGTATATTTAAACAAAATAAAAGTACTTACTGTTGTAAGTTAATTAAATCTATCTCATCTCTCCTCCTTAGTTAGTAACATTTAGAACTGCAGCGCTAATTTTGCTCATCGCAGAATTTTATTTTTTTTTTGAAAATTTTTTTCAGATCGTGTTGAACGGCGTTGTGGATCCGGGTTACAGCATCGCGATATTTTTGGCTTTTGTTTACAGGAAAAGAGAGATTTCGATTTGTTTACATATTTAGAAACCAGTTTCGTAAACTTGAAAGAGGGGCATTGTATAGGTAAGAAGTTAGGCGAAGCACATCAGGTTGATGGTAATTAGGCAACTGTAATATAAAATAATGTCTGCCCCTAATTTGCAGTCGACAGCGCTATTAACGGAGCATTTAGAATACCCTCCCATATCTCTGTTAGATGATATAATTAATAATGTCAATGATATTATGTATAAATGTACTGCTGCAATGGAGAAATATTTATTAAGGAAAAGTAATATTGAAGGCGTGGATTACACAGAAGAAATACGAGTAGGAATTGCCAAATTGGAGACTTTATTAGAGCATACTGTTGACAAAAATTTTGATAAACTGGAATTATATGTATTAAGAAACATATTGATGATTCCTCCTGAATTATTGGAATCTCATGTATTTTTATTGAAACATCAAAGTGGGTTAGATGTTGAATGGTTAATTCGTGATGGAATCGATCCTGATGACTCAGAGTTACTGAAAGAAAAAATGACAGAATTTGAAGAAAAACTATTGAGAAATCAATTGTTACGAAATCAAATTAAGCAAGTGAAACAATTACAAATAGATGTTAAAAATTTTAGATTATTTATTGAAAAATCATTAAATGAAATAATTGATAACGGGATCATTGATAACAATGTCCCTTTTAAAGATATGTTTCGATCTTTACGACCTATTGATGAGTCCATGAGATTTTTAGTGTCTCAATTAAAACAATTATATACTGATAGTGAGGATAATTGTTCAACGCAAATGGTTCAATCATTACTCGATAATACCACTATAAATTCAAATACGGCTAGGGACAGCAACCATAATAAAATACTGTCACGGACGCAATATATCGATACTGTCGCCAATAGCGTTCTAGAATCACGGTCAACTATCCCTAAAAAGGCTTACCGTCGTACTTTTACTAATGATAACATTCAAATTAAAGATCCAGATCTAAGTTTATTTAACGAATTATAACTATTAAAATTTTAATAATAATGTATAGTGAATATATTTTGAAAAAATGCCATCAAAAAATGCCTTTTTACTTATAAATATTTTGTGAAATTAGAATCTTTTAACCAACCGACTTTTTCAAAAGCTGCAAATAATCTTGAAGCCTTATTGACATCAATTCTACAAGCCTTTTGAGCGTCAGTTCTTCTAAATTGCATACCTTTCTTTAACCTATAAACTTTTTCCAAAAACAATCTTCTCTTTGAGTCCAAATATAAATCACATGGTAACCTCAAGATTTGTGCTAATACCAATTCGGCTGGATGTAAATGATCCTTTAATGGATCCCTTGATAAATCCATTGGAGAACCTTTCCATTCAATCTTCAAAGCTTTCAAATTATCATTTGGTATTGAGCTTAAAGGTGGGGAATAATCCTTTAATTTATTCCACGACATGTTAGGAACGTACTGTGGTACTTCTGTCACAGCTGTTGATGAAGCTAAATGTTGAGCATGATTAATAGCACTAGCAATTGGTCTTTGAGTATTAGCATGACTATACCCAGTAGAATAACGCATTCTCTTGGTTGATTTGCTTTTGTTGTGAGTATGACGATGTTGTAATGTCATTACTCTTAGAGGAATAACCCCTTCTGTACCACTAGGAGATAACATCATATTATTCTTTCTGGTTCTAAACATATATTGCGGTGTAGTTTCAAAGTTACTTGTTTTTGTAACGTTATTCTTTAACATGTTAGAAAATTTATATTCTTGTAAAAATTTTCTGGTTGAATGAATATATTGTTTTGTAGTAGTATTTTGTACCCAAACAGGTTTAACCATTAGTTCAACCTTTTTTTCATTGGAATTAGTCTTGATAGTGGTAGTAGTATTGTTAGGTTTATAGAATAAAGAGTCTAAATTAAGAGAAAGTTTTCTTTCATCCTTTTCACCATCCAAATTATTTAATTTTGGAGATAATGGAGGTGAAGGGAAAGTCATACCAGTACTTGTTAAATTACTAGTATCTGAATCACTTCCGTAATTCTTCTTTGAGACAGGAACAAATCCTGGAAAATCCATTTCGTATACACTTGGTGAGCTTCTTGCACTGATTTGATTTTTATAAATCTTTTGATTAGTCATATTTTATTATAGTAATTGTTGTTATTGTTGATAATATTAGTATCAATTGGGAAAACAAGAACTAAAATAAACAACAATTAAATTATTTAAAAAATAAAATATATAATCAATTGAGTTTACCGGTTCCTTTATAAATAAGACAGATAAAAATAACTCTAGGAAAAACAATCAAAACTCAATTGATATTGCCAGTTTGTATTACTAATAAATAATATTAATATTAATAATATTTCTCATTCCATCACGGACTTCCGTCTTCGCCTCCCCCTCTCTCCTCTCAATTCTACTGCCACTTCCTCTGGCTCCTTCCCCATTGTCCAATCAAACAATAAATAGAGCAAGACAAAGAATCTCTCATTTATCGTAATTGTTATTGTTATTGTTATTATCGATAAATTTATTGAATTTTAATTGAACAATTCAAGGGTCCATATGGTACTAAACCGACGTAGAACCAAGAAGAAAAAAGCAACTGAGTGGGAGTGAATGTTGATCACCGGCCAGACACATACACCCAGAAGCCCCTGTACCACTGTCACAAATTAAGTCCCTCTCTCCTCATTCTTTACCCCTTAAATAACCGTGATTTTTCTGTCTCGGCAAACAGTTCTCTGCTGCACTTTCTGAGAACAATGAACGATTAACACCCAGTTTTTTTGGTTTTTGCTTTGCACAGCCTCTTCCCAATGCGCTGCCACAGACACAGCCGCAGTGTTAATTCTGACATTCTCCGTTCGAACCTCGAAAAAGAAACTTAGCACCAAGCTCCTCAGAAACAGCTGCACAACTACAAAAAAGACGGCCCATATTATATTAGGGCTTTGAAATAGGGCTTTTTACTTTTGAAAAGCCCTGTATCGCTGTGTACGAGTGAGATATTATACTTATTCAATTAATACTTCATATGTCAAAAAGAGAACTAACCATGATTCCGCCCGTTATAAAAAACATAATTTGAATATTTCTATGTAGTTCAATTATTTTGAGTTGATTTCCTATTTATGACACTTCTTTATCTCAATTCTATATTACCGTTATGTATGTATGAGAAATTCAAACTAAGAAAAATTTTCTGTTTCGCCCTCACATTTTAAGAGAACATTTTCCCGAAGTAAGCTTAAGAAAGAGTATTTCAATTGGACATCGATAATATAATAAAGTAAAACAGCTATTATTAATAGCTTCATATTCAAGTTCTAACTATCAAACAAATCAATTATAGAATAATAATAAAAAGAATAATGGTTAGATTGAAAAGTAGGTACGTTTTATTTGAGGTGATATATCCTCCAAAGGAATTGTCGTCAAAGGGTTCTTTGGAAAATCCAATATTATTAGGTCATAAATCTTCACCTGAAGTAATCTCAGGGAAATTAATCTTGCAAGAGATACGACGTTCTTTACAATTGCATCTAGGAGACTACGGTTATGGGAAAGTTAACTCTTTATTACAATTGAAATATTTCTCTAATAATACCTCAACTGGTATACTACGATGTCATCGCGAAGATGTAGATTTATTATTAGTTGCTTTGTTTTATATCAATAGATTGAATAATAATGACAATGATATTAATTTTATAATCAATCCAGTTAAGATTAGTGGAACAATTAAAAAAATTGAACAATATGCAATGGTTAGAAGTAATAGATTATTAGAATCATTAAAAAAAAAAAATACTAATAAAGATAAATTTAAAGTCTTCCTTTCAAATGATTTTCAAAATGTACGTGAGGACCACGATAACGATAATATCGAGTAATCGAATATATATTATATGTGTATATCAAGATATATAACTATATATATATATTTCAATACTATTCACTCATTTTTTGTAAACCTGGTTTATTTGCTTTACGTTTTTCATCTTCCTTGGTGATTGCTTTTGTAAATTCAATAGGCCCACGTTTCATATTACCTGTCTCTTTGTTTACTTTGGACATAACGTCACTTTGACCACTTTCTGTTTCAATTTGTTCATCCAATTTGTTATAATCCGTTCTATATATTGACTCAATATCCTGTTGGGCAAACAACGGGTTATCATAGAGTTGTTCTCCATGTTGTTTAGCGCTAGATTGTGCACCTTTCATATATAGACGTGAATCATAGTTTAACTCCGGAACAGTGGTGGCTTTTGCAGTTCCAAGAATAACTTTCTCACTAATATCTCTGCCTTCTTGCTTAGCAATATTACGAAGCTTTTGAAGAAGTATTCCTGTCGGTTTCTTGGTATTGTTATTCATACTATTCTCATGAGATGGACCTGTTGGTTTTTCAATCCGTAATGGCTCATGACCACTACCATTGTAACGTCTTCTGTTTGCTAATTCTTTTAGCTTTGCCTCTTTTTCAGATACTTCTTTTTCATAAGCAATACGTTTGGCTTTGTTCTTCTCTTGTAGGCGTTGTTTAGCTTGACGATCTGCAATTTCTAAAGCTTCAGATAATTCACTAAATCCATCATTTATATCTTTAATTTCACCCCCTTCGCTACTTCCTGTAACTCTATCCACTGTGAACCCATTAGGGTTTTTCCACTGCGATATAAAAGCAGGTATCTTCCATTTAGAACGTTCTTCTGCAGTAATAGCTTTACTTGAATTTGCCGTGGATGAAAGATCGTGTAAAATAGTGGTTGGACCTTTATCCTGGTCAACATTAGGTGTATATATTTTACCCGTTCTCTTGAAACGGGATGGTTGTAAAGGATCCTGTACAGGAGTGACAACTTTGACTGAATGGTTGCCAATCTTCATTGTTGTAGCTTCTATTTCCTTCCCAACTGTGTTATCACTTGATTTTATATCATCTCTTTGTAATCGTTGTAGAAATGAAAGAGTCTTCTCTTTTGTTTCTCTGATTGAATCGGAGGTTGGTAGTGGTATTTCCATATCGAAATTACGTTGTCTTAATGGTATAAAATCTTCAAATTTAACATTAGAGGCTATTTGGCGGTGAATTATATCTATCTGATCAGAAATGTCCTCTTTTTTATTATTGTTCCCACCTTTCAGTAATGCATTTACCTTTGATTCCTCTATATTTCGATTCCTTTGATTTTGTGGATTCCCATTCCCTGAATGAATAGGTGGTGGAAGCAATGAACTGAACGACATGCTTTCAAGTTGATAGTACCGAAATTTAGAATGTTCAGAAATTGCAAAAAAATTTAACGATGTATATCGACAGTATATCTAGAATTTCTGTTCCTGCTATTGTCTATATATATTTACGTTCTTTGTTGTTGAAGTCGATGTGATGAGATTTACTTGTTTTATACGTATAATTTTCATTTTATTTATTATTATACGGGGAATCACAGGGCGAATAATATATAATGTAACATAATTACCAAATCAAGAGATGAAGATCGAAAAAAATATAAGTATATATATTCTGGATATCTATATATGGCCAATTAAGTTTTTCTAGTATTAGGTTTATTTATCATGATCTGAGAGAATTACGTATTTTTGAAGCAAATTTACGGCCAATTGTCTCCTTAAATGGGTTGTTTAACTCACCATCCGCATTGAAAAACATCGTAGATCTTCTATTGGAAGTTTGGTTATCAGGTATGGCATTATCGAAGTTCTCGGTAGTATTTTCCTGGTAATTTTCCCTCAAACTTGTTCTAAATGCAACACCTTCTTGAGTAAGTCTATTTCTTAGCAGTCTGATTTGTGGAGGTGCAGGAGGATAGTGTAGCTGGGCAGGTTTTTTATACCAACCTTTTCTCCTAGGTTTTGGGTCCTCATTCGGAGACATTGGAGGAACCCCTGTAAATCTAACTTTCTTTATTAGTTCTATTCCCTCCTGTTCAGTAACTGTATTATCTTCGACGTTTCCGGAAGAAGAAAATTGCAATGCTTCTGGTTTATTTCGTATAGCAACACTAACATCATTTTCGATATAAATATCAGGTATCACTTCTTGAGATAAGTTTGATCTCTTTCTAGTCAAAGGAGATGTCATAGGAACTCCCAAATTCGATTTAGAAGGTGTGTTGGGATTCCTTTCTTGGTTAATTCCGTTTACAATCTGTTGTTTCGAAGCACTTCCACTTCGGCTACGATTTTGTCTTATGAGGGGTGGCGACTTCATAGTCTTTGCACTTTTGGCATGTCCATCTATCTTCATAGACTTCTTTGCCGCATCCTGAATTATTAACCTGTTGAGTGCACCTGATGTTTCTAACGAATTTGAACGTAAATTATTAAGAGGTTGTGGATCTGGGCTACTCATAGCACTTATTCTAGTCTTACCCTTTGAAAAAGAAGATTGTAAGGAGGTAGATCTTGGTCTTCCTCTAACTGCAGCTTTCCTTGTTTGTTTACCGTTCGTAGAGCTTTCAAGTCGTGATGGAGAATGGTATCCATCAGTCTCGACAAAATATTGAGAATTTCTTGCTGTAGCTATAATTGATGACCTTCTCGATATTTGAGGTGAAATTATTCCATGGGAACCAATTGATAGTTCGTTATTATGACGAGGACTACTGGTCTTACTCAAGGGGGACATGGCTAAGGTGTATGTTCTTGAACCTTTGTCCATAGATGCCCTCCGACTTAATGAGATTGGAGATTTTGTTCCGTTTACATTCAATTGGGAGCCTGTATTTGAGCTCGATGAACTTTTGGAATGGTAAAATTTCTTTTTCAAATCAATGGGGGTAATCTCCTCATTACTCATGTTTAAAGAACTTAACAAAGGCGTCACATTGGCAGAGGGTGTTTTTGAAGAAGTTGAACTAGAAGATATATATAATATTGTCTCTTTATTCCCCTTGGTTTTCAGTATCGTCTTTGTTTTCTCTGTATATGCCAGTTGGTCAACTGATCGTTTCTCATTTAGCATTTTATTAATTTGGTTAACCCCCATTCCATCAAAACTATCCCTGAGGTGCAAATTTTCAGTTATTGTTTTCCAGTGTTCTTGTAATTTAATAATTGTGAGTAGTTGTGACCGTATGAAGTGTATGGTGCGATTAATGCTGTCGTTGTATAACACTGTAAATGTATCAGATGAATTCGTCTTCTCATATTTTATGCCGTTCTTCGATAATTCTTCCAGAATAGACACTATGTCATTGAATTTTTGGTTTTCCTTACTAGTATACAAATTGTCTAGGTTACTCAGCAAATCCTCAAATTCAAATAAGTTTCCTGTTAGCAGTTTTGTTATTGGATCAAGGAAGTAAGTTCGATTAGTTAGATATATCTCTCTCGACATAGACCTGATGATACAAGATACTGAATAACTTCTAAACATCAGCGCATATATTCTATGTAAACCAAATCTAAAATGGGGTAATATTTCGGTGGCCTCATTTTGGTTGTTATTAGTTTCATTCTTCGAAAAAATATTGTTGTATTTTTGTAATTTGATGTAGAATGATCGCAATGGAGGAAATACTTTTTTATTCATATGTGTATTAAATTTTGTCAACACTTGATATTGTAACTTTAAAAAAGATTTTTGGGACGTATCCTTTTCTCTATCATTGATCAGTACTGCTAGATCCAGAGATAAAGCCAATTCATTTGGTTTTATTATGTCTTCAACAGAAGTAAAATCAAAACTACCGTTATTAAATTGTTTTTCCTTAAAATCAGATACTTCATATGGTCTATTTATTGTACTGTTCCTTTCGAGAAGTAGTTGTCTTACCTTCTTATTATATATCGTGATAGAATAATTTGATATTCTTTTCAAGCAATCAAACAATTCCCATTGTTTTTCGATACTATATACATTTTCACGTAAGCCTTGGTAATCTTCAGCCCCAATTATTTCAGAAAGGGAATAACGGAGTTCAATTAAATGGGTCGACAATTGTGTACCTATATCATTTGTTTTACAAATCTTATGTTCACATAGCAATTTATATCTCTTGCGAATGATTTGGGATACGTTAAAAGTTGGTCCATCGCATATTATTAAGATATAATTTATCAGAGGAATGATTTTATTTCTTTCGTCATTTTTAAGATTTTTCTCTAAAATACTAAGTAATCGTTGTAATTCTTGTAGTTTAAATAATGCAGTTTTATATTGAATTATCTTAACATCATATGTATCTAGTGTCATAGGTGCCTTCAGACTTCCTGTTGCAGCTAGAGCTGCAGCTTTAGTATGCATGTACTGCTGTTGGTGATTAGCTGATAGGTTGGAGTATCTGTTGAGAAACGTATATTATAGTGATACGCTTCTATTCAGAGTTAGTTAACTTTGGTACCGAAACTTTAATTTAAATATAAAAAGTAAAGCACTGCTACCTATTTGTTAAGTTATATGATGCTGTGATGTGTTGTGTTGTGTTTTAATAACCGTACTAATGGATATATATTGCAGATATGCTGCTCCTCGTAAATTCTGATGATTTAAAACTCAACAATAAATTTGGAAAGATCGTATACGAACTGAATTAAAATGATTGCGCAATTGCTCCAAATAAATTCCCTCGATAATTATTATTTGAATTGGCTTAATTATTGAGTTGCATCAATGGATAGAGTTTATACTCATGAATAAGGGCAACAAGTACCTCTTCTAATATCGCAGTTCGTTGTTGATCTTACTTAATAGCCACATTTAAGAAGTATCGCGTTTATGCAGGGAAGTCAGAAAAAATAATAGACAAACGAGCCTCGCACAACTAATGCAACTGTGGAAGGTATAAAGGAAGGAAATCTAACTGAAGTAATCAAGATCGATTTGAAAGTATGTCTATGTTATTGGTGTGCTGAATAATGATTATGTATCTATAAATGAAATGAAAAAAGTGATAAATAGTATAGCAACATTCAAAGAAGTCTATAAGATTTGCAACTTTGTATGAAGCTAAAGTTAGAATTATTGTGCAATAGTAATAATCTTATGAACGACAGGAGTAACTTTGGCTAAATCAATGATCTCGAAGAGAGCATGTGCAGCCACAGGAGAGGGTGGAACAGATAACTCTTTGAATACTTTAAAGGGATCTGGTAGTGTCTTGGTATCCTCAGAGAAAGTTACGGTTTCCTTAGCTCTTCCAATTTTCTTAATAAGGTTAGAAAGATAGTTCAAAACATCAGAAGACATATGTGGCTCATATTCTGTTGGTTTGTATTTCTTTAAGATAGTTTGGATTTGTGTGACATTTAGAGAATGGCAAACTTCGATGACGAAGTTAATGTCATATACACTGGAAATTCTTAATTGTAATAATTTAGAGATTTGTTTTAACAAAGGCAATGGCTCATTTTCAACAACGCCAAGGATGGGATGTGCTTCGCGCCATTCAATAATTTCATTGATATTTTGATCTATTCTTACACCGGTTTTCCAGGAAAGATTATGGAATTTGTTCAATAGGTCATTGAAACAAGTATAATCAATACATGATAAAATGTTGGAGATTATCGTGCTAGCCACTTCTTGAGGAAGGCCACCCGTGTTGATATTCTTGCGAATGTTTTCCAAATAATCAATTATCTTGGTAAGATTCTTGTCACCCTCACCTTGGGTGTCTTGGTTTACGGTTACCGATGGAGATCCGAGGAGAGTTCTGGATAGCATGAACTGGTGGCCTAACACTTGCATAACTCTCTTTAACCAGATATCAAAACAATGAGACAATAAAGTCTTGTATTCGGCTTCTATTTTGTGGATGGCCATAGCTCTGTTGCCGTTTTCATTTTGTTTAATGGAGGTCAGGTTTACGTAAATATGATAAATGTTAGAGACCCAAAACATACCGTAAGATACCAAATCATCCCTTCTAAAAGTTGAATAGACTTCGAATATAGAACTTACATTCTCTTTGACAAAAGAGATGGCATCATTATATTTTCCTATTTTGAAATATGATTCCAGGACAGAATTTGTAATATTGGCTAGGATTGGTGACTTCGAAATTTCGTCATCGTCACGAACAAGATCACCTATGTTCTGTAGAATGATTCTGATTTCCTGGTTGACAATATTCAAATCATTTAGCATCGTACTTAAGTCATGTAATTCGTTAAATCCAATCTTTGGAGAATTGGCGATAGGAGATGCAATTCCTAAGCCAATAACTTCTCTCTTTGGGCTCTTACTCGAAGCGTTCCCCTTAGTTAACACAGTTTTTAAGTTATCGATTTCTTTAGTCATTTGGTTTAATTGTTTATTCAAGTTGGAATTTTCAGTACAAGAACTAGTTTGTTGTTTAAATTGTTTGATTTCTTGCATTAACGTTTCCTTCCAATTGGTGTATCCTGTCACTAAGGATTGGATCTTAATTACTTGAGCGTCTAATTCCTTGTTTTTTATTGCAAGATCTTCATTCGTTTGTTCATAATCAGGGATCGAAGTTAGTAAATCCTTTAAGCCATTCTTTTCATATCCAGTTAGAAGGTTGATTAGTTCACTATCGTGTTTCAATGCAAAATGAACCTTCTCCATTAATGCGGTAAAGGCTCTTTCCATTTTAGTTTGTTCAGAGTTAGTAGAATTGTATTGCTGTTTCAAAATAGTCAACTTATTTTGGGCAAGAGCTTTTCTAATGTGGCACTGTATAGTCAACGTACTTTTCTTCAAACACATGTGATATCTTTGAGTCATTGTTGACCTGATCTTGGTTTGTATTTTTGTAATTGCTTGTTCTTGTCTAATCTGTTCAACCTTTAATTTTGCCAATTTTTGTCTCACTGACGATTGTACCCTTAAGGTACTCTGCAAAACATTAATGTAATAGTGAAATTGTCTACGTCCTCTGAGGGTAGATTGAATCAGGATAGAGGCTCTAGTCTTCAACTCAAAGTCAACAAAATCACGTACTATTTTACCTCTTGCGCAAGCTTGAGAATAATTGATAGATTTTACAGTATTTAAATAATCCCTTCTGCAATTTAATCCTCTAATGTTCTTTTGGATCACTGTACAGACCTTAGCAAGTTTTCTTGTTCTTGCATTTTCTAAACGAGCCAATATTCCTGCTTTGAAGAAAACTTTAGTAGTACCAACTTGGTAATTCATTTCGTCATCTATCAATTCCTTTAGTAAATCTTTGGAAAATGTAATCTTACTTTCATCGTTAACGGATTCATCACTCGTTATTGGAAGCCATTTCTCGATAGAAGAAAGTATATAAAATCTTTCAATAAAATCCATAAAGGTCCATCTGGATGGAAACCCAGCACAAGATATTCTAATTGTCTCCAAAATACCGCATGCTCTTAATTGGGACAGAACTAGTAAATTATCAAAGCCCCATGCATTCTTTTCCGTATTTGGTTTGATACATCTGATATAATGAACGTTTGTTGATTCAATTGTTTTCATTAATTCTACTAAAGAGGCCTTGAACATGGATCCCAATGTTGGTTTCTTCTTTGTATTCCTTCTAAATATAGCACCTGGCATTTTGTCTTCTTCCTGTTTTTGTTCTGCTATTTGTTCTTGTTTTTGTACCAAGTGGTCCAGGATTAACTTTAGTGAATTGTTTGTTGTCTTCTGTAAGACTTCGAATTGACCATCAGACACAGTATCTCTATTTTTTTCTATAAACCCTTCGACATCGTATGTGACATCGTTAGCATAGTGACGAACGACAAATTTTGTTTGACCAAATCGTGGTTTGTTAAAGACCGAATTGGTAGGAGGTTTATCTAAACATTGATACAACTTTTCTGCCCAAGTCTCATCTGAACCAGCAGGTAATCTAGATTCTTCATCTAATAAGGATAAAATGCCGAGTTTGTTTTCAATTAAATCTATGCAAGGTTGGTTATCATTAAAATCAATAAATGACCACTCAATTTTTTCACGAACGTACTCTTCTTGTTCTAATTTGAATACATGCTGATTGAATTCTTGTTGTAGCTTTTCATTAGCATAATTGATACAGAATTGTTCAAAAGAATTCCTTTCGAAATGTTCAAAACCATAAATGTCTAGGACACCGATAAAAGATTTCACAGTCTCATTAACTGATTCACCATTTCCATTTCTTAATGTAATATTGATCCTATGGACAATCATATCAAATAATGCAGAATATATAAATTTAGCCACAGAATCCTTTGTGACGATTGCTTGTGAGTAATTTAAATTTGAGACAATTTTTTCTGAACGTGTATTAATTTGTTTCTTGATAATCCATTTAGCAAAACCTACATTATCGATACCTAGCAACTGACAGGCAATACTCAAATTGGATTCATCTGAGGACAAAGTTGCATCGTTTCTTGTCTTGGTAATTTTGATATTACCAATATGTAATAGAGCGGCCAATATTTGGAATATATCAGTTTGCATCTCAGTCGTTATACCAATTTTCTCTAATGCTTCCTTTGTATTTTGAAAATCTACTTTATCATCGACACCCTTTATAGAATAGTCATTCCCATTAGAACCCTGATTCATATAGTGGAAGTCTTTGACATCAGATAGTTGCCACCTAGTCTTTGTCTCCGAATCAAGACCTGCCATCATTTGATAAAAAATATGATAGTTACGTTCAGATTCTTGTTGGAACACCAATCTTGATCTTTCTAAAAGGTAAGTTCTAATTTTAGCACCTACAATCCTAGATTCTTCACTAAACATAATCTCAAGGTACTTACCGAACCTTGAAGAATTATCATTTCTGGTGGTTTTAGCGTTACCAAATGCCTCAAGGATAGGATTTGTAGCTAAAATCTTCTCCTCAATCTCAGTCATACTAGATTGTTCTCTAGCCAATCCATCATGGGATATCTGAGGTTCGATACATGCAAAATATCTCATTATATATTTTGCAGACACAGTCTTCCCTGCACCAGACTCACCACTGACAACAATAGTTTGATTTTCTCCATCATTGATCATACGTGTATAAGCTTCTCCTGCAATGGCGAAAATATGAGGTTCTAACTGATCCCTATGTTTGGTCCTTGCATATTTCAATATCATCTCTTGTGAATATAATTCGTCAACTTTGTCGAATGGATTAGTTGCAATCAACACAATACCTGAATAAGTATAAATATTTCCTTCCGAATATCGACTCTTAATGGCGTGTAAGACGGCAGGTTCATTTAAATAAGAAAGGGAGGTCAAGTCGTGAGTACTTTCAAGCATCGACGGATTCCTTAATACGGGTAATTCTTCTTGTTGTGGTGGTAGTGATCCATTCTTTATAGTCGATATAGTATCTATACTAGATAATCTTTCCAGATCAGATGGTGATTGTTGGGTTTCTATTTCTATCAACTGCTCTGTTCCTTCCAGTTTTAATTTTAGATGGTATACTCCATCGTTTTGTGACACATTTGTCACTTGGGCAGCTACCCAACCATGATCTTTACTTGGGTACCAACACCTCGTACCTACATCAAACGACATTACTTATAGATAAACTCGTTGGATGTCTATTGAAAAAAGGTCTCTGATCTCTTTATTGTTCTATAGTAACGCTAATAAGAACAAAAATTATCAATAAAATAGATCCCATAAATACTTTGTGCAATGTGTTTAATTTGCCAAAAAATGGTGTGATCAAAACGACTTCTGTTGTGTTTCTCGAAGCTATCATCGACCCACTAAGCACTAAGAACAACGTAAACAATCGTAGTACCTGTAAACAAAAAACAAAAACAAACCGCCTACGCTCGCCTCTTTACGATGATAGATAGTAAGCAAAGACGACAAACAAACAAACAAAAATGGGTTAGCCATACCCTAATTAGGGTGTAACGCATACGAAAAGAAGCGAACAGTCAATAACTTTCAATAAATGTCCCATGTATGTTTCATATATCTGTAACAGGTAGAATGGTATCCTACTTGTAGTAAACTGGATAATAAATCTTAGCTAACGGCAAATACTACTCGACCCATTAAGATATAAATGTTTTTTCATCTGAATCATAAAAATATTAAGCTCAAAATGTGTATTGAACAGGAACAGTACTTATCATAATATCATCAACCGTCTTTATTTCGGTGAATAGGTCATCAAGCTTTTAGAAAACTAGATAAACTCATTAAGGATTAGGTATTTAAATTGCATATAACTCTAGAGGTTACAACAGGTGTCACCAGTTTTAAAAATTAATAAAATCGGAAGGCGAATCCCTGTAAAGAGAAGGTCAAGTGATGGTCTTCTCTTTATTGGTTCATCTTGGTCTTTAAAATAAAGAAACTTATCGTTGTTCCTTTTGCCGCCGAAGTCAAGAGAGGTTCTGATATGTGGTGTGGAGGTGTTAGGGTTTGAAAATATATTGAAAATGCATTACCCAGCCACGTCCCAAACCCTATCACTCCGAACGAACATTGTGTGCTTCCACCCCCGCCTTTATTTTACGTAATCACTGTGATAAATAAAGGAACTTGATTTAAGGTCATCTCTAAAGGAAGAATAAGAACAAACAAAGTTTTAAATGTATGATATCCGTTATAATTTTCCTCTAAAATTTTAGACTGGAACAATATAGTTATACACTCAATTGTTATGAGTAGATTAATACAGCGTATGGAGGATCATCAGAATGATAATATATCCTCTTTGAAGAAAGCGTTTATACGGCCATCGGAAAGTCAATCAAACAGTAATCTTGGTGGCTCGAAAGTTCCAAGGATAGAAATCAATAATAAGTTGTCAGATGTTGCATCTATATCCCGGTTTGAACCAATATCGGCGATTAATATGCAGGAAAGGGAAAGAAGGCATGCACATCATAAAAGAGCAAGGGTAGGAAATCCTGATTATACATCTGCTACTACAGGCACCTTCAGTGATTGTATGTTTGATGTGAGGGATTCAAGCCGAACTATTGGGGGTATCCCAAATAGTAATGGTAGTGGCAATCCAAATGGCTCAAGCTCTCTCGCATCACCATCACCTGGTGATAATGGTAGTGCTAGTGGAGACGTATTGAATAGAGATATTGACATCAGTGACATTTCATTGGGGAATTATGTGTTCAGACATCGTCCAATGGTTATTTCGGGTGAAAATGATAGTACGTTGCCAAATGGTAGACTAGGTTCCTCTTTAAATAAAAAAGTACATAGGCATAACAAGTCGAGGGCTGAAGATAATCCACGATCTGCTTCATTCAATAGTGATAAGAAGAGATTGGTAAACGAGTTTCTAGAGTCGATGGCACCGCCAACGGCCTCCACTACAAAGATGTCCAACATTTTATTCCCATCAAATAATTCGACATCTACGACGAATGCGGTAGGTAAAGGTAACATGAATGAAATTACACCAGTATACTCAAATGACTCTGATAAGTCTCTGCAAAGTCTTCTATATCATGATTTGGAACAATCACCTACTAGAAATGATAATAATTCACCTTCTTCGCAAAGACTCTCACCTGTATCAAAATTATCTTCAGAGACCACAGGAACAGATTCCTCTGATGATAGTGATACTTCGTCGTTTTCAAGTGTTTCATCATTTCAATCATTGACTAATAGGAATGTATCTATCCAGAATACGTCTAGTTTATTACTTGACCATGAAGATGCCGATTATTATCAACATCATATTGCATATGCCTTGAATAATATTGAGACAATCATGAAAGTGAATTTACGTGAAAGTGCAATGAAAAGAGAGAACGATTTCCAGAAAGGTTTGAAAGATTTTGATGCTGTGCATACGGAACTAGAGGCTTTGAAAAACCGTGTCCTTAGACTAAAGGATATTGTCAGTAACAAATATTTAATCGAATTAGAGAGAGATTTTGAGGAATCTGATCCAGCTTCCTATCAATCAAAATTGAAACAATCTGTTGGAGCTAGCGTGGCAGATCTGGAGTCCATAGAGAAAAGAATGAACCATTGCAAGACAAAATTAGAGCAACAGAAGGAAGTAATTAAAAGAATGGATAGTCTGTTGTTTGTCGAGAACTCATTGATATCATCAAGGGAGAGTATGGGTATGTTTACAAAATATAAATATGTCATTTACGACTTTATTACTGTAATTGTAATAATCATTTTAGCAATATTCTTTAACAAGCAATTGAATAAGCCGATTCCTTTACCTCATTCCTTTACAAATACAAATCAAACCATATAGCATTATAAAATTAATAACGACTAATGATATTATATTAAACTCCTTATATAAGACAATTTACATACTTTATTAAATTTAATATAATATATTCAAGTTACATTCGAAAACTTATATTTTTTGCATAGTAACTCGGTATTTAGATAAATATTAGTTTGAAACCGAATTTTAAACACTGTTAACGATACCTGAAAATATAAAAACAAACGGAAATATAGTTTCATTTGCTAAACACATACGTAGAGGAAGTAAAACCAAACCAAACAAGCACATACATTTGCATATCTTCTAAACTAAATGGTCGTTAGTTTAGCCACCTTGAAGATTTCTGATAATATAGCAATACAACTAAGAATATTTGTTAATAGGAAACAAATACTTCAAAACAATGATAAAGTTACAACATTGTTCGAGGCACCATTACTTTCCAACAACTCCATCGTTTCTTTAAAGTCTCTTAACACCGGCATATATCTTTCTAATACAGATATGAATAGTCTGTGTGATGAGATTAAAGAGGAAATTCGTCTTATTCTCTATGATTTGGTATCACCGAACATATCCAAAACCGTTTTACAAAAAATAAGGATTGGCCAAAAGATAGATTTCCAGACTAAAGTTTTGCAACCTATAAGGGATAGCTTAGACCCAACTTCAGACAGCTTCATAAAATCTGGTATACTCTCAATTAGTCGGGTATCAAGGTTTAAGTATATGCTTCATTATGAGTCTAAATGGAAGTTGGATATATTTGTGGAAAACATAGCAAAACTAGCAAGTATACGGCAGTTGTTAATCTTTAAATATTCTTTAGCTATGAATGTTCCCCATAAGAGGCGTATGCTTATAATGGAAAGGTTTAGTTCTCCGCCAAATAGAGCAATAGTTGCCGATAACAGTGATGATGACGTTGATTTGGGAATTGAAGAAAGTACCGAGGACGTTAAACCTGAAATTAAGTTTAGGTATAAACCAGTCAGGAATTTAGGTCCAATCTTAGACATACATATTTTAGAACGTCCAAGACGACACAATTGATGGCGTAACGCAGTTTTCAAATATAATTAATCTGTTGTTTAATTATGTACATACATATATTTATAAATTTGCGGTAATTGGATAAAATACGTTGAATCGTTATTAATTTTGTTATATATTACATAAATTAACTTTTTTATATATCAAAAAGGTCTTTCTGAGTGGTCGTATCTGCAAATGGATTATCTGGTAATGATATATTATCTACAACTTCGTAATTTCCTGTCAATGTGTCATTGTTGACTGCATTATCGCCAAACACATTGGTCGAAGCATCTGCCAATTCGCCGAACTTACCTCTCTTAAGTGTAGTATCATACATCCTGATAATCTTCTCCTGGCCACCTTCTTCAGCTTGGGAAAATGCAAACCCTCTTTGTTTCTTCATTCTTTGTACCTGTCTCACTTTACGAATAGCATCCTGGAAATGTTGGATGTGTGGTCTGTAATCATTGATGTTGTATTTCTGCATTTCTTGAACAAGATGGTATGTTTCTGGTACGTACATTCTTCTATAATATTTCCATGCAAAGTCTCTTAATAGAGCAAATATTGGTAAAACTAATAAAGTCAACCAAAAGACACCCGATCTATAGGTATGTGGAACTACTCCGAAATATTCTCTCGAAATACTTGCGTATGGAAAAATAGAACCATATATTGGGAAGAAAACCAGCCAAAATATAAATGACCCTGGAATTGCTAAAAAGGTGAACTTTGTCCATTGATTAGTGATTAGTGCGGCTTTACCTAGCACAATTAAAATACTTGTGGTATAAATGGAAACACCCCAAGTCCAGTGATCCGCAACTTCACCATGCATGTTCAAGGCAGATCCATATCTGTAAAATAGAATGGTGCCAATAAACACAACGGCAGAATGGTAAAAACCATTGATAATCCAAGACCAAAAAATAGTAACAGAGAAGAATTGGCCCTTTTGACCAAGCTTGTATAATTGAGGGTAACGTTCTAAAAGTCTACTACTAACAAATTGATCAAATACACCCATCACAAATGGAGGTAAGACTGTAAAGAATAAATTATAAAAACTCATAGTCCATGACTCCATTATTGATTGACCTGAAAACCCATTTGCAAAAACATACCAAAATTGTGTCATATAAAGAGCTGTATTTTTGTAAAATGAGTACAAAATAGCCATTGATATTCTTTGATATGACCATGAACCGTGAACAATCAACAATTTTTTCAAGAATTTAAATTGGCCAATAGCAATATCTGCTGAACGAGCAGCTTGCATACCTTCCATACCACTTATACCTACACCAACGTGAGCAGCTTGGATCATGCTAACATCATTTGCACCGTCACCAATTGCGAGTAATAGCGAAGAAGTTTTTCTTTTGACCATCTTCACCACCAATGCTTTCTGTAGGGGGGACACACGACAACAAATGACAGCTTTGCAGAGTTTACCAACATATAGCAGATAATCTTCTAGATCTTGTTCAAGTGCGAAACCCAACGATTTACCATCAATAACAAGAGCCAATGTGTCTCTTTCATGTTCCGATATATCATGCTCATGTAATGCATTGATCTTTTCCATCAAATTATTTCTTGTATCTTCTTTTGTTTCTTCATTGACGATTAATAAGTTCATATCTTCAGCTAATAGACGACAACTCATACCAATATTAATTGCAGTTTCTTGCCTATCACCAGTCAATACCCAAATCTTAATGCCAGCTTGTTGAAGTGTGTGGATTGTATCAGGAACCTCGTCTTGTAGTTTATCCTCAATTGCCGTAGCACCGATCATTGTCAAATCTTTCTCTATCAATTCAGCTGCTGCATCCAGTTTGTCACTTCTATTTTCCATAGTGGTAGCAGCTTCGTCGTATGTTACTTTCCAACTAGTATATTCTTGCTCTGGGATGTCACGGTACGCTAAGCATAATGTTCTTAAACCTTCTGATGCGTAGTCTTCCAAATGTCTAGTGGTCAGTTCAACATACGTATTATTTGGGCCCAGTCTTTCTAATATGACAGTATCAGCACCTTTACATAATAATTTTATTGAACCATCTGGGAACCTGAAAATTGCACTCATCCTCTTTCTAGTAGAATTAAATTCACAAATATTCAGTAATTCGAATTGTTTCTCCTCACCAGAATCTATCAAAACTGTAACAGAATTTGGCTTTCTAATAATGAACTTGTAACCAAGATCAGAAGCCCCTTGAACCAAGGCTCCTTCATCCGGTGAAGCAGCTTGGTATTTAATTTGTCCATTACCAATGTCTTCTGGAATGACCGTATGGCAAATAGCTAACAATGTCAAAAACATATCGATCGTGTGAGCTTCTTCTGCATCATTACCATCATGTAAACGTTTCTTCATATCCTCAAAACTACGATAACCAATTTCAATGCCATCTTCTATGCTTGCTTTTCTATCCTCAGGTATGGTTTCGATATAACAATGACCTGCAATAGAGCATGATTTATATTCCATGATGTTTCTTGTAAGGGTACCAGTTTTGTCACTAAATATATATTCGATTTGTCCAAGTTCTTCAACTAGGGAGGAGGTACGGACGACAGTTGGTGTATCAGTTTCTTCATAGTATAAATCTAAATCTGAACCTATCATGAAGGCTTGGTAATATTTGATTAATTCTACTGTGACAAATAATGAAATAGGGACTAGATTAGAAAACAAAATCCAGAAAGTTAGAAAATCCTTGAAGAAGAGACCAACTTTACTAGTCCCTTCTAGGTACAAATAAGATAAATTTTTTGAGGCACTACTCATAATGACGTTACCAATTGAAGAAATTAAAATTAGCACTATAAGAACACCGAACAATGCGATAATCTGCATATTTATAACCCTCTCCACAGCAGTCCTCTTGATAGGAGTAGCAGTTGCATTACGCATTAGTTTCGTTTCATGGCCAGTGAAAATGACTAGCCCAGTTATCCATGCTGTATTTCTCAAGGTTGCCCCTCTCAAAATCATCTGCTCTGGTGATAGTGGGATTTTTTGGTTACCTAGTTCCATGGTACCTTCGTAGGTATATAAACTTGAGTTTGGTTGTTCAGAGAGAATTTTACCGTTTAGAGATTTTAGTTGTCTAGAGTCAATAAAATTTGATGTTTCTGTTTTCGATTGTTTTATTTTCAAATTGGTTTCACCATCAAGGTTCGCAGTCTCTATGTAACATAGCCCCTCCGGTTCAGATGACGACAGGATAATCAGGTCTGCGGGAATTGCTTCTTCGGAATTTACTTTTATAATATCACCTACTTTAATGTCAATCCATCTTTTTTTAATAAATTCACCATCATTATAAATCTCGACACTTGAATTGTTCAACTCTTTATCTGAAGTGGCTCTCTTGGTATCTTCAATGATTTCTTTCATTGCGGAGACAATTAACACGCACATTAAAGTAAGGATTGTTGTATATCTGTTAGTTGGTGAAACATTTGGAACTTGTTGAATTGCAGAAGTGCATAGAAAGAATAAGTTGGCGTACTTTGAGAACTCCTGAAATAAAAATTTTGGAAGGAAAGTAGCGACATTATACTTGGTTGTTGAAATATGATTATCGCAATAGGAAAATTCACCATTTGATTGTCTGTCATTCATGTTAATAATTCTTGGTTTTGTTGCATCAATGGAATCTGAAATATTTTTCCTGAGAATATATTTATTGAATAAAATTTTGATATTAAATTGATCCCTAGAATTGGTATAACTATCATCAAAGTCTGAAGTAGTCACGGAATTGTAAGTATTGTTCTGGGATACAGATGCAGACTTTCTACCAAACAATCTTGAAAAGAATCCATTTTTATGAGTGCTCGAAAAGTCTGGTTCATGGACATCCAGATGGTTTGTATCCCAATCAACAGTGCGCTGATCGTTAAATGGGTTTTCATCATTTATAATGTTGTCACTTTTGTCAAAATTAATTGTCTCTTCCGGCATAACATGGTCTCGATTGATGTTGGATATACTCTCATCATCTGTGACTCTGAATGGTTTGGTCGTAGGGGCGCTGTTCATAGGTTCGGGACTCACGAAGTCGATGTCAAATAGCGTATCATCCGCCTTCTTTTGAGGATGATTGTCGCTTCCCATGCTTCTAAGTTATATTTAGTTAGCTAGCAGTAATGATAACGTATCTCAAATATGTATTTAAGTGTACTTTGGTACCTTTATGTGATTCTTATTGGTATAAGGCTTTTACACTACTTAATATTTTCACTCTTCATATCAAAATTGTTAAAAATAAAAGGCTGATAATTTTAATCACGACGTTTCTATATGTATTATATAATTTTTTGTGCGCCTAATCAACAGGGCGCATGTGAGACAATGAAGAGGACAATTGGAAACCTAGCCTCATAATCAAAGAGCAACAAGAACAGAATGGTTTATTTAATTAACGTTTTATTATAGAGGTAATATTACTCCATATGCAAATATATGTATATATAAGAATGTATGATTTATATAAAAAAAAGTTCGTGATATACTTATGTTATTGTCTTTGAAGGCGTGGTAAATATGTTTGGTTGTGGGACGGGTCCCAAAAGTTGTCCTAGAGATTTAGACCGTTGTTTAAACGTTCGATCTCGTCATCCGTTAGTGCCGAAATGTATACACATTTGCTTAATAGTTCATGATCTGGCTTAACTTTATAGAATTTCGACCATTGTGATAATTGTATAAAGTGTTTCACAATTTGGACGTTCATGTCAAACTTATTGTAATTAATAATTTTATTTTCTTTTATCCAACTTTTCTTCTCGGAATTTATAGCTAAATCAGATAGATAAATAGCCACAAATGGGATACATCCAGCCAATGGATCGATTTCACTTAAAAGATGTCTAATGGCATTGTAGTTACCATCTAGATTGCAGATCTTCTTTAATTCTTCCCAGGTTAGTAAATCTCCAGGTTCAATTAATCTCCATGCATCGATCATCTTCTGCACAGTGGTAGAATTCAATGCAAGGACAATTGCCATTAAAGTGTTGTAGTTTTGGAATTTTCTGCAGTGCTCTGCAACATGAATGAATCTCTGGATAGTATTTCTTCTCATCTTAATATCTTGAGTTAGTGATATTTCAGATACAATCCAAGTTACTGTTAAATTAAAACGTGCAACCATCAAATCAATCCCAGATAACGATTCATTCTCTATTAATAATTGTAACCAACTCGTTACCATTGGACCACCATATTCTATATTCAAATCTAATAGGTCTTTCCAATCAATTTCTTTTAGTAGTTCTTTTTCAATTAAAGTTAACTGTTCAGCGACAGACTTGGAGTCATACATCAAAATAAAAGGAATATGGTGTTGGCTATTGGTTATCTCTAAGTTTGGATCTTCAATAGAATAGGATTTCATTAAATTCTGCAGTTTCGTCATTTCTGACTCGCCTAGGACATCACGAGAATCAATAGTTTGAACGTCCTGAGGTTCTGGAGTAAATGGTATAGTCATTATTGTCTTTCTTCTTCTTTCAATTAATAACGATCTACGTTTTTCACCTGGAGTTCTTGGCATGGAGACAATTTGTTCCAAATTTAAAAGTCCGACTTCTTTACTTACCGTAGATACATTAGGGGAGCTCTGCATTTTTAGTTGCGTTTCCTCTTTACTATATTTCCCTTCTAACTTCAACATGGCAACGTTAACTGGATCATCGTGAATAGAATCATCCGGCATGTCAGCAATATCCTTTAAATTTGTAGGATTTAAGTCCTTTTTCATATTTGCTTGCATTACAGCTATATCAGTTTCTGTTGTTACATCTCTAGCCGAGCTTATTTCAGTCTTGGATGGACTATTCGAACTTGACTGTAAGAACTTATTCTTTAGTTCTTCCATATCCTTTTCTGGGGATGCAGCATTTATACTGTCATTATCAGGGGAAAAGAAGTATTTGTTACCATTATTAGATTCAGCTAATGAGCTTCGATGCACTTTATCATTTTGAAATTCTTCTCTCAAGTTATTTAGCACTTTATGACGTAATGGACTCTGTGTCGATATAGACATACTGCTTGAGAATGAGCCTTCACTCTGGATAGAATTCATACTTGGAGCTATCGATAACCTGATCCTACCACCTTCATCGATCTTTATTTTCTTTGGGCTGTTATGGACAGAGTTAAATAATCTACTTGTTGAAACACTAGGTGTATAGGAATTTCTGTTTATGACTTCTTCCAATTTTGTCAGTTTTAATTCATTTTCAAATAATGCGTTATCTTTTTGCAAAAAATCGTTATCTTTTAATAACGATAAAGACTTTCTCATCGGAGATTTAATACTTGAGATTCCATCTGAGAGTGGAGTATGTACTGTTCTTCTTTTCATTATACTAATTCTTCCACTAGCTGGTCTCATGGCCATTTTCTTTGTGGAAGGTAAGGGGGAAATGAAATCAGAATTATTGTTTTCAATTTCTATTGAGTGTAATGGTTTTACTTCATCGGTATCCTCGAGCAAGCTGTCCGTGTCTCCATTCTGGGACAACGAAACGGAAATCATATCATCATTAAGTTGATCACTGCTTTCAGAGTTCTCTTTTTCATCCTCATCTTCAAAGGTAAATTCTCTCAAATTATCGACACTTTCTTTCTTGGATAAACCTTTACTCATTTGCGGTACCAATTCCCTTACGAGGCCTGGTGTACTTTCTTCTGATCTCTCAGATAATGCATTGCTTAACCCTGGTGATGTTGCTGATAGTTCGGAATCATATGTTACAGAGGATATACGTGATTCAACCCGATAGTAGTCTACTGGATCAGAGCTTTCAGTTCCATTTGGAAGTAAATGTTTTAAAGGTGAACCATTCGGTTGCTGATCATTACTAACCCCATGAGCAGTGGTACCATCTCCATCGAGGAAAATTAATCTCTGTGGACCAGTAACACTATCCTGATCGAAATTTGGATTAACAAGACCACTGTTACTAGTATTAAGGATTGCTGCTGTAGTACTCTTAATTTTTCTTCTATCGAACGAAGGTGATAAATATGGGAAAGCCTCAGTGTTATTGCTATTCTTATTACTTGAACCTCTCATTAAATGGCTATCATTAGATTTTTGTAAAGTGTTTGATAAAGATATGACAGATTTCGCAATGGTGTTTACTGTTTGATATAAATCGAGATTATCTAGAGCGCTAAATTCAATATTTTGTTTGCGTACATTTTGATTGGTCATGTGGGTCATGATATCATAGTCGTTGTCATTACAATGTAGCTCTTTCACTTCTTGAATCATTTTATTCTCTAAAGAAACCAAATATTCTACTTCATCGATTGTTCTTGCACTTAAAATATCGAATTTGGCAAATCCATTAATATTTTTAAATTCTTCATCATTAGAGTTTTCGTGATCTAATGAAGTAATTGATATCACGTATTTTACAAAAGTATCCATTTCAGGTTTCTCATACATTTCAGAGTCTTGATTTGAATGATTATGCTTCCATTTAGCCAAAAGTGATAAAGCACCTTTATAAAATATTGTGGAAGTACGAGATAAATTTCGTGAAAGTGAAGATGATCTTTGAATCGAGTGTTTAGGTTTATTTATTTCCAAATTTTTAGACTCAGGAACATATAAGGAATTCAAGATAAATTCTACTTTTTTAGCAGGCGTTGGCGGTATAATTCTATTGATCTCTGGAGATTTGGGATAATCGACATCTTTAATCACTTTTGACATTCTTTGAACTAAAGTCATATGTTTTTCTTTCTTTAAATCAGGTTCATTTTTCATTGTCGGTATAATATTTATTGTTTGAATATTAGAATTATCATTAGGATATAACAATAATGAACCTGTTCTTTTCGTTTCAGTATTATCAATTTTATTCTCTTTACTGTAATTATTATTATTATTCGTATAATCTGTATTTATTGGATCTGTCTTATATAATGATAATACACTTTCATTCCGGAATTCTGGACTTGATGAACCTTTAATAGCCATAAAGCTTAATCTACTTGATCTTTTTTGTTCTTTAGCCAATTGTAAAACGTCTTTCAATTGAAATAGTAACCAATCTCCATTGGCAGGGCCATCGAATATTATATTGTCCCACGATTGTTTCGATTTCATAATCCAAATTTTTTTCAAATTTATAATAGATTGTTGAACAATTTTTGGTAATGCAGTAAAATCATCATTTAAAAATTGAAGAACTAATAATCTTAAAGGTTTGTTATTAATAAAATCTTGTAAAAAATTGTTTAATAAAGAATGCCTTATTAGGACAAACGTTCTAACTAATGAAATTTCACCAATTTTAGTTTGTGTATTATCTTGAGATATTGTTTCAATATATGACCATTTAAATCTAGAGATTAATAATTCATGTAATTTCAATGGTGTAATGAAATTCCTATAAATTAAGAAGAAATCAGAAAATGCGGAATAATCCACCGGATCAATTGGTGATGAAAGATATACAATTAAAGCATAAATATCTGAATTCAACAAACGTTTACGTCTTGTAGATGAATTTTTTTCATCTATCAGCGTACTACTTCTTGATTGGTGTGAATATGTAATGACATTTGATGATGGAGACGGGTAATAATCCGGCTGACTGAAGATATTCATTCAGTAATGTTATGTTGTGTGTATTAAAAAAAAATGAATATATATATATATTGGTATCTGATTCCTGTTGTATTGCTTCTTGAACTTCTTCTTTTACTCTCCTTGAGATAATGAGATTAGACTAGTGCGGTTAAATAAATATGGTATATGTGGGTGCTAGGTTAATCTAATAACGTATATGTCTACTTTTCAATTTAAATATATATTTGTTTGTTTTTTATTGATGATGATCTATGTAAACAGATGATGATTTCTTTATTTATTTTTAATTCTAATTTTATTTATTTTCTTGATTTGGTTTTTCGCCCATTGCTTTGTTCTTCTTCACCTTCTTGCCACATTGTCTACAATAACTCGGAGAGAGAGCAAGCCCCAATGAAAAAACCTAATATATGGAGAGAGCGCGATGAATTTCCTAATTTTGCGTGTTCATGAAATTCGCAATATGTCAATAATAACAATATATTGTGTGCCATTTGTTCTAATTATTGCAAGAGGAAACAAAACGCGTTTTTTATCCACCGCGTGAATTTGTGCGTCGTGAATACGTGATTTGGCACGCATATTATGTTTTATAACGAAGTGATATTACATCTCCATGATAATTCGCAAGAAAACGCGTAATTTGAGAGTCATATAAATTTGGGGAAGGGAGACTCACGTGGTTTAGGTGTCTGGCACCGATGATTACAGGCGTCAGTATATGTAAAAAACTATCTAATTCTCGAGAAGCAATAGATTTCTTTAATTGTTAGAGACAAATAATATATATATATATATATATATTATTAGTAATGATTCCATGAAAAAATGAGAAGGTTCAATCATTGATTCAATTATGTAGAAAAGGTCTTTCCTATATTTTATTACATTTATATCTAGTTACTTGCTAAATTTGACTCGATATCAGGCAATTGAAAGGCTATAATATTCAGTTTATGGAAATTACTTTAAATCGGAGTATCATGGTCAGCTATACTTATATATATATATATAAGTATATTAATATTAATATTTCATCCCACACTTTCAAGAAATTATATAATGTTACATACACGTATTATTGATATACAACTATCGGGAAGTCAATTGAGGTTTGTTCCGGTGGTGGGGGCCCTCGTTTCTATAGTCATCGGGAAATGACGGTTAAGATATAACGGAATATGGATGTTCGTTAAAGCGACACCGGAATATAAATTATTAGCACGCAAATTTGGGAGAAAGTTTTCTCACTTTTTGCTTTATTTTGCCTTTTTGGTTGTGGCGCGACAACATTTCCTTTCACACAATTTTGCGTTTCAATAAACGCAAAATTGGCGTAGTATACTCTATTTATTTTCCCTTTCTCAGAGCCGGTACCGGCTTGTTTCTATAAAATTATGACTCTCCGAAATAATCTATTATGGAAAGGAAAAAGTGTCAGTAAAATATACCATAGAGAATGGAACATAAATATTTAAGGGGACTGCATCTGATGGTAATAAACAGAGAAGAGAATAACAAAAGTTGTGTTACTTATCAATATAAATATTAAAATATGATTCTTAAAAGTAAGAAAAGAATAGTAGTATTATTAAATTATTTAATAATATCAACTATGAGTAATCGGAGCTTTAACTATTTGACAAAATAGTTAAAGCTTCTTAATCGTTTAATCATTAATGAACTTTAATTCATCCTTGCATATATTTGAAAAACTTCATGGGAAAATGTTAGTGAATATTCCCATTCAATATATGTAACTAATTCACTATACGTAGAGAGAAGGGTTTTCCCCCAGGATTTTCATCTTCTATTTCTCTTTCCTTGAAAGTCTGGGCGTTAGTAGTAAGTTTGAAACTGTATATTTATTAGATATCTTACGGTTTCAAATCAATGTCATGAGTTTTTACATCTCAAGTTTGTTTATTCTTCCGTTCAACCATGACCAAATATCCTGTAACTTAATTTTTGATTCCTTGTATTTGCTGATTTAAGAATCTTCTTCTTTTTTCTTCGAACTTAGATAGCAGGTTTTTATACAGCCTATTGTTATAGTCAAGAAATGTACTATGGATCTATCAAGTGTCCTTTATCTATTGTATTATTCATTTCTCCTGCGGTTATTATAATTATTTATAATTTAGCATTATTGTTTTTCCTTTCGATAGGTTAGATGAGTTAATGACACACTGCATATTTTACGTATTTTCTTCTATAATGTTTTATTGAGCCCATTTTTTATTACATCTCTTGATTGGACTATCTAAGTTGTTATTCATAAAATATTTTAATATATATATACATATTTAAAATAATTAAAAATAAATCGGTCTTTCAAATCATATTTCACTAATAACATTATCTGAATATATCTTTGGATATTTATTTAAATGAACTTTGGTCAATTGTTTTTGCAAACTTCCTATACTAAATTCTTTTATTATAATAACAGACAACAACATACATTCAAATGCCTTAATTACAAACTATGTCGATATTCAAAAATTTAACTTCACAGCTCTTTAACATCTCAAGTACTATTGATGAGCAAGATTGTAATAGTAGTAATAATAACGGTACAAAGGAAATTATACAACATTTCAATATCTCTCAATTGAATTCGTCTGGTAAAATTGTAAAAAATGATTTTAAAAAACTGATAACATCCAAAATTAATGTGGAATCACCAGATTGTACACTCTTTGATATTCCACAATCTTCAATTGGCTCTTTGTTTAGCGCTACTTTCTCCTTGTTTGTGAATTCTATAGAATCAATCGAAGTTACTGTGGTCACTGTAGAATTGGTTCAACATATAATTATTCAACAATCCTTATCTCCAACATGTAAATTCTGTAAAGATGGTCTGGGTTCTATTAAAAAGATAAAAGAATGGAATTTACTCAAACAACCAACTAGTTTTAGTAAAGGGGAATATAAAATCCCATTTTCATGTCATATCGAGGGAAATTTACCAGCAACATCAAGAATTGGTCCAAACCAACAAACAAATATTACTTACGAACTATTGACAACGATCAAATATAACCATAAATCTTCAGAAACGAAAAGGGGAAATATTTATACTGATGTAGTTCCATTTGAAATAACAAGGATATTTAGAAATAATAGACCAAAACTTTCACAGAGAACTTTTGAACCAACAACAACCGTCATTGAGAGTTATTTACCTGAAACAATATTTGTTAATACTAAAACTTTTGTCAAACTTATAATTCGAAATATAAATAAAGATTTACAGAATAAACGATGGTCCATTAAAAATATAAATTGCTATTTATTTGAAATAGTACGGTATGAATCGATCTATTGCAAAACTCATGACAAAGAAAAATTATTTAATAGACTATTAAAACAAACAAAGGAAAATGAAACGGCATCTGTATTTGATAAAATTCAACCAAATAAATCAACCCCAGTTTCATATTTCGAAGCAACCAATTTAGAAAATATTGATCATAATAAAGACCAAAAAGTTATAACAGAACAATCCTATCAAATTTTAAAAGTAGATATTGATTATAAAAATATTACAAAACATTTTATTGAAAATAATGATATTGAAGCTACATTTAAAATTGATCATGCTGGTCTAGAAAGTACAAAATATTCTACTGATTTACACACTTCTGATATGTCTGTTAAACATAAGGTCATTATGGAAATTACATTATTTGAGGAAGAAATATCATATGAGAGAATACCTTATAGAAAGCCAACTACACCAAAACCTGAAGTTACTACAAATTCTGAGAAGGGGCCTCTTATTATGGAAAACGCTGTAGTGGCTGATGATTCTGAAGATTCTGATGACAATCAGACCCAAACCAAACGACTGTGTGCTGATAAGACAGGTCAAATGCAAAAATTGAAAACAACTTTTAAGTTAATCCTAAGTGAAACACCTAAAGATTACCTCCATCTTCCCTGGATAGAAGACATTCCTCCAATATATGAATCTATTAATGATACTGACGGTGCCCCTCCCACTTACATCTTAGCATGACTTTTTTACGTCATAAAATAAACATCTTCCGACTTCAGACATCCTAAATTCTGTAACCTATATATATTTATTTATTTATTATTTATTTATTTGTTCACAACTAAACGTGTGTTTAGTTTTATATTATCTTATTCACAGCTTAAAATTTTATGCCTTAATTTTCATGATACATAAAAATATATTGTGTTATATAGTTATGGTAGCTTTAACAAAATTCAATCACTTATTTATTTATTTATTTTTCCTTCTATCAATTAATATGGATTTTCAGTTGTCATAGTCCAACCTGGTAACCATGCTAAGTAACGATATTTGATCCTTGGACCTTCCATACCAAAGGAAATTGGAGAGAAATACCAGAAACAACCAACAACACCGGCAATATAAATGGTATATGTGATGAACTTCAAAATGTTACCAAATTTGTTGTGTGGTATCAAGTTTGTCAAAGTTTCTAAGCAATAAGCAAAAATTATTAATGCAAAATATAGAGCTGGCATGTAATGATGGACATATGTAACCCTTGACATGATAACAAATGGAGCATAATGTAGACCCCAAGCTAATAGAGGGTATAGACCACCCATTAGGAAAACATTTAATTGTTGAGGATTGCTTAAGTCAACATATTGTCTTTGCCATCTCAATATTAAAGTAGCAACATAGATCATAAAACCTATTACTGCAATCGATGAACCCCAAGTTGAGAATGGAGTACCTAATAAATAATATCTAACAACATCATCACCCCAACCACATAGTCTCAGACCAACGTGAAGAGTAGGCCATTCCCATGCAGAAGATGCCAAAATATCGAATTTGTCATTATCAGGAATCAAACCATTGTTTGTAGTCATCATTGCAGTGTTTAAGTTGATGAAGTTTTCTAAGAAACCAGATTTTGGATATGTGAAGTTTTCAGGTCTATCAGGAAGTCTATCATTTTCATTTGTTTCAATGTTCCACCACGTTCTCTTGTCCTTAGCAGAAATTTTGTCCATACATGCAATTTCTTGTTGTTTGAAACCCCAATCTGGTAAGGTGTTACCTGTTTGAGTTAGGTAACAACCTAGTGGTCCATTCTTAATACGGAAAATAGTAGTCAAAGGATGTAACAATGTAGCGTCTTCGTCATTCTTTTGATCAATAATTTCAATAATCCAGTTATCTTTATTGTCACCGATAGTTTCATTACCATAACATGAGACTTCACTAGCCTGTTGAGTCATTGGTGCACGGACATAATGAGAATGTAAATTTCTACCAGTATTTTTATGCAAAAGTCTGTATTCACCGCCACTTCTAACGTATTCGATGTCAGTTTCATTTTCATTCCATGATTCGACATCTCTAATTCTATCAAAGAACCAGTCATTGTTTGCATCCTTGAACCCGTAAGCAGTAACTTGTTGTTGTTCTGAACCTTCTGGATATGTTTGAATGTGAGAATGTAATAAACTACCACCAAATGCTTGATTCTTTAAGGTAATTGTACTTGAACCCAGGGCAACGTCACGAGGACCAAGTCCAACTTCAGTACCTTCTAGCCTAGCTTGGAATAAAGAGGGCATATTACCATCACCAGTTCCTGATTTGTAAAGGAAATGGAAATGTAGAACAAAACAGAACATGAAGATAGCTGAAGGGATCACAATTAAACAAATAATTCTAGCAATCCAATGACTAAAATAAGTTTTCCATGACATTTTTTTATCAGCTAGACCATTCCATAGTTCGACAACGGTGTAAATACCAACAACAGAGATGATAAAAAGACCGACCATCTTAACAGATATAGTACAACCTAAGGAGATACCTGTCAAAGTCAACCACTTCCACCAATTACAAGAAAAAGGATGAACTTCACTGTTGTGGAATTTAACAAAACAAAAGAAGGATGCAATAGTGAAAAATAATAGCATGGAATCTAATAATATGAATCTACCTAAAGTAGCATAAGTATTTTCAAACAATACACAACATGTGAAGAACCAAACAGTTGGGAGAGAGAAACCGATAGCCTTTGCAGTAAAATAAGCCAATGGGACGCACATTGCTGAGAATGCTGCATTAAAGAGTCTCATTTTGACGAAATCGATATAATCTGGGTAAATCTCACCAGATGGGAAATCCCAAGAACCATTGTAACCGGCAATGTAACCTGATAAACCGACCAACATTTTCCCTAAAGGTGGATGAACATCGTGGTAAAATTCATGTCTAAGGTAGTAAGAACCAAACTTACCAAAATGAGCTTCATCCCACACAACATGGTTATTAGCACTGATTTTGTACATTCTTACGAATAATGCTAATATTGTGAAAACAATAGGAGCAACAATTGCTTCTACGCGTATCAATGGATTAGGTATTTCATTGTTGGTGGTGTTTTTATCCTTAGAGGTGTCATTCAATTCATTAGATATATTATTTATTTCATGCTTTTGAGAGACTTTGTCTCTATTCCTTAGAGAGTCATCTGTCTCTTTCTGGAACCCTGTTGAGGAAGACATTACGTATGTGTTTATGTCTCTTTATGTTACAAACAATAATTATCTATGTGAAAGGCAGATTAGTGATCCTATATTAAAATAAAATAAAAAGTTATGATAAAGATCAATTCTTACCTATGAGTTCACAGTAGTGATAAATTAAATAAAAAATGAATAAATAAAATTAGGAAGGTTCCAGTAGCATAATCATTAATAATAACAAGTTTAGATATGTCAAAAAATTCGAGAACTTAGAACTAAATGGAACCAACCGTCTAATGCAGCATCGTACAACTTCTGTTCTCTCTCAATTACGAACAGATCTCACTCAATTTTGTTCAGCTTAGCTCAGCTCAGCTTAGTGAACAACGCATAGAAAGAAGATCACCAAAATTTTTCACTTTTTCGTTGCTGAAAAATAAAAGAAGAAAAACAGTATTTGCGTAGCTAAGCAACGATGAATGTAAAACGCGTCAAATTTTGGTCGTTAAGTAAGATAGCCCAAAAGGACATCCATCACCTTTAACGAGGACCATGCTGAGGTGATTCTGTCATCGTTTAAACGATTCGGATCGTCATCTCTCACTTTTACAGACTGTTATTAGTATTCTTATATAGTGATGTTGTTGATCATGAAGGCAAATATGTAGCTGATGATACTACCGATGGTGAGGCCTGTCGATACAAATATGCTGGTGAACCCGCCGGCAGCCTCCTTTTCTTGATCTGTAGTTAGGGATTCTGGCACTTTCATAAAACTCATCGATATGATATGACCATTCGTGACCCCAAATAGGAATTGTAATAAGATATATTCTATATCCAATATTACAGAGTGGACTCTTTGGCCGTCATCACTAGTAGTACGAGATTGGATTGTGAAATAGAAAAAAAATGGAATGAATGCAATACGTAAGACAGAATATATAAACGTCTTGTAAGGTGTGAATGATGGATCGCGGAACATACTCCAATTTGCAATAAATCTACCACATAGATCACCTAAATTCCACATTGTAAATATTAAAGGGATATATTGTGCATTTGACATTGGTAATCCTGTGACAAAAATGTTAGCGCCAAATACAGGGAATATTAATGTTACAACAAAAGTTGTAATAATAGACAATACTAAATATTTCAATTTTGAATATAACACTCTAAACGGTACTGCTTGAGTTTCATGAGCCGGTTGGGTATCTGTCCTGTCATTGTTCGAGATGCTATTAAATTTTTCATCTATCTTCGTATTATAGAATAATAAAATGCAAGAGACACAGACTATTGATGTTGTCAAAAAATAAAAATAGATACCTTTATTACTTCCATTATTTGTGTTGTCGTCAGTTTTCCCAAGGGAGACTATTAATAATACAACAGATGGTAGGACACCCGCTACTGCTTGTCCCATCATAACACTTTGACTGAACTCTGGTCCATATACATTAGCAATTGCCATTATACCATTCTGTGTCCAAGCAGTGGAAATAGCACTTATTGATATAAGAATCATAATTAGTAGAAACTCAGATACCATCCATATACTCCCCGATAACGCACAAATTATGGTGATTAATATAAATGTAACAAACTGCCAAATAAGACCTCTCGCTACTCTTGTAGCGTATGAATGTTGTCTTCTCTCCAAATAAATGTTGTACAATAGCGACGTTAACGTTGATACCGTCATCATTGAACTAGTAAAAATCTTTGCATAAATTGTCGTCTCTTTAAAAATATTGTGTTGAAAGAATAAGGTAGCACTCAGTATATTGTTCCATGGCCATAGTAATCCTACACCAATAAGTAAAAATGTTAGATAAACCAAATTTTGCAATTTCTTAATCATCGGTAAACTTGCGATGGTTTCATTGTTAAATTCAATCTCGTTATTCATATCGGGGTCAGCAATTTGGGACATAGTTTCGAATGATCAAATAGAAAATTTGATAGTTAACGGTAATACAATGAAACGTAACCGTTTCTTTCTCTATATCTTTCTATTTACCGTTTCTACAAATTTGCCCAAACTTATCTAAAAGGTTCATTCTAATCTCGATCCATCGGAAGATTCATTTTTATCGTGCGGCGAAATAGGAAAACCTTTCCAAATATAGAAATGAAGACCAAATTAAAAGTGAAAGAATCACAAACATATATATATATATATATATGTAAATGGGAAAGCACTGTTGTTGTTATGATATATTATTGTACATTACATATAAGATGTAAGGAATGATGAAATGGAGTGAAACGACTATTTTACATAAACGTATCATTAATATTTAATAGATAAATAAATTTTGCGTAGAAGGGAGAAATGAAAATGAAAATGAAAAGGAGATGGATGATACAAGTTGATTTTGTTGTTGTGGCTTTTTATATTTCTAACTTAATTACATAATGAAAATGTAATTGAGTGCTGTTATAAGTAGAGGTTGTCATTAAATTATTTTTTTTCTTTTTTTTAATAGTTGAATGTATGTGTGAGGTCATGAATAATGGAAAACTGAACTAATTTTCTAAATTTTCATACTTTTCTACTTCCACTATTTCCTCTCATGAATTCAACTCTAGCAATCAATGGAATATGGTCACTTGGGAATTTATCATTAGGGAACCCGACAAATTTATTAACATAGTCCTCGTCAACTTTGCCAAGAAGACCTCTAACACGTAAAGAATGAGTGGAGAACCAAATGTAATCAATGACATCTGTGAAAGAAGGCGTAAAATTAGTAAATGGTAATTCACCAATACAACTGTAACATGAGTTTAGTGCCAAATGATGATTAAATTGTTTTTGAGACATGTAACCAAAATCACGCGTGTTGTCTTCCATGTGATTCTTGACACTACCAGTACTAAACAATTCATAAACTGCAGAATCTGGGTATGAATTGAAGTCACCACATATCAATAGAGGAGATTTCTTTGTATCACGTTTTGGATTATCTTCCTTTAACAATGATTCCATATGATCCAATAAAACACCAACTTGGAAAGTCTTCACATCATTGAATTTAGGATCCCAATGTAAATGTGTTGTGACTACCCAGACAATTTCGCCAGAATGAATATGTTGTAATTTCAAATATAGCGCAACATTATCTTTATTCATTGCACGATTCAAATAATCCTCTGTACGTTGAAATTTCCTGTGTTTCATCCAAGCTCCACTAAAATCTAGAGCATCCTTACCCAACAATTTGAACTTATCCTTCTTAAAGAAAATACAACAACCGTCCACTTTCTTAGAATCCTTCCCTTGCATGGTCTTAGCTCTTGTCTTCGAATGGAAATTACCGGCGTAACCATGTTTCTCCAGGATAGGTAACCAATACTCCTCGTAGGTTTGGGCTTCAACTTCTTGCAGACTTAATACATCACAATTATAAGATAAGATTTGTTGTTTCAATTTTTCACGTCTATAATCCCAACTTAGAGCCCATGACTGTGTGTAACGATACATCTTTGGAGTCGCATAATGTTGACATAAAGTGTTGTACGAAAGAATAGTAAAACTTTTTTTTGATAATTCTAGGTCCAGAGTTGAGTTTGCTTCTTGCAAGGATTCAAATTTAGCTTGTGGTTCACCATCTGTATTAATCTCTATAAATTCACGATCATGAACTAAAGGTACCTCAGGTCTATTATCTCTTAAATAGAAGATCAAACCAGTGACTGATTTTTCAGTGAAGATTTTTAGTAATTCTTTATCTAACGGATTACCTTCACAACCTAAGAATTGTAAATTGAATAAACTACCTAACTCCCAAGGTAAAGTAGAAATCATATTATCAAAGAAATACAAGTATTTCAATTGGAAACAAGATCCTAATTCTGCAGGTAAAGATGTTAATCTGTTATGAGATAAATCTAGGACACGTAAGTTTGTTAAATTCTTAATTTCTTTTGGTAATTGAGTTAATCCATTACCGTTCAAATATAATCTTGTTAAGAATTTATATTTGAAGATATTAGAATCCAAATTAATCAATTGTAGATTAGATAAATCCAAAGCATGCCATAATTGTCCATCTTTATTTTTCTTATCAGAACTTGGATTCAATTCATCATCGTCATCAATACTAAATTGGGATAATTTCTTATGTTGTAGTAGTACATTTGGAGACATTTGTTCTCTTTGATTATGCAATTCTACTTGTGGTGTTGTTGGTGTTGACAATGCACTATTATTCCCAGTAGCCATAGGTGTTGGAGTCGATGCAGTCATCATTGAGTTATCATTACTATTGGAGGTTGCATTGTTATTGTTTCCATTATTATTGTTAGAGTTCTTTGGCTTCTCTTTAGAAGGATCAGCACCAGCAAAATCCATTAATAATTTTTGAGTCTTATCGACTAATGATAACGAAGCTTCAGTCATTTGCGGTTGTTGTGGATTTTGAGATTGATTTGCTAAATATTTTTTCATTGCATTTTGTCTTGCATATACGTTAGGTTGACCCATAGAATGCATAGACACGCCAGCTAGTTGTAATTGCATCTTCCATACTGTATTATTCAATAGAGCTGTATCCTCGAGGTGTGGATGAAATAATGGATTTCCCGCATTTATATTCATTGGTTGTAAAGCCACATTATTATTCAGCATTGGTGTATTGTGATTAGAGTCATTACCCATGACAGCTACGTTATTCATATTATTATTAGTAGTATTCGCATTCATATTCCCACCTGTAGGTACTGGTGAATTTGTGGCTGGACCATTGTTTTGAGCTAATTGTTCTAGCAATTGACGAGAATTGTTTGCCAGATGGTTCGCATTGTTATTATTCTCATTAGGCAAACCAGGTGGACCCAAACCTGCCATTAATTGATTCAAATGTAATGCAGAAACGGGTGTTCCTGGACCATTGTTATTGTTATTAGTGTTGTTGTTATTATTATTAGCAATAGGATTAGTATTAGCATTAATCCCAGAGACGATATTAGGGTTCATACCGGGATACCCCATCAATGACGGTTCATTCATAATATATTGTGTATGTGTATGTGAGTTCTGAATATCGCAATAGTAGTAGTAGTAATATAGGAGGAGGATAAAGGCGTTGATTTGTAGTAATGATTATTGCCAGTAAAATATTAAAGAAGCAGGAGCACAGTAAGTTAATAAAGGGTAGTAATAGTAATAATTATAATTAGTCTAAACAAATGTAGATTATTAGGTATGATTTCTGTTAATCCTAATTAGTTGAGAGGCAAAATAAAAAAAATAAAAGTAAAATGAACTAAATGGGAAAAATAAAGGTAATTCAAGCAGGAATGGTCGTTGTATGCATGTATATATGTATATCACAAGTTCTGAAATGGGAAAGATACGTATATATTTATAGAGACTACGTTCAAGTCTAAATCAAATGTCTAAATCAAGGGCCCTAGCAATGGAAAAATGTATCAATGGATGTGAGTCTACGCACCGGTCACTGTGGCTATTGCAAATTCTGTGTGAGTGTGTTAGTGTGTGTGGATGGTATTATCCTCTAGGTGTTGTCCCTTTCCTTTCCCTTTCCCTTTCAGAAAACAACAAAAAAATCTTGAAGAAATATTTTTTTTTGTTGGTTTTGGCCGTGGCGGGTTTGGACTTCGTATGACCCATATTTTGCCTCTGTTCTGACCTGTCGAGCAGTGCCGGATGGGTTATGTATAAGGGTAGGGTTGATTAGACTGGGTTGATTAGACTGGGTTCGGTTGGGAGTTGTGTGCTGGACTTGTTTGTGTTTGGGATGGATAGACTGGGTTGGATACAGACAGTTGCGAACTGGATGGAGAGCGGAGATGCGAAGTGATGGAGAACGTGGATATATAGATTGCAAAATGAGCGTGTGTAACATCTACATATTACTATGTACAAGTGTGTATAAAATTGCCTGTATATGTGTCTGTGTGTCTATACACTGATGGATACTAGGTTGGTTACTGGAGGGGTGGCTATATATGTCTTGGAACAGGGTGCAGCATTTATGATCTAGGTACCGAAGAGCAAGGCCTGAAAACAAATGAATATACATATATATATGTCTATGTATAGATGACGGTGATGGTGATTGGAATCATAATTAGTAACGGTAAGGATATGGTTGTAGTGGTTGTAATTACAAGAAAGTGTGCCAATGAGTAGGGTAACCATATGTGTCACGTGCTCCTGTATGTTACCCTCACTCTCCATTTTTGGTTTTTGGCACTGAAACTGCTCTGCCTTCCCCATACAAAAAGGGTAGAAATGGAACTGGAATACCGACTTGACTTCGATGAATACGTTAAGCACATCTCTTTGGAAGTTGAATAGAAGGCTATATTTGTTTGTAATGGATGTGTTGAAGCTGGCGTACGAGACTGAGAGGTTGGCGGATATTGTGGAAGAACGTAATAGACTGATTCAAACTATTAAAATATCGCCATCTACTAGCGATAATGAGAAATTGACACAACAAGTACAGAGGACTTATAAGTTAGTGACTTCTCTGTATGATCAATTCCAGAGTCAAACTCTGTCACAGATAGATATTGATAGTATACGGGATTGTATGGTAACATATCGAAGATCGATTAATGACGTAGAAGAACCCTCGTTTGATATGAAACAGTATGTTTTCGATAAAGAGTTCATGGACTTACCAACTAGCGACCCTATAGAATCATCGACAGCAGAAGCTGTGATACAGAGTCCCAATGTGAGGAAAGTACGATTTTCAGATAATACGCAGGAGGATAGACCTGTCTCACCAGAGATACGAGCTAGTGATATGCAGTTCAAACCATATTTTGATGATGAACAAGCGGAAGCCCTGCCAGGTGGAGGAAGTAGCAATGTTACAAACGCCAATATTTCAAACAGAGAGTTGTTCATAGAGCAACAGCAACGATTCATGACGCAGGATAACGATATAGATACACTTGCGTCATCGGTGCAAAGAGCTCATGGGATCTCTCTGGATATCCATCATGAAGTAGAAAATCAGAACAGTGGACTGCTTGCCGACTTAGAGAATATGGTAGACACCAGTGACAGGAATTTGCAGAGAGCTAAGAGGCGACTCGAAGTATTCCAACGAACAGCGAGAGAAAACGGACCTTGTACCACAATTATCTTGTTGATCATTATATTGATCACTTTATTGATATTATTATAGATATTACGGAATATATATATGAATATATACGTATAATATTGGGGAAATAGACCCTCAACGACCATCCTCAGACTGATCATGACAACTTGATCGGTTTACGACTTCAAAGACTTGATCCTGATATATTACTAATCGTTCTTAAAATTGTGGAGTGCTGCTCCTTTTTTGGTGTCTCTGCGGGATATTACTGGCGACACCCGAAAATGTTTCACTCGAAAGGGCATCGGAGATTTCTGGCAAAACAATTTCAGTTCATTATATAAGCAGATGGAATCTAACTCAAGAAGAAGCATCGACCTTATCAATGGTAAGTAGTCCTTCATTAACGTCTGTTATTATTTTGTTACGTTGATTAATGCATCAAAGAATACATACATTGAACACATTTTTCAAGTACAAGCAATTTTTCCAAGGAATTATGACTAGACAACTACGAAAGAGGACAAGAGCCGTTGTGAAGAAAGAACAAACTGACACTCCTCATACTTCTAAGTACTTTAAAAAGACTAAAGTGAAGAAAGAAGAAGTAAAAGAGAGTGTTCTGGTAGAGGATTCTGTAGACATTGAGTGGGTGAAAACTTTAAATAACAAAGACTATTTCCAATGGATTGGAGAGAGAACTGGTAATATTCCTAGAAGATGGGATACTCCGTTACCCGAGGATGCATTCCAACCAATAAATGGTAATAAGTTACCTAAACATTTTAAATATATTTATATGAAACTGAGAAACATGAGATCAAGTATTAATGCCCCTGTGGATTCAGTAGGGGGTTCCTCGGTATCAATAACTGTAGCTGAACAACTTGGGATAGCTAAAGAAGAATTGATTCCAAAAAACTATAGATTACAAACTTTGATTGGTATAATGCTTTCTTCACAGACAAAGGATGAAGTTACAGCAAAGGCAATGTATAACATTACCAAGTACTGTCTAGATAACTTTGGCGCAAGAGGAATATCACTTGATGCAATGTTACAGATAGATGAACCGACTTTAGATTCTTTGATAAGAGCGGTCGGTTTCCATTCCAGAAAGGCAAAGTATGTAACTCAAACGTGTCAAATCCTTGTCAATCGTTTCAACTCGGAAATTCCAACAACGCCAGAGGGAATGATGTCACTTCCAGGGGTGGGTCCCAAAATGACATACTTAACTTTACAAAAGACATGGGGTAGAATGGATGGTATATGTGTTGATGTACATGTTGACAGACTTTGTAAACTGTTTAAATGGGTAGACTCTAAAAAATGTAAGACGCCGAACGACACACGAGAAGAGTTACAGAAATGGTTACCATTACCACTATGGCGTGAAATTAATAGTTTATTAGTTGGGTATGGACAAGCCATAGATAGGTCTCGAGCAAAGAATTGTGAACTTTGTGCCACAGAAGAGAACCCTTTTATTCCTGGGAAATCTAATGCACATAATCATATTTGTCCTAAAGTTGCAAGTGCAGAATTACTGGATATGGTACCGCATATGAAAAATTATCAAAGTTGGGTAAATTACTTAGTGAAAGAGGCAAAAATATATGATGTTATTAAAAGTGAATTACCATCACATGATAACACATTTCTGGATATGGGTCCTCCTCTAGTTAAATTAGAGGACGAAATTATGATTAAACCGGAAATAAAACAAGAGAATGAGGTTTTGTAACATAAATTAATGCTCTTTTTAAATATTTCACTTTAAATACCATAGATTTAAAACAAATTCCAATAAATAACCATAACGTAGCTGGTGACAACTTAATAAAAAATATTTAATATTTAATATATTTTATATTCCTTAATGAATCATTACTTTCTTGAATTTTTTATTTTTTTTTATATTTAGTTTAAATTTAATACTTTGCTGTTGAACTTGACACACCCAAAATACCTTACTTTATTTAGTAAACAAAAAAACAATAATGATAAATGTTTATATTATATATTCCATTAATAATAGAATATTTATGACAAAATTAAAGTGCATATATAAAATTACAATAGACGTTTAGGACCTTTTTTAAATGACTAACCAAGGGTCTTCATATATTTCTTCAATAACAGGTCTCTTATGAACATTTCTATTCAAGATCTTCTTAATCAAGTTCACACATTCTGGACTTATATCCTCATTTTGAATAACCTTCAAATCACCTTCCAATATTTCATCGATGTTATAGAAAGGATTTTCTTTGAAGATAATAGTGTATAAAAGAATACCAATTGCCCAAATATCTTGAGGTTTACCTTCGTAAGGATCACCACTTAGTACTTCTGGAGCAGCATAATCAATTGTACCTACAAAGACATCAAATGGACCACTCTTAACGTATGTGGCTGAACCAAAATCGATTAGTTTAACAAACCCCTTAGAATCAACAATCACATTTTCATCTTTAATATCTCTATGTACAATGCCTTGTTTGTGAAGGTGTCTTATACCTGATACAACTTGTTTGAAAATTAACTTAGCCTCTAACTCTGTCATATTGGTTTTAAATTCTATCAAATCAAATAAATCAATGCAACCAGTTTCACCATGAATTGGTGTCTCAATATAGTAGTAGTCATCATCTTCGAAAAAATCTAACAATCTTAAAATGTTTTCTTGAGGTTTTTTATTCAGAGTAGCCATAATTTGAATTTCAGATGGAATAGTACCCAATGTTCTATCTCTAACCCAGGTATCGACTAAAATTCTTTCCTTAAAGATCATTTTGATTACAACAATGTACTTCTTTTTCTTATGAAGACATAGATTAACTTTACCGTAGGCACCTTCACCCATTTTCTGTAATATGAAAAAATCAGAGAACTTTTTGGTGTGTTTATGAGCACCAATATGAGCACTTGGTACTCGTAAGAATGTAGTCGGAGGTTCTTCTGTATCAGAGTCGTTTTCGTTGTCTGTGGCAAATGATTCATTGTTATCCTCACCATCCCCTTCTCCTTCACGAGTATCGCTAATAGTAACAAGGGTACCAATCTTACTTATAATCAAGCTCTGATCGACCTTAAAATTCCCTTCTTTGACGAACTGAGTTTTATCCTTTGTATACATTCTAGCTAAATCTAATTTTCGTTTCATCTCTGGGTCATTTATTTCTTCACCATTAACTACAGGTTCTTTAGTTTCTATATTTTCTTTGGTATCCTTAGATTCTTTTGAATCCTGGGAAGTGATTGTGGACGAGGTTGAGATTGAGAAATTTTCTTTACGATCTCTGGAGACTGGAGATGCTGTATAGCTCCTTGATGAATTCTCAGTTAGAAGTGACTCTCTAAGTTGGGAAGATTTGATAGAATGGTTAGAATTCTTTGGTGTCAAATTTCTAGATAATGATACAGTACTAGAGTTGCCACTGATATAAGTTAAATCGCTTTCCTTCAACATACTTAGTTGGTTAGCGTTAGTTTGATAATCGTCGAGTTTAACATCCCTGGAATGGGTAATCCAAACCAACGATACACTGGAAGATATAACACGAAGCTGAATATCAACTTTAATCAAAGAACCATCTCTATGGCGACCATCAATACCAATAGATGCATAAAAATATTCTGGATCACTATTCATATCCGCATGCACCTTTCTAAAGAAGTGTTCTGTCAAAACTAATCCTCTGTTTGAACTTAATGATATATCTAATTCTGGGTAATTACAAGAAATATAGTCGATCATGTCGTTAAATTCTGGAATAATAGTTGAAATTGGTTTATTTACTAGTTCAGAATAATGCAAACCAAACATATTCTTTGAAACTGATCTATTAAAACTTACCAATTGTAAAGATTGTGAGTCAATAACAAAAAGACCTGCAATATATGGTAAACTATGAACTTTTAGTTTAATTGAATTTTGTAATAAAGATGCCGAAACAGCACAGGGGATATTGGATGATAAATGATTTAGTGTGAAATATCTTACAACATTGATATGGTTTGAGACCCTTACAGGCATTGGTAATAATTCATCATCCTTAGCCTTTACTTCCCCATTACGGATATTATCAATCAAATCTGCTAGGGACTGACTTAGAGTACTAACATACTGTAATTCATTCGCAAACTTAACTTCTTTCTTATTAATGTTCTCTTTATCTATTGATGAAGGTAATATGTGCGTCGGTTTCCTCACATGATTTGTTAAATCTTGTATAGATGTATCGGTACTTATATCGTCATCAGAATCCTCATCTGTTTTATCATCTGCACCAGCACCAAGCAGAAACTTTGGTGTAGAATGTCCTCCGTAATTTAAACATTCTTCCAAGATATTATTATTGTTCTTCTTTAAAATACTGGTGACCTCGTAATTATCTAAGTCTAAAGCAACGTCAACATAATCACAAGGAACTTTTTCGAAGACACAAACCAACAGTCCATTTTTTCTCTTGGCCCAAATAGAGGCCCAAACCAGGTCAGTTTTTGAACCTGATGAAGAATCATTTCCAGGTTGAACAATACCAATGATTTCACCTGTGAAGGCTAATTCTTGATCTTCTGTCGAAAGGATCTTATGCAGAACGAAATTTCTAGAATCAGTATGAATTAAATCCAACAGAGTTAAAGCCTTTAATACATGCTGAGAAATACCAAATATCAGACATGCTAGATCATTAGCAGCCTTAAATTGCCAAGGGTATTGTTGCGAACAAGTAAAAATGGCTTGTGGAGCAGAATTTTTTGTGGAGGCAAACGTTCTTAAAATACGTCTATAATCTTCTGAAGCATTTTTAGATGTATCTGTATATTGCTGTGGGTCTTCAAAACCTTCCAATTCATCCCGAAGAGTTTCATTCCCATCCACATAGGTTATGTTCCGTTCATAAAATGGTTGTGCTAAACTATCCAGCAACGTTCTCTTCAATCTTAGGGAATTCTCAGATTCATCGTCGTCATCCGTATGGAAGAAACTATCGTCTTCAGAACTGTCATTATCTAACGGACCTCTATCTGGAACTGGTTTCTTTATATTAAATAATGACAAGGCATGCAAATCAGTTGCCCTCAAAGAGGTATTTTTTTCAAGTGTTTCATTCAGTAAATCAAGTAAGTTAATCAGATTTTCTCTTTGTTCACTAATATATTGCGAATTACCAGTGGTATTTTGATCTAATATATTTTTATCGCTATTATTATTACTTCTCTCAGATAATGTAGATAATTCGTTTGGTTGTTGTATCATTTCATTACTTGTTTCTCTGAAGGGCTGCCTAAATGATATTCTCGATGTGACTCTTCTACCCAAACTAGGGTCGTTATAAGTACTAACTTTATTTCTCATATTATATGAACTCATAATCTTTGGTAAAAATGCTAATGAATTTGCTCTATGAGCAATTGGTATATTAAGGTCAATATTTTTATTAGTATCCATGATATCATTATAGAAAGGTTTCCCATTTCCACCAAATGATCTTCTATTAATATTATTCATTGTATAAGAAGTCTTGATAGCCGGATCAGTGTTCTTCCTTGAAAGTGATTTATTTTGATAATTAGAGACAAAGGCATTCAATGCAGCTGTTGGAGATGTCCATTTCTGTGAAGGATTATACGTTGGAATATTATCTGCTACAGATAAGGACATACTCCTCGACGGCCTTACTACATCTTCTTCACTAAATTCATTATTGTTATTATCCTCAGGTGCAGTTTCATTAGTACCCCTTATATTTGGCATATCTAATTTTTTGGAACCATTTACTGTGCTTGCAACAGATATTTTTGAGTCTAGGTTTTTATTTGCTAAAGTTCCATCTTCTAACATATCAGGATTACTTATTATAATCTCAAGAGATCTTTTAAGAATCGATAGTCTTACTGCCAAGGAATTTGGCGATAATGGATTGTATGAATATGAATGAGTGGATTCGTTTGGTAAATTGTATAATTCTTGTAAATCGACATCTGTCAAAGTCGACATTGTTGAGTCAATAGATTTTGTCCGATTAATATTATTATATGTAGGCTTTTCCGTAATTGGTAATTTTGTTGTTGAAGAAACAGGGGTGACATCAACTGTAGATATTACAGAAGAAACAGTTTCATCTGGATTCCCTGGATTTGAGACACCTTTATTTTCGTCTTTTTGTTCATTATTACAACTTTTAATATTGGAGTTTTCTTCACTTTTTTCTTTTTGATTATGATGCTCTTCTTCTTCTATTTTATCCTCAGACAATGCAACTTGTGAATTATTTATAGAGGCCGAAGCTGATTGTGCAACTTTCTTAATAGCATGTTTCTCTTTTAAACTCAAAAAAGAAGTATGGGAAGAATTAGATGCCCCAATATACGGCATATCAATATAGAAATATTATTATTATTATAATGCTTTGTTTGAATAAATGAATTGAAGGTTTCAAAAATAAAATAAAATAAAATTAAATTAAATCCCGACACAGTTTGATATTGATGATCGATATCTTCAATATATATGTTTCTAGGTAAAACGAGGAATGCTTATAATAGAATAATATCAAAACAAAGGGATGGGATATATCAGAAGTGAATACTATCGTTATTTATGTACAGGGTATATTGTCTAACCACTCTAAAACAAACAAATGAATTAACTTTAAAGAAAAGGAATCTTTAAATATTCTTATTTGTTTATCCTTAAAGGTGACCTGTCAAATATGCAAATAATATAGCTAAAACCTTTCAAACCTTATGGTCTTCCTGCCAACCAGCTCCCCCCCTTCCAGTTGCTTCTCTTTCTGTTCCCCTTCGTTCGCTCCGCTCTCTTCTTTTTTTCCATTATTTTCTCTCTTTGGCTGTCAACAGGTTTCCATATTATATAAACAACCCTTATTTTTTACTCTAAATAGGAATCTGTGGAGCTTTCAATGATGTAAACAGTATGGGTAGAGGGAAAGACAACTATATAACTATAGTCATACATAAATGGTTATATTGCCTATATATAAATATATTTGGAGACTGGATGTATAGATGTATGGGTGTATATATACTCTGGGTATTATTTACTACTGCTTTTTAATATTGTTTGAATGACTACAGGTAATATCACAAGGAACGAAGGTCACGTGCAAAGTCCGACAATTGTGTCCATTTTTTGACATTTTGACATTTAAAGAAAAGACAAAATCAGGATTGCAATTAAATTATTTTGAGGAATGACACAAATTGAAGCCCAACAACTTGGATTAATTCTATAGGTAATCTCTTGTATTCAAGTAAATATAACTAGATCTCTATATATGTGACCGATTAGTAACATTATAAGAGAGAGAGAGTAGTAGTTTCCTGAAATCAAGTTTAATTTTTTCATTGAGAATGAGTGTAGCGACAAGTTTAATATTGACAGGCATAGGTGGTTTTTTTTACAAATATGATAACTCTCAAAGTTATGAATTAGATCCAAATATTTACCTATCGGTGTATGAATATCGAGAAAAAGTAATCATTCCAAAAATATCTAATGTACAAGAAGAGTTCACAATTGCAATTGTTAATTTTTTTCAAGGTCTATTCAACAACCAACCCTTTGTATACCCTTTAAGAGGGTTTTTGGAATTATTATACTATCCAGATAAATATTTGTATAGTTCAATTAATACCTTTTTGTTTTATTTGATAAGTTATACAATTATTACCGTTTTATATTGGGTGACTTTGACACCACTTTATGTTGGATTTTTTTTTGTCTTGGGTCCATTGGGAGTCCTTTTAGCTTTAGTACAAACTTTCTTACATGCAAATATTCTAACTATGATGTTCATGAGACTATCACATTTTGCAAATAATATAGTTAAAAGTTGTTTAGATATCGATTCAACAGGTACTTTACCAACCACATCAATTAAATATTATGTTCCAATTAGTTGCACCTATTTTTGGGCTCTTTATTTACCTATAAAAATTTTAAAATATTTTTTGGCTGTACTTATTCTATTAATTTTATTAACCATTTCTGCAATGCCAATTATTGGACCAGTTTTATTCCATTGTTTAATCTCTCCATTTATTACCAAAATTTACATCTCGAAGACTTTAAAACTGAAACAATTAGATAACCAGGAAAGATTACATTATTTTGCACAGTACTTTGGAGCTTATACATCATTTGGTTTAGTAGCCGCATTATTAGAGACAATCCCAATCCTTTCTGGTATTATTCTTTCAACTAATGTTATAGGAACTACTTTATTAGCTGTAGAAACTATTCTAGTGACTAACGAAACAGAGGAATCCGACGAATTGCCTCTCCAAGGAAGAAATCACACTACTACATCTACTACAGACTTGTTGCCTGAATTGTGCCGGTCAAGTCTAGATGGAAATATTACTGAATTACCAGAAATATGTCTTACAAGTGAGCCACCTAGTAATAATTTAATTTCTGGGATGTCTCCAAATATTAACAGCAGAAGTGGTATTTTACTCTCTGGTCTCTGTAAGACTAGTGAAATCCCAAGCATAAATCTAAATAATGCTACTAATAATACTACTAGTAATAATGCTTTACAACCATCTGTGAACGAACTAGAAGATTATATTAGCTAAAATCATTCAAATAAGAGGTATATATACACATGAATATCATAACGGTATGTCAAATTTTAAATTAAATTATATAAAATAGAGTATATACGAATGTGTTCCAATCTAATAAATGTAGGATGATTTCTTTTGCTTATACTTCTTGTATGCGACAACAAAAATCATGAAATAAAAAATTACATTAATATCGATCAAAGGTACAAAACAAGGAACAATTTGAATATCTTGCTTTGTTAAGGAGTAAATCACTTGAACCCTCCTACCTGTTAAAAAAAAAAGTGTGTGACATAATAAATATTACCAGTGTAGTAATATGTGCAATATTTATAAGGGTAGAAAATAACTTTTTGTTAAAATCTTGAATGTTATTATTGATAGTGGTATCTCATTATTGCTATATTTTGTTAGCCCAATAATCCCAATCCCATATATTTATATCTTTTTTATCATCACTTGTATCATTAGTCATTGTTGTCGTGGCCGGACCAGATGTAATTGTCGAGGCAAAATTTATACCAGCGGCATCCTTTTTCATTTTGCCCTCTGCTGCAACATATGTATCCTCTGGGGAATCAAACTTAATACGTTTAGATTCACTCATTATGGACGGCGAATCATTTGCGTTAGATTTTATACTGTCTGGAGTTAAGTTCATCTCATCGAGTTTCCTCTTCTTAGTGTTACAATTGGCAATGTTGGATGGTGTATTGATAAAAGCTAAATCGTTCAATTTCTCACAGATATTATTCTCCAAGCCATTGAAGATAGATGAGATACTTCCTAAATTAATGCCATAATTTCTGACTTCTTTTTGTTCAGACATATATTTGGACTTCATAACCAATTTATTACCATCTACTATGCTTACATTGACAGGATCACGTTCCCTAGCACGTTGTGCCACTTTTGTTAATTTCTTTTTCTTACCTGTTCGATTAGTTATATCTATAAAATCCTGAGAAAACTTGATTTGCGGCTCATACTCATCATCTTTCAAACCAAGGGTATCCGAGAGAGTACTTAAGAATAAATCTATTGGAGATGATTGGAATACTTCTTGTCTGTGCTTGAATCTTGATGCAATCTCTGTCTTTTTAACATTCAGTGATTGTAATTCATCTTCTTCCTTTTTAAACACTGGATTAATTTCACCACTGCTGGCTGAAAGTTGGTCATTACCAACCAATTGAGGAGTTACTCTTGCACTAACATTTGCCAATCTTGGGGTTGGTACGTTAGATAAAGACTTTACATTACGAGATGATGTTGATGTAGATGGTGAAGGTTTTTTGCTATTATTACCTTTACCTGTAGCACCATTAGAGGTAGCTGTCTTTTCACGAGATGGCGAAACTTTAGTAGAAGTTGGAACACTTGCGTTTCTTGAGTTACCTTTCATTATATCTGGAGTTCCATTCGCAGTTATAAATTGGTTCCCGTTCGCTTGCGAAATCATACTATCATTTTCACCAGATATCACAGCATTTGGTGGGATGGATACAGAAGGTTGTCTACCGTTAAGCTTAACGTTCATTGCGTTCGCATTTGGCATAGCACCATTCATTTGCACAAAATTATTATTCATCTGTGGCGTATTAGCGTTACTATTATTCAGCTGTTGCTGTTGTTGCCATTGCATTTGTTGCTGTTGCTGTTGCTGTAATTGTCTGTTCTGTAATTGAGTACGTTGATTTGGCCTCATCCGTTGATCTTGAGCTTGAGCTTGAGTCATGTTAGCATTGTTTTGAACAGGCGTTGGAATACTATTGATAGGAGTATTATTACCAGTTGGGGGTTGTTGGTCTTGTTGTTGCTGTTGTTTCTGTCTTATTAATTGTTGTTGTTGTTGAATCAATTGTTGTCTTCTTAGAATCTGAATCTTCATACTTTCCCAATACTTTTGATATTTCATAATCAACTTGTCAACTGTATCTAACTTCACAACATATATCCCTTTGGAACATTTATCCAAAATTTCCTTTACAAATATTCTCAATTGTAATACCTCCTTCAAGAATGCTTCACTCTTCGTAAATACGTAAACTTGTGGTGCGTAATTACTAACTTGAGCGAATAATTGTTGATTCATTTGTAATTTTCTCTTAATCTCTTCTCTTTCTTGAGGGCTAATGGAATTCGTTAAATCATTCAATCTCAGAGGGGTTCTAGCGGCATCTGTTGAAATCTTCCTAACAGTATCAATATCTTGTGGTGTTGGTTGTAACAATTGTAACATCGAGGCCTTTTGAGAATTTGTCCTCTGGTGACCTTGTGATGGTGGTGCCTGTTGTTGCGGTTGCTGTGCCTGTGCCTGTTGCTGTGCCTGCATCTGTTGCTGAGAAATCGGTGTATTTCTGGCCTGTTGCGGAACATTCTGCAAATTATTCATCTGTTGCATGTTTCCCCGTGATGGTACATTATTGTTATTACCAACAGCCATATTGTTATTGTTATTGTTATTGTTACCACCAGTATTAGCTATTTCATTATTACCGTTCATATTCATATTATTTTGACCAGGTCTTGCCCCAGAGGCAGAGGCAGCAGCGGCAGCAGCAGCTTGTTGAGCCATTCTCGAGGACTGTATCTTCTTCAAAGCCTTTTGATTAATATATTTTCTAATAAAACTTTGTCTGTTTGCATCAGTCATATTTGCACCAAACTGCGTCTTTTGGAATGTCTTACATGCCTCCATGGCTTCTTGTAGCAAAGCTCGTTGTTCATCTGGTGTAAATATTTGATTAATTTGACCTAGAACATTTGGCACTTCACCTGCTCTGTTCCTAAACATTTGCTGTTGCTGTTGTCCTCCAATGGCGTTTCCATTATTATTACTATTGTTGCTAGTATTAGCATTAGCATTAGAATTAGCATTGTTGGTGTTATTGTTATTATTACCCATCTGTTGTTGCTGTTGATCCTTTTGTCTTTGTTGCATCTGTTGCTGTTGTTGCATCTGTTGCTGTTGTTGCATTTGCTGTTGCTGTTGCATCTGCTGCTGCTGCTGTTTACTTTGCTGGGTATTCATTACACTATTGGCATTCACCTGTTGGATCTTTGATTTATATAACAATTGTTGGTGTATTTTGTAAACTTCTTTAGCAATCTGCATATCATGAGGTGTCAATCTCTTTTGTTGGGCTAATTCTGTAATTTGTTGCCATGTATTAACATCTGGAGGAATGTTAGGTATCTTTTGTAACAATTCTCTTGGTATAGGAGCCACTTTCATTTGATTGATCAACTGTCTTTGTTGCGGAGTCAACTGATGTCTCTGTTGCCCCTGTCCTTGACCTTGTCCCAGACCTTGACCTTGACCTTGACCCTGACTCTGACCTTGTTGCATCTGCTGTTGCTGTTGCATTTGTTGATGATGCTGTTGTTGCCTATCTTTCAATTGTTGTTGAGCCTGTTGTCTCGCTTGCGCTTGTTGATTTAAAAACATTTGAGAATTCATATTCATAGTATTCGGCATATAATTCATGTTATTATTACTGTTGTTATTACTGTTATTGCTACCATTTGGAAAAGCACCATTAATCTGCTGTTGTTGTTGTTGTTGCGACACTTGATCATTTCCACCGCCATTATTATTATTATTACCAATATCCATATTATTGTTATTATTGGAAGAGGCTGAACTTTGAATATTTTTAGCATTAGCTAGCGATTTTTTTCTTGTATCTCTCGTATTTCTCATAGCAGTAACTTTTTCCTTCATACTATCCAAATATTCTTCCTTTGAAGAACTTTTCGCAAATAAAGCAGATTCGAAATTTTTAGCATGAACTTTCATTTTTTCTGCTGTCGCATTAGTCCCTCCATTAATCTCGTTGATATCCATCAACACTTTCAGCAATTCTGCCACATTCCGCGTTCTATCCTGAATAGAAAGACCCTCTTTACCACCTACGTTCATGGTATAATTTGTTCGTTATCAGTCCAAAGGATTTCCCAAAAAAACACACACAACTAAACAGTAAACAAACGTGTGAGGATGCTGCTAGCGGAAGAGTGAGAAATAGTAATGAGTTTTCTCTAGTTCTATTAGCCACCTGTTTCTTAGAGAGTATATGCACACACACGGGAGGTTGACGTAAAGTACAGTTTGTTCCTTCTTTTTGGCTTCTGTTTTCTGATCAGAAGTAGTGTGTGAGAGTTGATATATTCGTCTATTTTAGTTTATTTTATTTTTCTTTTTCTTTCCTCTCTCTGTATAATAGAAAAGACGAAAAAAAAAAAATTTAGAAATTACCGGAAAAGGGTGAAAAAATCAGCGAAAAATGAAAACAATGAGAACGTTTCTCTGGTAGTAATAGAACAATATATATTGATATATATTTCTTTAAGCTGTGCTAGAACTACAATGACCGACCGCCAATTGATTCAGAATGCGTGGGCTTCGTTTCGTTCTTGAATCCAGCGACAGGAGTTGTACTTGGCAGCTTAGTAATACGTCCAGTTAAGAGAAGGCTCGGGATGGGATGTGTGAGTAGTCTCGGTGTACCGTAGCTATTTCTATTGATTGTGAATGTATAAACGTGTGTGTAAGTGTATATAAGAAGAACCAGCATCTAACTGCTGAACGGAAACAGCAGATGTGACAACGGTAAAACATATTTATGTCTCGTTATCAGCTCACCTCGGCCAGGAAGTTAGCAGCAAGACAGGCAGAAAGACACATTTAGTCACCCGCAATTATTCTCTGTTTCGTGCGGTTGCTCGTGGGGGGTCCGCTCAGCCACATGGGCGGACAGCAGCTGCGCGAGGAGAGGAGAGAAGGGTTTCGTGCTGAGTGATGTGTCGGCGAATGCTACTTATTACATAATACCCATATGCTGGTGGTGGTGGCTGGGGGATGGTGATGATGATAAAACGTTTATAACTATATCTGTGTATGTGTGTATATACGATTATGTTTTGTAGATGATGTCCTCGAGGATGCCGTTGATCTTGCTCTCTGCAGCCGCCTCTTGTTGCTTGCTTTCACCGTTGTCCTCGCTGACATGCATATCCAATGCTAGTTTATTCTTGGCCAATTGATGGATTTGCTCCTCGATGGAGTCTTGACTGATCAATGTAGATACATACACCTCCTTCGTTTGGCCGACACGGTGCGATCTATCGGCAGCCTGTCTGTCGTCATGCGGATTGAAACTTTGATCGAATATCACAACATGATTGGCACACACTAAATTGATACCAAACCCACCTGCTTTTGTAGACAGCAGAAACACAGGGATGCTGTTGTCCTCATAGAAGGTATCGATTAACGACTGTCTTTCGTTGACTTGTGTGGACCCGTCAAGTCTTAGAAACTTATAACCCATAGTACTCAATACAGGCTCCAATATATCTAACACTTGAGTAAACAATGAAAAGATTAGTATCTTCTCTTTCTTATTGTCAATGACATCCTTCAATATTTGTTCCAATTTATCAACCTTACCACTCTGCATCCATTCATTATTCTTTAATGCATATTTGCCTAAGGTTCGAGGGAAATTCCCACATAGTTTATGCAATTCGAAATCCGTCATATAGCTCATATCTTCTTGGATATACTGCTTGTTACCGTCCATACTATATGCCGGCTCACTAAGGATAGCCGTACTCATGGCATCGATGGTCTTATTGTCATATATCTCGCGGAACAGCAATGGATGGATAGAGGCCTTTCTCAATGTCATAATTAGATTCTTGGAGTCCATGTTGGCTTTATCATCGCTGGTCACAGTACCATTCGCGACTTTTTCACGATATTGCTTAGCATTGGTGATGGCTCGATCGTAGATCTTTCGTTGGACGTCGTTCAATTCACACATCACTATCTTATTATGTTTCTTAGGTAAATGACGTAACACTTGGTCTTTGTGTCTACGTAGAATGAACGGCTTCATCATGGTCTTCGCACGCTCAATGGCTTCTTGTACCAATAAAGGATTATGATCGTCACTGCCATCAGTGGTCTTCGCCCTTTGTTTGAATATGGCAGTCAATGAATCCTTCTTGGAAATGAATAATGAGGGCATGATGAATTCCAACAGAGACATCAATTCACGCAAGTTGTTCTGCAACGGGGTACCCGTCAATAACAATCTGAACTTGGCCTTTATCTTCATTAGCTTATTGAATCTTTCGGACATAGAGTTCTTCAACATGTGGCCCTCATCGTATACCACCACATTGAATCCACTGCTCTTTAAGAACGCTACGTCATATTTGTTACCGGCAGCTAAATTGTATGTGGTTACAACGACATCATATTGACCAGCGGTACGTTCCAAGTAGTCTCGAAGCTCCGCTCTCTCCTGTTGGGACCCATAGTATGGTTCCACTTTCATCGATGGACAGAACTTCTTGAATTCACGTAACCAGTTCTCTAACGTTGATGACGGCACTACGATCAAATTGGGGCCCGGTTCATTGATTTGCTTCAAATATGCAAGAAACGCAATCACTTGACACGTCTTCCCCAAACCCATATCGTCTGCAAGGATACAGGACATCCCATTATGGTAGAGTAAGTTCAACCAATTGATACCCATCTGTTGGTAATCCTTCAATTGGATATCGGACGACAGTAGACGTGGCTTACCTTTGAAATACTTCACTGGTCCCTTTCTTTGTACAGCAAGTTTCATATTACGACGATGCGCACGACTGCTCATCGTAGGACGCTTTGAATAAGCAATCTCTTCGTAGTCTTCATCCTCATCCTCAATATCCTCTTCTTCTTCTTCCTCGAGTTCGAAATCACTGTCCCCATCTGTGGCTGAGCTTTTAGGTTTTACATCCAATGCCAAACTGGAAGGCGTAGGCGTAGGAGTAACACTGGCTTCAGTTTCATCGAATTCTTCTACTATCGCTTCATTTTTAGGGTGTTTAATCTTGACCTCATCATCATCATCATCTTCTTCTTCTTCATCATCATCGTCTTTGTCATCGATAGAGATTACTGGGATACCTGCATTATCATTTGGATTGGTAGAATTAGATTCTCCGTTAGAATTCAGGTCAACACCCCATGTCTTCATTTGTTTTTCGATAGATGTCCCGTATGATGCACATGTTTTCAATAACGAATCAATAGCATTATAACCTCTAATCGATTGTTTAATCTTATCAAGAAATCTCTCGGTCTCCTTCTTTTGATTACCACGATATCCACGTTTACCTTTAGTCTTTTCTTTGCTATCTTTAGTCTTTGCGATTTCTTCCTCAGTTAAAAATTCTTGTAATACGAAATGATCCAAATTGGAAAAGGGTCTCTTGGATACGATGACTTTAGCCTTCTCAAATGTTGTATCCGCAAGATCCGCAAGATCTGATGGATCCGAAGTGTTTAAAAACTCTAAAGTCTGATCATCGATGTCGATTGCTGTAGAACTCTTATCCTCGTACTCGACATCACTACCAGATTGATCTTCGTCTACGTCAGAACCAAGATCATCAAGGTCATCTCCTTCGCTGTCATCCTTCATCAATTTTTTCACCTTGTTGTCAAGCATTTTACTCCTTGCATTATCTAATTCACTACCTCTGACCAATTTTCTCTTCTTTTTACCATCAGCTTGTTTATTGTGACGTTCAGATGATGATACCATCTTTAAACTTTTGCTGTTTTTAATCTTTGATAATAAGGAAGGATCATAAAGCATCCCATTCTTACCACGATGCACACCTGCTATATCATCATCTTCATCATAATCTTCATAATCCCCATCTTCTTCTTCACGTTTCTTATATGCTCTTTTCATTGAAGTGGAGTATCTATCAAAAATGGAACTCTTTGGTTTATTTACATTAATCTTGGTAGAAACAGATTGTTTAGACTTGGAAGAAGATATAGAGTTCAATCTAGCGGTCGATGATGCCTTGGCTTTAACCGTGGTACTCGGCGACTTCGCCCATGATGATCTTTGTTCTTGGATCCTATTGAGACGTGCTCTAGCGTTACCAATATCAGATGCATTTGATTTAAATACAGCTTGAATTAAAGTCGATGAGAAATCAGGAAATTCCTTCTGTAAAGTAGCTAAATGTTCTACCGGAGATACCGTACTCTTTGCAGTATCGTTAGACATTTGTAAATTTGGTTTATACATGAATTTATCACGCAAACTTGCAGTTTGATCTTTTGCAGTTTCTTGCCCGGATGATTTCAATGGTGACGATGAAAGAATCCTGCTGGTTGGGGAAGATGTCTCTGGAACTTGAACCTCGTCGTCGCCTGCGAAACTATCTGTCATATTACGTCACTTATAGTACTAATATCTAATAGTGTTTATTGATCTTCGAATATGCAACAGAGAAAACAGCTTTGATAAAAACCTTAACCAACTATTCTCTCTCTTTATTACTATTATATAATTCAAATATCGCTAAATCGATCGCAGTCAATGAAGTTTTCGCGTTTGCCAAATTGATTAACCTGAAATTTTTCACTTTTTTGCTTTGACTTTACAGTTACTCTCTCTCGCCTTTATGAAAGATGAAATTATTTAATTTTTTGGTTTGCGATGAGCTTCTCTTAAGAGAGTAACTGCAGGGATGACATATAAAAAGGGTGTCTGGCTATTTACATTGATGCTAATTCAATCTAGTAGCTGCAAGAAGTATATAAGTACGTACTTTCTGAACGACATTGAATGATTTGTTGGTTGGTATTCTGTGCTGGCATGTAGATAAGGCAAAAACGAAAAACTCTCTCTTTTTCTTTTGAAATATGTTGCAGGTATATGCGTTTGGATCAAATGGGAATTTCCAGTTAGGCCTAGGCCATGCTGATGATATTATCGTACCACAATTGACATTGTCTCTGGACGTCGATAAGGACGTTACTGTTAAAAAAGTAGCTTGTGGTGGTAACCACACATTATTATTGCTGAGTAACGGTAATGTGTATGAATGTGGTAGTAATGCTATGGGTCAATTATGTGATGATTCTCAGATAGAAACTGTTCCCAAATGGTCAAAATTAGATATGAATAATATTAAAGATATTGCATGCGGTTGGGAATTCACGGTTGTCCTAGATATTTTAAATAATGTTTGGATACGTGGGTACGGTCCCAAGGGAGAATTGGGTTTGGGAAGTAATACTACAAAAATAACAACTTTCCAAAAAATCATGAATGTGCCAGAAAATTCTAACTGTAAACTCTTTACCTCATTCCAGAATTGTGCTTTGTTGGTTCAAAGACCTGAGGGTGGCTCTGTGGTTTATGGATGGGGTAGTAACACAAAATGTCAGTTAATGAACCCAAAGAGTAAATCTGTCTTCACACCAACAATAATATATGAAAGCGATTCGCAACAAATTGTTCAAGTAGCTATGGGTAAAAATTTTCTCTTGTTGATCGATAATGAAGGTAGAATTGTGTCAACAAGAGGGGCCATTCCTGAAAGTTTCCAGTTGGATGAATGGAAGGATAAGAAAGGGTTAGAAGTATATACGATGTGGTCATCAATACATATTTATTATGAAAATAAGATCTATTCGTTTGGATTTGGTATTCATGGTCAGATATTCGATAATGATTATTTCCAAAGCACTGTAATGAACAAACACACTTCAAAGTTAATTGCGATTAATACAGGTAGTGAACATGGGATGTTAGTAGTACAGGATGATATAATTTCCGGGTTTACGGTATATTGCTGGGGTTGGGGTGAACATGGTAATTGTGGTAGAGTTAAAGAAGAACAGTCGGATGATAAACCGGTTATTAATGATTACTCAAATTTATCAAGCAAAGCCAATGAAATAATGCATGTTGATTCTGTTATGCCATCTACAGTGTTTGGTGGCTGTGCTAGTACATGGATAGTTAAATATGATTAAATGAAGTTACTTTTCCAGATAATATGCTATTATTTGGCTAACTAAGAACTATTTTTATAATCATTTTCCGGAAATTGGAAGAGACCTTATATGAGACGTTCTGAATATCAAATTAAGTAATAACAGACAGTTTTAAAGCAAAAAAATAATTATTTAAGTATAAATAAAGAGTCAACCAAACAAATTAACTCCTCAATCTTATTTTCAAGTGATAAATTCTCTTAAAATTCAGGGAAAAATGTCACTTAATTAGTAATATACCATTTACAATAAGATTCAAAAAATTAAGCCCTGTAGGGGGCTCGAACCCCTAACCTTGTGATTAAGAGTCACACGCGCTACCGATTGCGCCAACAAGGCTAAATTTATTGTTTTTTTCAAAAAATATTAGCATATTCGATGAAAACAAAAAACATATTTAGTGAGAAATGTATAATATATAAAGACAAAGAATTCTGAACTCACATTGGAAGTTAGATTCTGTTCGTTCTATAAATTATATACAATAAATAATCACTTACAAATATAAGAGAAATATAACAAATATATTTTGCTTACCTAACATTAAAACGTAAGCTACGCCATTCACTTCTCTACCTAACACTATACTAATGAACGAATATAAGTCTAACCACAGTATGTCTGCTTCAGCTCAATATGAAATTCAAATAGTCTTGAATAAATAATGTTAAACAGAGTTGCTGTTGTTAAACTGCTCATCTTTTGTGCATAGTAACGTTGGACTATGTAGCTCCAATAAACCCAATGTAGGGGGAACGAATACTACATTATGCAGTATATATCATGTGTTATTATATATACGACAGTGTAGCACACTCTAAATTCTACTTATATTAGCTACCTTCACCTTCAGTTAGGTTAAGCTAATGTTAGCCTTTTTAGTGCTGCCGCTACATATTCAACAAATAAAATGCGGCATAACTTCATCCACCAAAACACAAGCAATGTATTAAATAACAATATATTCTTAGATCTACTATATTATTCGGCTTTATGATTATATTGATGGCCCAACATTTGTAAATTTTGTGGCCATACAATGTTTTATAAAGCCAGATGATTATGAAAAGAAGTGAAATGACTTCTGTCCGTATACGTCTTATGACTTAATTTACTAATTCGTCTAGAATACAAGAAACCATTTCTTGACGTTTTGATTCTCTATTAGCAAAGTTACCGTCCATTATTTTTGGTTACTAGTTTTTTTTACGAAAATATTATATACATTCAAAGCCAATTTAAATATATTCACACCTTTCGTATGGAAGCTCGATAATTATTTATATTAACAAATACTAGCCTAAACACTATAGATATTAATAACCCTGTGAAATATACTCCATCTAAAGTTTGTAGTAAGAATTGCTTCTTCCTCAAATGGAACAGTGGTCACCTAAGACTCTACTAATGGGGCTTTCTGTTTTATAAACCCTGGTAAATCCTGTGCATATTCCTCACAGCTATTTTATATATATATATATATATATATATTAGATTTAATATTGCAGCTGATGAGGCATTCATTGATATTTGCCCTATTAGATCATTAAAATGTTGATCAACAAGTAATTATAGTTGAAGTATAAAAGAAATACACTTTTCCTATTTTTTGTATTCAACCTTTTTCTTTTCACATGGATTGATAATATTGAGCTTGCCAATCAAAAAGTTTATTTGAATGATGGACTTATTGTTGACATTTTTGGTGAAACAGCTCCTTTGGTACCATTTAACATATTAGCAATTAGTTTTGCAAAGATGGTTGACAATTGGTTGACTGGGGGAAAACATTACCAATGACTGTTGAATAAATTTGGATAATGTCCTTAGCTGATAATTGTGGTGTAAGCCATCAAATTAGTAATACCATTAAAATGGTATTCACTGAAACTGATACTAGATATGACACTACGGCCCAGGAGAAAATAATAACAAGTGTTTGGAGTACGGAACTAGCTCATGGTAGTACTTGACAGGAATACATATTACTTGGTCCAAGCACAGAATGGTCAGCATATATCTGATGTATTGGTGATGGTAAGACTGTAGTTGAAGAATTTAATGGAAGGGTAGAAACACGAGTTTTACTTGCTAGAAGCGCTGAAGCAGATCAAGATAATGCTTGTCTTTACTATAAGGAGGTCATTATTTAAAATATAAAAACTTTCATAAAACGTTTTTAAAGTATTTATTCAAGAGTAAGTCAATTTCATGTAAATTACTCCAGTTATGTAATCATGTAATGATTATAGCAAAACATGTTCGCCAATAGCGACATAGTGCATTTGTAAGAAAAGCAGATGTGCTCCTAGTTTACGAATACGGACTAGATAACTGTAAAAACAATACACAATAAGAATAAGAATATATATTTCCTAGGTCCCAAAGTCGATTGAGCTGATGTCGGACATTTAAATATGCAAATGGGTAAGTAAAATGGGGGAAGATTGTAGATGTAGTTGGCATATATTAATATCTTGTATGAATGTTAGCTACTGGAAAGTTTCACTTGAGACGTTATAGGTTACCCTTAATGTGAAAAAGTTGGCATGGCTTTTCCTCTTTTGATCGCTTTGGGTAAAGAAATAAAGTGAAGCCGAAAAATAAATAGCTGTAAATTTTTGTTTGGATGGAAGGGTGAATCTGTAATAATAAACATGTTTTCTATATTTGGGGGTGAACACAGAGATGGAAATAGGTATATACATTAACTGGCGATTCTTCTATAAATATACTAATCTATTTTGAATACGGTAATTCATATGTTTAGTAACTGTAGGGATTTGTTTTAATTTATCATCAAGGATAACATAGTACGGTAATGAGTGATACCGAGCAGAAAGACACTACAACGAGAACAGAAGATCTCAACGTGGACAATCTAGTACTACACAATAACAACAAAAATAATAATACCGATATCGCCAATCCAGTGAGCAATATACCACCATTGGATACGAACCCTGGCGTCAAGGAACACAAGAAAGAAAGCTCGCCTATTAGGAGATCTAAGGAAGACGACGAAGAAAGTGCATTGACAAACATCGATTATACTAATCAGGAAGTCAGTGAAGAATTGAGTCGTAATTTGAATCTGTCGGACTATTGCATATCTAGTGACGCAGACACGGAGAAGATGGATAGTGATACTAATGAAAATGGTGGGTTTCCTCCAAGATTATCTGCTTTGATTCCGGATGAACCTGAGTCCGTTGAAGAACCTGTTGAAGAAGAAAAGAGTGAAGTTGTCGAGGAAGACTCTAGTAATAAGAGGTCATTTGAAGAGACTGAAATAGAAAAAGAGAACAAGAAACTGAAAGTCGATCCTTTACCAGAGACCACTATACCACAGACAGAGCAAGAAGATCATAACGACGAACATAACGAAGTTGGAAATGAAGGTGATGAAGAAGAGGATGCTCTTGATGACGAAGAAGAGGATGAAGTCGATGATTCCAAGATTACTCCAAAGTTGGATGAATCGACAAATATGGATGGATCAACAAAGGAAACCTCTTCGACTGATATAGTTCCTGTAACGAACAATGATGAAAATGTCCTCGACACGCCAAAAGTTGAGGTGGAAGTGGAAACGAATAAAGATCTTGACTTGGAGAATACGAGCCATGTTTCTGAATCTGAAGTTTTGGAAACACCTTCCAATAATTCCACTACCAATGATACAATCACTACTGTAGTGGCAGGGCCTAATGATACTGTCGAAGATAGTACAGATATAAAGGAAGAGAAGGATGACGAGGAACCTGAGGAGGAAGAGCAAGATGCTGAGGATGAGGATGAAGCCGAAGACGAAATAGATGAAGAAGAAGAAAACACCGGCGATAGTGAGCAAACGAGACAAGATGCATTGACCGATATAACTGCGATCGAGTATCAGTTTGCTGAATTAAGACAGAAATTGTATGAGACTAAACTTTATAAGTTAGAATTGGAATTACAAATGTGTCTTGAAGGTTCTCATCCAGAATTACGTGGTTATTATGAGAAAATTGCCAGTATCAGAGATTATAAATTACGCCGTGCATATCAAAGGCAGCGTTATGAATTGAAATGTATCGATACAGAGACGCGTGCGACAAGGACGTTTATCCATCAAGGTTATCACAAGAGAATGTGTGATACAAAGAATAAACTTTTGGACAACACTACTCAAAGATGGTACGATATCAACAAAGAGAGGCGTGATATGGATATAGTGGTTCCCGAAGTACATTACCATGTCCCAATAAAGACCGCTGATAAGACACTAAGTTGTATCACGGGATATGCTGGGCCTGCCAGATTATTATTGCCTGGAGAACCCATCAGCGAGGACTTACAATGTGAGAATATTGAATTTAAATACAGGAATAACCCAGTAGATAAATTAGAGGTGATAGTGGACCGTATGAGATTGAATAATGAGTTGAGTGATTTGCAAGGTCTGAAGAAGTACTATCACGGGTTCCCCGGCGCACCTTCACTCAACAGTCTCAGGGATTCCGAGATCAACGACGATTTCGAGGCGTTGCAGCAGCAGTTGCAACGGCTCCAACATCCACAAGCGTTACAATCGCCTCCCCAGTAAATAGATTCGTTAGTAAGTACGCCACATTATGATACACAAATAATAATAATAATATAATAATAGTAATAACCGATGACACATCCAGCAAAATCTCCGATACCCAGATCAGTGACTACAAAAACACGGCAAACTTCACCGTACCTCCACAGTATTACGTAATCCATCCCCAACCCCCATCTCCAGCATCAACAAGAGCTCCTTATCGGTGGTGACAAGCGCAATGCTCCATTTTCCCCCTCGAAGTTGTTACTACGGGTACCACCCGTGCACGTGACCCCACACTGCAATATCGCCGCAAACTTCCACAGTTTTCCTCCCCACGCGGCCAATGCCCTTCGCTGCCACCAAAAAAATCACAAAATTTTTCACTTTCTGTCACCGTTTTACGTAAGCAGGAAGGTAGTGAGTGATAGCAAGAGGGAAGGTTATCGAAGCACATGGAATTAGGAAACAGAGAAGGAGGGATGACTTGCTATTCACTTAGACCTTGGAGTGTTGTCGAGGATATATAAAGGACTGATTCAATTGATGTTTTAAACTTAGAATTCAGAAACTTTCCCAAATTATGAGACTTCCTTCTACTAATAGTTTTAAATTTATTCTAAGAAGAAGAAATCATTCCTATATCAATACATTATATAGATCAATAACGACAAATACTACAATGACCCTACAAGCTACTGACAAATTTGCTACTAAGGCTATCCATGCCGGTGAACACACTGACTCTCACGGTTCCGTCATCGAACCAATCTCTTTGTCTACTACTTTCAAGCAATCTGCACCAGCTCAACCAATTGGTACTTACGAATATTCTCGTTCTCAAAACCCAAACAGAGAAAACTTGGAAAACGCCATTGCTGCTCTAGAAAACGGTAAGTACGGTCTAGCCTTCTCTTCTGGTTCTGCCACTACCGCTATCATCCTACAATCTCTACCACAAGGTTCTCACGCCATCTCTATCGGTGATGTCTACGGTGGTACTCACAGATACTTCACCAAGGTTGCTACCGCTCACGGTGTCGACACCACTTTCACAAACAACTTGCTAGAAGACCTACCATCTTTGGTTAAGGAAAACACCAAGTTGGTTTGGATTGAATCCCCAACTAACCCAACTTTGAAGGTGACTGACATTAGAGCTGTCTCCGACAAAATTAAGTCTCTAAACAAGGACATTCTATTGGTTGTCGACAACACTTTCTTGTCCCCATACTTATCTAACCCATTGAACTTCGGTGCTGATATTGTTGTTCACTCTGCCACCAAATACATCAATGGTCATTCAGATGTTGTGCTCGGTGTTTTGGCTACTAACGACAAGGCCGTTTACGAAAGATTACAATTCTTACAAAACGCTGTCGGTGCCATCCCATCCCCATTCGATGCTTGGTTAACTCACAGAGGTCTAAAGACTTTACACTTACGTGTCAGACAAGCTGCTTTGAACGCTACCAAGATTGCTGAGTTCCTAGCTTCCAACGAAAACGTTGTCTCTGTCAACTACCCAGGTCTACCAACTCATCCAAACTACGATGTTGTCAAGAAGCAACACCGTGACGCTCTAGGTGGTGGTATGATTTCCTTCAGAGTTAAGGGTGGTGCCGAAGGTGCTGCTAAGTTCTCTTCTGCTACTAGACTATTCACATTGGCTGAATCCCTAGGTGGTATCGAATCTCTATTGGAAGTCCCAGCTGTCATGACTCATGGTGGTATTCCAAAGGAAGCCAGAGAAGCTACTGGTGTCTTTGATGATTTAGTTAGATTGTCTGTTGGTATCGAAGATGCTGATGATTTATTAGATGATGTTAAGCAAGCTCTACTAGCTGCTACTAAATAGATAGGTTTCTCTTCAAGATTTCTCTTCTATCTCTGATCATTGTAACTATTACTAATAATATACATCCGTCCATCCGTTAATATATATACATACATACTCATATCATTCCTTATCTCATTCATAGCAATAAAAAGAAACATTAATAAATAATTGTATTCAAAATTTAATAACTAAACACGTTACATTTAGATATACGTCATATATATATATATATGATATTTCGATAAAAGATATTATCATCCTATATTCATCGAAGTTTCTTAAATTTGATAGAAATGTATATCACTTTTTACGGATAATTCTATTACATGGAACGTTCAACACTTTTAAGTTGAACTCAAGTTCCAGTTTTAAAAGAACAACAACCGAAAGACAGAGCATTTGACCATAGAGAAGCCTAACTAAGATTGTTTTGATATTTGAAAAGTGAAAGTACAGATGTCAAGAGTACTGAGGACAAGAACTCGGTCCCATGACACTACAGTTAAAGCAGAACCATCAACAATATCAACGACAACTCCAGAACCACAACCACAACCTACAAGAAATCGCAGAAAACGTAAACAAGAATCAGATGAAGAGGTATCAGATATAAATGATGACGACGATGAATTGACTGTGTCCAAGAACGTTGAAGGCAGACCCTTTGAGATCATTGATTTCTTGCCAGCCTCCATCGACCCACCAAACTATAACTCTGCATTGACGCATCCATTGTCCGTGAAGGACTCAGCTGTGTTGTATAATTCATTAATTCAATCTCGTAAGACGTGGTTGAAAGGTGAGATGTTCGAGTTATACTGGATACGGCCGCAGAGAGATCCCAATCATCCAAACCCTGTTGCAAATGCTGGTATAAGAGACAGAATGCAAAAGATGTGTGATTGCACAATGGTTGCAGGTCCACATAAATTTGATATAAGATTATTTATCTTGAAAGATGAAGAGCTTGAAGCTAAATGGCAAGATGAGCAAGATCAAGTTAAGAAAGAAAGAGAAGAAAAGAAAGTTGAAGCAATTGAGGAAAAGAAAAAACGTATAGAAAATAGGAAACAACAAGCTTTGTTAAGAAAAGAGGAGAAGGAACAACGATCTTTGCAGTTGAAAGAGGACCGTCTAAAGGCTAAACAGGAACAGGAGTTAATGAGAATACGATTGAAGGAAGAAAAACAAAGAAAGAAAGAAGAAGAACGTTTATTAAAAAAACAAGAGAAAGAAAGAAAGGCCAAAGAAAAGCAAGAATTGGCAAGAGAAAAACAAGAATTAGCGAAAGAGAAGAAGAAAGCCAAAGCTACTTTAAAGGCCAATTTAAAAGCTAGTTCGAAAGCCAATGCAAAGACTAACATAACTTCAAAAAAGAAAAAGAGTTCTAACCCAGTCAGTTCAAATATGATTTCTAACTTAAACCGTATGGCCCAAAGTGATCCTGCATTAAATAGACTTATGAATAGAGTCGCCAAGAATGAAGCCACAGAAGAAGAAGTTAAAAAATTTAAAGAAATTATGGAAATTGCAGAAAAGATGGGTGCACCTTCAGCTTCTCCACCATCTTCTAAGAAAAACAAATCACAAGATACTAAAGCAAATATGCCAATTGTCCCAATGAAGAACAAAGGTTCACAGGATAGTTCACCAGATAACAATGAAGAAAATCTAAAAGAAAAAACACAAAAAATTGAAGTTCACAAGGACCAGAAGGGTCAAGAAGCCCAAAAGGGTCAAGAAGACCAAAAGGATCAAGAAGACCAAAAGGATCAGAAAGATGAAAGGAATGAAGAATCAAAATTTGGAACGTTGAAGGTGGTTATGGAGTCGAAACAATTAAACAAGGATAGATCAAAAGAAAATGTACATTCAAACGTACAGCTGGATAAAGATGAAAAGAAGGAAGATGAGTCAACGAAGGAACAAATATCAGTGGGAAACAATGATTCGATAATGGACAACAAAGAAACAAATGAAAAAATATCACCATCACCTACAAATTCAGAACAAAAGACGATTGAACACAAATCTGAAGATATACCCAAGAACTCTAATGAAAAGTCAAATGCACCAGACCTTGTGTCTAATGCTGATACAAAAGATAAATCAATGGCTCATGTAAATAATGAACAAGAAAGTACCGAAATAAAAAGGGAAAAGAACGATTCAGATGTAAATAACCCTCCTAAGAAAAGAAGGAACTCAAAGAGGGATAGTATTGCTGAAAACGTAGTTGAAGAGCAAAAATTAACGGCATTTCAACAAAAATATGTTGATGATGCGCATTTAGTATTAGAGTATGTCGAATTTACAAACTTCAGGTATCGTTTACCTAACGAATGTATAATCGAATTTGATGAAAATGAAGGAAGGTTTATTATATCGTGGATTGTAATACACAATCTCAAAGATATTTCCAAGTTTTCAAAGAAGAAAAAATTAAAAACTGTCAACGAGGCATTGTTCTTAGATGGTTGTCCAATTCCATTGTTTAGTACGATGGACATATCTTTGTATGACATTCCTACCAGATTTGAGCCGATTGTTAAAAATAGTGTTAAGTCTGTTGAAAAAGTATACAAAGTGATGGAACGAATAATAGAAATAGGGACAAGATTATCGGGATATAATTTATGGTATCAATTGGATGGATATGACGATATGGAAAGAGCCGAAGATTTAAGAATTGATCTAAACGATTATGAACATTCTTTAAGAGGTAAAAGACAAAAAAAGAATATGTAATATTAAAAGTTCCTTTTATATATTTACTATGTATTAATGAAACATCAAACACTATTGCATTTTGTTTGTTTGTTGGGTTATCGTTACAAGTCATGAGAATTAGGGGTTATGTAGAATATTGAATAGTTAATCCAAATGAAATGGGTGAAGGTGTCTTTGGGGTCACAGTATCGGTTTGATTAATAGTTGAATCATTTTGGTTGATGTACCTAATTACTGAGTTCAAATAGTCTCTGGTCAGGAATATTTCAGTACCTGCAGAGAGTAAGAATCCTTTAAATTTCCCTTCCCATAACATCCTTATGTTACGATCGCGTAAAGAAGTAGCCATTTTCCATACGTTCGTGAAGTTCTCATTGTTGAATTTATGTTCGACATCTTCGATAATGGATTTTTCTTTATCCATCTGTTCTAAAGATGATGAAAAAGTATGTGTAATATCATTTAACAATTTTATTTGTTTCTCTGGAATATTTTTTTCGTCATTTTTATTATAATCGGTTTCATCAAATATAGAGACTACATGATGATGGTTCTGATTTTCTTCCTTTAACGGTGTTTTATTAACATCCGTTGATTCGGTTGAATTCTTTCTCCAGAATTCACAACCAAATGACAAATTTGAATCGGTTGAATATAAGTTAAAATCGTACCTTGCAGCAAACGTTGTACTCATACTTGTTCTAGCTGAATATGTGGATGAAATATGTCCAAATAATGGATTCCAAGAGAGAGTTAGTGTCAATGGTCTACCAGTATTTGCAGCATGTGTGCAATACCTTAAACTTGTAGAACAACCAGGGGTCAATGTAGATAATCCCAGCCACATCTCACCACCCATTGAAAAGGATGCATTATTATACAAAGCACTGTTGAACTTTGACGGAGAACTCATGAAATTATGAAGAAACCTATATCCACAAAGAACCCCATCTGATGAAAATGTTAATTCTTGTAAATTTTCATTCTTATACTTTTGCCAATTTACAAATATAACATTCAGTTTATTGTTTGCACTACTTAATGATTTAATTGTGAGTTGGTTATGAAAATTGATTCTTTTCACAACCATTGCCTCTAAGATAGATGTAGGATAATAAATTCTACCGTAATATAACGATCGACAAATATCATTATTTGCATTGTTATTTGATTGCAAGTTATTGCGCACTTCTGAAAGATCTTGTGATTGCTTTGCAAAAAAAGGTTGGATATGTCTGTATGTATCAGTAGCATCTTGTAGGGTCCTCATTTGAGAGCCCCGTATATATTTATCCATCCCAATTGCATCGGTATAGAGATATGCCAGTGATCCCGATACCTGTTTATGTGCAGTAATTTCTAGTGTATTGAATGTATTATTTGAAGCACGATCTGAACTCTGAAACTTAAAAGTGGTCGGTATTGGGAAATTTATCAATGTGTCAGAAGTAACTGTGATATTTTCATAATTGTTATCGCGATTCCATGATGTGGATCTTTCGAATGCCCTCAGTACGTAATCCATAAAATCTAGCATCTGTACTTGGGTCGTTGTTTTTTTATATTCTCAGTTGTAGTACCGTCTTAAAAGTATAGTATAGGTCTGATTAATATTATAATCGTACCTTTAAATGTTGCTAATAGTTGTCTTTTGTTAGTTTTTTGGCTCATCGATCGTATAACGTCTTCCCGCGATTATGATCTTGCTCCACGATACTATTGGGGTCTTGAAGAATAGATATAAGCAACCTTCAAATAGCACAATTAATAATTGTTCAATTTAAACGTACAGCTTCTTAATTATTCCAATCCAAGATAACAGGGTGAACCCTTTGAGTGCTCTGTTTGTACCTCAAGGAATTGAATATGTCACTTTTCGGTCGTTTCTAAACTTGTCCCAACAACTGAAAACCCGATGCCTGTGAAAGTGGGAATCAACAAAAAATGGATAAAATTTAAAGGTAAAATAAGAAAATGTCAATACAGAGATATGAAGCCATAAAAAACTTGTTCTCTGGAATGTATTTCTCCAGGAGACAAATCAGTGCTACCAGAGATCGATTATTACTTATTTGTTTTAAGAATCAGCTGTAAATCTGGACACTTTCATTATCTTACACTCGTTAAAACACATTCGTTTAGAGAAATTAGGGAAATTCCCTCTTACAAAGACACTGATACGTCATTCCAGGAATCCCCATCTATAACATGGAATCTACTACACCCATGAAGGAAGATGGTCGAGGTAGTTCTGCTAATGTGATTAAACCTTCAACCATGACGCCTCCTGAGATGAAACTAAACGATTCAAAACAAGATGATTCACGTGGGAGAGAGTTAGGGAGTGATAGCAACAGGAACAGGTCAAGCATAGATAATAGTCCACTCAAGAAACTTGCAACAGCAATACCTATAACTCCGTCAAAAGTGTCTGTGAAATCAGATCAATCAATTGATGAACGATTAGATACTCCTTATATGGATCCACCAGATTTATTAGGTCTTTCATCAACTAATTCTAGTGTCACAAAGAACACACCAAGATCTGCGAGAAGGAAGTCCTTTGGTAGAGAATCGAGTAGCAAGAGTCGACGTAACTCCAATCAGATATCACCAACATCAATGATATTCCGAAACTTATTAATCATGGAGGAAGATTTACGTAATCAAGCAAGAGAACAAAAAAAACTAAGATGGCAATATACTGGATTTTTATCCTGCTTAGCAGGTGCGGCAGCATTTTCCATATATGAATTATATTTCAGTGAGGTTGTGGTTAAAGGTATATACAGATTTTTCTTACAATTTACTATATGTTTCATCTCAATTACTTTGGTCCTGTTTCATCTAAGTGGTCAGTACAAGAGAACAATAGTGATACCCAGAAGGTTTTTTGTCTCTACAAATAAAGGAATACGACAGTTTAACATAAGATTGGTTAAAGTTCATTCAACATGGGATGAAAACCTCACGGATATGATTAGGCTAGCCATGAACGCATTTTCGGATTCAAATATATGGCTCTGTGAAGAAATATTAACTTTCTGGAAACCTATCATTCTCTTACGGTTTTGGCATGGCGTGAAACTGAGATGTCAACCAAGGATTGGTGCTGTAGACGTCAAGATTGTTTTGAATCCAAGGGCTTTTAGTGCTGAGATTAGAGAAGGTTGGGAGATATATCGTGATGAATTTTGGGCTAGAGAAGGTGCAAGAAGACGTAAAACTGTAAACGAAGCAAAGTCATAAAAGTACCATCTATTGAATAGTATATGTGTCAAATTTTTATAGCATCGTATATAATAACTTCTATTTATCAATATAAAATATTCGTCATTAATTAAAGTATTTCTAGTACTTGTCTGTGTGTTTATGGATGCTTCCTCACAACACTCCCTTTAATTATAAGTGGTTGAACGATGAACTATTTATAAAGAAAAGTCATCGCGAATTGTCACTGAAATTAAGGAAGTAGGGTCCAAGATCACGCAATCACCCAAGCAACAAATAAGACGAAGAAAAGACTTATAATATGCTTTGTTTATTCCAATCAAGATTACTTCCACACTCATTAAAGTCCATTGGGACGATACCCATTCGTTCTTTCACAGTTGGTATATCCCAAAGAATAAGAACGAAACCCCTAGTTATATCTCGTAATGTAAATTCTAATGGTTGGACTAAGAAATGGATATTCACTACAGGTGCCGTAACTCTTTTCACTATGGCAAATTTCAAGCCAGATAATAGTACAATCGAGAATGAAACAGTTGTTAAAGAGGTATCTTTCCCTATTCCTATTGAAGTTGTTGAGAACAATTCAAAAGAAGAGAAAAAGTTACGTCGTAAATCTTACTACAGACAACTATGTCTGGGGTCAATATGTGGTATAATAGCGGGTTTATTATTTATAAAGGTGTCTGTTGTTGCACTTTATGTTGGTGTATTTGGAGTTTTAGGACTGGAGTGGTTAAAGAGTAGAAATTTAATAACAATAGACCATAGTGAAATGTTGAGACTTACGAGGCGTCAATTAACCAGGGTACTTTTCCTTGGACGAGATACTGTTACAGATTTAAATTTGTTTAATTTAAGTTTCCTCACAGCTTCAGTTTTAACCTACTATTATATCTAAAAATGTGATATATTCTCTCTTTTCCTTAACATCACATTGATGAAACTATATATATATTAGTAATTTATTTGACGATTCGGTATATGTTAGTCGTAATGATAATCATTTTATTAAGCAGTTATATAAAACTACAAATATCTTTATTATACTCTTAAACAAAGTTAGAAGAACGGCTCTTGAATAGCAATTGAATAGCTAGAGCTTGAATGACACTAATACCTACCATCAAAGCCATGACTAGAATAGAAAACCATTTTAATCTGGAACCGGTAGATTCAACAGTAGACATGTTTCTCCATTCTCTGGCCCTCAGGTAGTTCATTGTCTTTGAAATCTTGTTCAAATTTCTGTCGACTTCTTCAATAGCATTGTTAGCAATAGCATCTTCACTATTAGTGTTGATGGATCCCTCTTCTTGAATATCCTTCTCTAGCTCAAGGGTCATTTCGACCTTCTTTACAGCAGTACCATATGAATTGCTGAAACAGAATTTATATTGACCTAAACCAAATGATCTCAATAAGAAATCAGAGTACTTCTTTTGTTTTTCCTTAACAATTTTATTTCCATCTGGTGCAGTGATTTCGAAATCCACTTCAAAGTTACCACCAGTTAGGACTTGGTAACTGACCACTAGTGCATCACTTTTTGAAATAAGATCATGGTAGACACATTCTTGTGTAAAGGATGGTAAAGTAATGGTAAATGAGGAGTACTTCGATGAGACTGCAAATGCAGTTGTCACGATGGACAACAATGTTAGCAAAAACAATTTAGAGCTCATATTGTTCGTTACTAATAAGATAAATTACCAAATTGTTCCTCTTTTGTTATTAGGCAACCTTTTTGATTGAGATAAATAATACCAAGTTAGTTTCAATATATGATCGTTGCATTTCCTTTAAGTTGTACTTCGTTCAAAAACCTGTCACTGTTTGTTTGGATCACGAAATCTTCGAATTTCAATATTGAATAATTTTCATTTCTTTAGATGGGAGGAGGATTCAATATTTCCGAAGAACGCCCCGTAGAACTTGCGGTAACTATGACACGTAAGAATTAAATAAAAAACTTGTTATAATGATAATAGAAATTAGAGAATTTCAACAAACAACAGAAGAATAGAGAAAGGAAGATGAGAATAGTCTTTAAATATAGCAAGCATTCATTTCACCTTTCTTGAAAAAGAACAATTGGCGTTGTAATTGTGTAACAATTCCATGGTCTGTTCTGGTCAGGGTCTTTTGAGGATTAGTAGTTATTTTAAGAAGCATATTAACTGACAACACCACTTCACGGTGAGTTAAGTTGAGCAATTGTGTTCTTTTGCTGATCAATTTAACTAATGTAATTCCCTTGTATTCTATATTATTAGTTTGTGTGCAGTTATTAATATAGTTCAAGGCTATACATACACCCTCTGGATCTGAATCGACGTACAATTTCACATTAATACGTTCGTTGCAAAGTAATAACCTATTCAAGAATCGTTTCGTTAGATGATCAGGATAACCTTTTCCGGTAACAAATATAGTATTCTTTAAAAAAGTTGAAACATTTATAGAATTTGTAACAATTTTATTGAATATGGCTTCTTTTTCAAATACTATGACATTGTATTCATTGGTGGGATCCAATTTAATGATTGTTAAATCATTGATATATGGAATTAATTCAATAGTGTCTGCATTGATTGAACACTTTGTATTGATGTTTAAAATTACTGGTATATGTATCGTTGAATAAATCAATCCTTTTTGAGCAGCAACGATATTCAATTCATCTCTTGACTTCAACTTATAATTTCTAGAAATAATGCCCAACCAATACACTACATTCCTTTGATTCTGATACAATTCCACATTGGAATAAAAAATGTCTCTTATTGTACTGGTGGTAAACTTACTTTGCCTTTCAACGATAGTCCGTAACAAAGTCACTAACATGGCTACATTGTTCCCACTGGACTTCAAATGAGGTTCTTTGCCGTAATAAGGGAATCTTATCTTCTTATTTCGTCTTTTACCATTGTAGAGTACCAACGTTAAGGTTTGGGTGGAATATTCAAGAGAACGCAGCAAAAACATGACTGTTGTGGACAACGTTTCCTGAAAGGACGATGATTCAATTGGTGATTCCATATTAATGATGCGACATTTTGGTGTTAATGCCTGGACTAATGATTTCTTGGTATCATGGACTTCCATATATTCACTGAGACATTTCTTCATAGTTGTTGGATGTTTGGAAATAGATATGTATGTGTATGTGTATGTGTGTGTGTTATTTAGCCGCCCAGTGTGAAATATAAGAAAATATTTATACTTGTTATTAGTTTTTTAAAATAAGGATATATAGAAAATTTTGAAATAGATAATTACATTAAGTTAAGTTATCAAATACAGATATAAGGAATGTGAATAAGTATTGCGAATAAATGAAATGGGGAGGGGAGGGATAGACAATATAATGCTAATGAAGAAGTGGTGGAGGAGGACTGATCTTGGACAAATAAATCATAAGTCAAATTTTTCTTCCAAGTATTTCATCTTACTCTTGAAATGGTCACTATCTAAGAAACAACTTCTAAACAATCTTGTGTCTTCTTTGTTATTTGTTTCGAAATTGTTTCTTGAATGTAGGACTCTTCTATTGTTCATGATAATACAAGAGTTTTCTGGTAATTTAATCATGAATTGATTTTTTTCCTCGTGAGTTAAAGTTTCAAACATCTCCAACCCTCTAACAAAATCGCTAAAAGTAAATCTTTCGATCAATTTCCCTGGGGCAGTCAAGATACAATTTTCTGTATCTGTTGATTCTGAATCGGTATCCTTTGGAATCTTGTTGTAGATACCATAAGTGAAAGGAGCTTGAAAAGGTGGAGAGTAATTGACATTTCTAATCAGATATTCATAGTTAGCGGGTTCGATGTTATGTTCACTTGTATCATTTTGTTCGATCACTGGACGAGATTCGAAGTAGCGCATATCGCCTTTAGCATATTTATAATTTACCGGAACAATTTGTAAAGCTTCATAAGCTTCAGTGTCTTGTTCTCTAATTGAACGACCGATATTGAAGCCGTCAACAAAGAAATTTTCTCCACCTTTAGTCTCATTCTTAATGGATTGAATAAATTTAAAACCTGGGACATGTTGCATATATTGTAAATCCATATGGAAAGGTAATTTAATGTTAGTTGACGAAATATGAGTATCATCTTCTTTTAAGTTATTAATATCAAAAGTTTCTCCGTACACAGTTTTTCTAATTGGACCAATTCTTTCACATAACGATTTTAATAATTCTGGGTTTTGAGATTCTTCCTTTGGTAAGTTTGTAATTAAAGTCAAACCATATCTTTGTAAATTAATAAGAGCATCGAATAAAGTTCTATCATCTTCCATGAATTTAGAATAGTCAGTTTCAAAATGTTCCATGGAGTTTTCGAATCTATGTTTATTCCAAATGATTGGTCTAAACATAGAAGATTGATTTCTTAAGGATCTTGTTGCAAAAGTGGAACCTTTATATCTATAAAGGAAATCCAATGGATAATCGTAAGAGTCACCATCTTTCCAAGTAATGTTCACCGATTGAGAATCCTTAGAGATCTTGATCACGTTAGGAATGGTGTGAATCTTCTTCAAAGCCAATTGGCCAGTAGTGAACAGTTTTTGTCCAGTCTTTGCATCCACAGAAGTTGGAGAGCGAGAAGCGTCTCTTAGAAACAGGTTATTGAAACAGACTTTAAAAGGTTTCTTCGTAGAGGCTTCCTCGATCAAAAAAGTAAAAGTGATGGAATCGTGAGTCGAGGCAGCATTTAAAATAGTACCTTCGAACTGTGTGTTCGAGGTCGCGATATCGGAAATATACGAACTCATAATGTTATAATAATAGTAGTTGTTGTAGTAGTAGCAGTTGCAGTAGCAGTTGTAGTTATAGCACTATATAATTGTCTATTGCAAGAAAGAAATAATAAACCGAACTAAATCACGTAAGCTTCTTCCTGCCTTCCCCCCTATATATACGTGTGCCAGCAGCAGCAGTTCTGGTCGAAGTTCAGGAAGTACGATTAAACAGAAATAAATAAATCCCCTTTTTTCCACCGCTGATCGAGGGAGCGGAGAAGAGGGACAGCAGCAGCAGCAGCAATTTCCGATAGCCTCGCGCCCCTCCACCCACTCCGCCCACTCGCCCGCCCGGTCAAACAGGAAGCAGGCAGAGACAGGCAGACGGGGCGAACCGGCGTGACCGGCGCGCTGGTGGGCGTGCCGGTGGGTGGGCGTGGGTGGGTCTCCCTCTGCCTGTCTTCGTCCCCCCGCACTGATTGGTCGAGATTGTTATTACTTAATAAGAGAGGGGCAGAAGAAGAAGATGAAGTAGATGACTTAATCCGCAAGGCAGGAGAAAGGAGCTGTAAGCTTACGTATATATGACTGTCGTTTGTGTTGGGGTGTATGTAATATGTATAAAAGAATGCTGGGGTGAGGGGGAGGGGAAGGGTGGTTAATTAGAAGGTTTGAGGCTGACGAGCATGCGAATGACCTGGCTGGATATCCAGATTGTCTCCCGAATAGTCATCTTCATCCATTTCATTGACAGGCTCGAGGATTTGATCCTTGACGAAATCTGTCAGTTCGATCTCTTCATCTTGGAACCCAGCTTCGTTACGAAGTTTTGGATAATAATATTTGTAGTAAATGTATTGGCCCGCAATGTAGAAATCTAATGACATTTGAAAGAATGCAAATAAGAAAAATAGAATCGAAATATTCTTGGCACCAAACACTAAATATGTAATCTTTAACGTATCACCACACAGCCAACTAACTAGCAAAATTAATTTAAACCCTTGAATAGATTTTAATGTATATAAGATTGCAATTTGTGGTAATGGTAATAAGGACTCCACTAATAACCCTAACGAACCAATAATAGATCCTAACAATTGTGCAAATTCTTCCCAATCTAATACTTTTGAAATTAATACGGTTAATAAGATTTGTAAAGTAGCAAAAATTGCAAGAAATTTCCAATATGTACTTTTATCTGCCCATTGCCAAAATGCAAAGACACGTTTATACCCAGGATCAAAAAATTTTAAAAACTTATAGACGCATGCTAAGACAACTTTGTAACCAAATAAGGATAATTTTTTAAATGATAATGTCTTTAAATTATTAATTAATTGTTGTGGTTTATTATTATATTGCAACATATTACCAGAATCGAAAAATTCTAACCATATCTCGTGTAATAGCGTACTCATTGATTCAACGTCTTTCAAATTATGGTATTTATATTCTTCAGGTCTGTATTTCAAACTAGTACGTAATAATACTAATTGAATTAACACCATCACTATCGATTGACGCAACAATGTGATTTCGTACGGCGTAATCAAATAGTATGATATTCTAAGAATACTCGCAATCATCATGGTAGCACATATATCTATCGAAAATCCAAGAGCTGTCTTGCATCGTTCAATACTGATCACAGTAGAACCATACGAGAATAATGGCGTAAACGATATTAAATTGTTCGCAATAAATTGCATCGTCAACCATTCAGGGATATAGAATTGATCCACTCTAGGTAAGTATGACGACAAAGTATCAGACATGGTGGGTTCCTCAGTCTTGATCGCTTCAACGACCGTATCCTGCACTGGAGCATCCATTTATTATAGAGTGCCAAGTAACTTCTAGTAAATTGTATATCAGTATCACCGCCTCTAAAATACTTGTATATATATATGTATACCAATGGAAATATAAGTGGTTGTTATAACAATACAAAGTACCTTACCTAGATCTTTCCCTTTCTTTCTATATATATCGTTCTTGCAAAATAATGTATTTCTTTCTGTCTTGTCTTGCTTTGTTGTACTTTGCTTTGTTTTGTTTTGTATTTTCTTCTCTTTTTTCACTGCGTTTATTCGCCATTCTTTTATTTTCATTGTGATGCTAAGCTTTGTTTGTTGTTGTTTTTTCAACAGCACTAAGTGCAACACATATACATATATAGTGTTGATGAAGATAATGAATGATCCATTACTGGACAAAGTTAGATAAACAGTATAGTTATTTGGACATTGCCATAAGTAAATTTAGGGTACTTCTTTCTTTAACGACATCACATTACAACTATTTTATTTTATTTTATTTTATTTTTACATATATTTACTTGTCATTTTGTTCATAGATGGAATTTTCTTTTCTTAGTCTTTAAACAATCGATTGAAGATATGCTTTGCGTGTTGAGGACTCCTCTGCCCTTTGTGATTTATTAATGGCTTCCCATTTAGGTTCATCCTTAAACAATCTCAACGCTTTAATATAATTGGTTGTATCTAGAGCAAATCTGTGATATATCCCAGCAGGCACAATCAATAAGTCGCCAGGGTCCACTTTACACCTTATCCATTCACCACTATGGTTGTCACGGATATCGAAGTATCCTGTACCTTCCAAACAGTACCTTATTTCTTCGTCTTCATGCAGATGTTCCTCATAGAAAATGGCAAGTTTCTTCTGGAATAGACTTTCATCATTCCCAAACGTACTGACTTGAATATTCACAGTATCTTGATTCTTATAGTCTCTCTCTTTGGCTAATGCTTCCACTTCCGGCTGTGTCTTGAGATATCTATAGATCACGCCCAATTTTTCAAGCCTCTCTAATGTGACAGGGACCCCAGCGTCGTGAGTCTCCCTGGCATCCACACTATTGTCATTATCATGAATGTATGCTTTAACCATCTTTTTCTTATTTAAATACTCTTCTATTAATGTGATTCTGTACAACGTTGTTTTCCACTAGTCAGGAATTGAGAAAACAGTTGTGTATTCAGGAAATAGGATGTGTGTTCTTTATATAAGGGAACAAGCTGTGGCCTCGTCTGCTTGGGGGATATACCGGTTTAGCCATATATGCATATATTATTTTTTCTTAACTATGCAAGGGCAAGGAAGACAAACAAAAAAGTGTGTAAAGAGCAATATTTCGCCGCTATTACCACCGCTTTTGATAAGAGATGTATGTATGTTGCAGTTATTCATTAAGAAGCACTATATATATATACATATTTGAAGTGTAATGTTTGTTTGAGTTCGTGGTAGTATAGTTTGTTGGTATACAGAGACGAATCTTGAACCTGCAAACAGCAGTTGTTAGAAGTACATTCTTGTAACGGCTACTTTGATCTTAGCCATAGTGTCTTTGAGTGAATAGGAGTTAATAAATGGTACTTAATAATGTAGAAGTTAACACCTAGTGTTTCCTAAGGCGTCGCTCTTCTCCGTGTCTGTAAATGGAGTGCAGAGTATACTCTCTCCCAAATATTTTATGTTTTGGTAGGAAATATTAACATTCTATATATTTTTGTTAACTTTGGTAGTTAATAAGAAAGGATGTAGTTGTTTTGTTGAAGTAAACAAAAAAATAAAAGTGATAATCTTTCAATTATCTTACTTAACACATTAAGATACATAATATATCAATTGACAGAAGCTATAGTCCTGCGAATAAACATTTTATACTTTTTGAGTACACTAGCAAGAGAATGCAAACCGTAGGATATATTTATAGAAACTGTTTCTATCCACATACAGTAATCACTACACGGTAACCTTTTTCTCTATTAGAAAATACGATAAAAACATGTATATATGCAATGATCGGCCTTCCATAGTACTAGTATTCATCACCATCCTGCCCTACAGTGTGTTTCCCACTTATTTCTGGTTTGTTTCTGTTTCCCGTTATAGTCCACTATTTAAAAGTTCTGGCAATTTTGGACTTTGTGGGAATTCGAACATTTTTCGGCGTTCGTTGCTGGTGCAAAGGGAGAGAGAGAAGCGAGAGAGACGCTGACGTTAACATTGCTAAATAGATGTGTGAGTTTCGTTTTCCCAGTAATAATAATTCCTTCTGTGCATTGCTGGTTTTAAAAATGACCAGGTTGTGGTCTGGTCTAGCAATGTAGAAGAGATAGGCTAGCAGTTTGAACACGATAAGGAGGGAAAGTTTGGTTTTTAGTGGTAACGGGGAAAGACAGTAGATATAAGAGCCACCCTATGAAAGAATTCCAAATGACTCTTTTTCATTCGTGCATGACTTACATATAATATAATACAGAGTATTGAACCTACTTTATTATCTGATGAACAGTAATTTTGGCTGTTATGTGTAAGTAGATGTATAGTATGAGATACCCTACTAAATCAAACTTTATAATATCTATAAATAGTGATGGAATCTGAGAATATCTCAGGTAGCACCTAGTAAATCTTATCGATAATCCTTTTCCACTTAGTTATTTAACTCATTTGTATCTTGCAATTAAGAGTTACATAATGAGTTAAATTACTTACAAACAAATTAGGAATACCTGATGATATATTTTAGAGCAGCTAAACAAATATAAAAAGCCCGGTACTTCCATAACAGTGAGTTAAAAGCCTAGAACTCATCTACGTTATTCTTTTTTCTTATACGTATAGATCTAATATATATATCAGCAGCACAATTTCTACAAATACACCTCTATAAACCGATTATCCTTAGAACTATCTGTATTTTATTACCTAAGAAAATGGCTTATTTACTTCTTCCATATTTAGGAAATAAGACACTAAGGGATCATTCCAATCCACAAGTTCCACATTCTTTGAACTGAAACTCCAAAAAGAGACTCTTTCTTGTTGATTTTCAACAGTGACGGTTATCCATTTTAGATTAATTAAGTTTTGTGTCACTAATGCATCGCGCCCCTCTCAAATGTGTCGGCGTGTCGTTCTTAAAATGGTAATCAACCTCTGACCTTTCAGCAGTGGACGGTTACACCCAGATAAATAGGCATACCAAAAGATAAAAACCAGTTGCAGAAAACTGGAATCGTAATTCTCCTTTATTCGGAATACCCCACGATGACTAAAGGGTTCAAAGTGGGTAATTATTAGCGATCCTGCGCAGTTTGTTTCTTGGCACATAGACTAAAATTAGCCACTACCATTCTGAAATGGGATGAGGGGCTATCATAATGTTTTCTGTCGTGAACGACTAACACTGATTATATTCGTTAAGTTCTATTTCTTTTCTTAGGGGGAGTTGCAATAACGACTGTTTTGGGTAGTGGGGTCGATCCACAATAATATCAAATACTATCACGAAAAATATGTCCAGCTGAATTAGTGTACTATCTCAAAATTTCCCTGTTTAACTTAGTTTCTTTTGGAAGGGTGTAGAACCCTTTTTAATTCAATTTACAGGAATTGAAATATATAAAAAGATTTGTACTCTTTCCTATTTTCCTAAAATTAACTAGATTCCTTTTCATTCTTTTCTTTAGTTTGTAACTTGTTCCAGTCTACGACCACCACAATAATTTTTGCTTAAATATATAAAATAAAAAAACTATATTGCTATATATCTCTTTCTCAACATGCATCCTTCTAATGCTGCAATTTTTGCAACTCCAAACTCTTTATTTGACTTCACTCCTTTCAATGGAGGTGACAATAATAATCATAAGGTTATCAAGTCCGCTTTGACATTTGAGAAACAACAACTGGAGGACAGTTATTTCAATTTCGAAGACACTACATTCAATGATGTTCTAACATTTGAAGAAATGTTAGAATATTCGTTTTCTTCAACTAATAATGACATAAACTCCAATACAAAACTTGATGACTCTAATGTCATTGACATGTCAATAAATCAAGCTTATTCCGCCCGTGAAGTCGTTCCAACAGACACATTTAATTTTGAAGAAGAGTTTAAAAATGTGTCACAATTTTTCGAAGATGATACAGATATTGCGTCCACACCAGCCAGGGGGAGCCATACTACTAGAAAAGTTGCAGGGACTATTACACCAGATAGTGCCAATTCAGTTTCACCAATCCTTGCAAAACTTCACCGCAATGAACAATACATGTCTGGAGCTGATATCCTACATATCTACAAAGAATCATTGAAGAATACTTCAATGATTGGTATGCCACATGATAACAATGCTGGTAATAATAATAAGAGCGGCTCTGAAGTAGATTATTCGGATGTGGAGTACATTCCAACAAACTCCTCTTCATCTTCCTCCGAAGGTCCAAGTTCCATGTCCTATAGGTCCAAAACGTATCCGATCAAGAAGGCCAATCCAAAATACAAAATTAAAGAGATCCAAGACACTACAATTCTAGAAGAAATTAGAAAAGAAGAATCTGTAGACGATCCTCAAAGAGAGATTATTTTCAAACAAGCCAAACCTGTCAAGTGCGGTAAATGTTCTAAATGGTTTCAAAGTAAACACCATACTGACAGACACAATATCTCTGTTCATTTAAATGAAAGAAACTATGCTTGCACTCTATGTGAAAAGAGATTCAAACGGTTTGAACATTTACAAGTACATTTCAAAAGTATTCATCAAATGATAGCGAAACGTTGCAAAAAGGAAAAGTCTCTTATGGAGATCAAGCCAATTGAAAAAGATCAAAAAAAAGAAAAAGAAGAACCTCCTGAAAAGGAGCAATCTGATAAGTTAGACTCTTTCTGAAAACCTACAGAAAATGGATAAAAGTCATTTCCTTTTCTTATTTTTAATTTATTACTGTATATCAATATTCTATTAAAAAAACAAAACAAACAAAAACACATCAAAAAGTATAAAACTATTAAAAAAAAGCTGTAAAATAAAAAAAAATTATTATAAAAAATATATTTGTATAAACGTAATTGTATAATTTCAATCCATTTTCTTTCAAAAATATTTGTTTTCTCTTCTATGGCTTGCTATATATAGATATGTATAATCTAAATTAAACAACGTTAATCAGTATTGAACTATTTGTCACAGTGTTCTTACTCCCATCTACACAAACATGTATACATTCTTTTTACGTACGTATACAAACCCAGCATACTCCGCCTTTAATTAAACTCTAAATCTAACTTCAACTGTACATAATCCTTAAATTAACAACCACCAAGTACATGTTTCCATTAGCAACAGTATATCTCTCTCATAGTGTGTCACTCCAGGTGCCTCTTTTCGCTATATTTCTTCGCTCCTCCCATCTGCGAACGAACGCTGCCAGTCGCAGTGTGAGCGAAGCGAAGAAACCCGCCATCCTCATTTCCGGCAGGTGAAAACGAACACTTGGAAGGGAGAAACAAACTGGAAACAGTTCATCCACTCTCAGTGGCAGACACCGCCAAACGCAGCCATCTTTAGTCGCTCGCGCGTTCTCTCTCTCTCATTCCATTCGTTTGTTTACCAGTAAACAAAATAGCATTGTGCATTGCTATACATACATTCAGATAGATAAAGCACCGCACAAGAAGAACTGAAAATTTTTCAGTTCTTCAAGAAACAGCAAACAATAACAAATAACTAAAACAAAAGATGTAATAATAACTCTGTTCTTTTGCAAGTAACACAACGTCTTTCTCTCCCTTTGTTCAGATTATAAATAGTATCATTTTCATATTATATGAACGACTTCTACGCTGGTTCTTAGCCCGTTTGCATCCAATTATGGAACGATTTTGATCTCCTATTACCTGAAACGGGTTCTTGCTTTCACTAAGTAATGCTAACAGCATTGCTGGACTTCTCATTACCGAATCAGGTAATGCTTGCACATATGTAGTAGTAATTATTACACTAAGAGAGTGATTTTCTATTGACGTTGTTATCCTTGATAAAATTTTATTTATTGCTAGTTTCTGTCGGCTTTGATATAATTTACTATATATATATATATAGACATGCTTAAACGAATATTTCAGTTTTTTCCTCAAGTTGAATAGTTTCTTGTTTCTTTACTTGTCAACTAGACCTTGAGATAATCACACATATTCACATTCACATTCACATTCACATTTATAACTATGCGTCTAAGTAATATAATACAGTCTGTACTTAGCGTAGCAGCACTTTCAAACATCGCTATTGCTGCTGATTCTAACTCTACTTCCAACTCCACCGCTCCAATTACTATCGATGGTAATGCCTTCTATAACTCTGCCACTAAGGAAAGATTCTATATTAGAGGTGTAGACTACCAACCAGGTGGTTCTTCTAACCTAACAGATCCTTTGGCTGATGCTGACATCTGTGGTCGTGATGTTCCTGTATTCAAGGATCTAGGTATCAACACAGTCAGAGTATACACCGTGGACAACTCTCTTGATCATACCGAATGTATGAAATTGTTGTCCGATGCAGGTATCTATTTGATTCTAGACGTTAACACCCCGACTTCTGCCATTTCAAGACTGAATCCAAGTTGTTCTTATAACGCGGACTACTTACAAAACGTGTTTGCTACTATCGATACTTTTGCCACTTACGATAACGTTCTAGGGTTCTTTGCTGGTAACGAAGTCATTAACAGTGATAACACTACTAATACTGCAACATACGTCAAGGCCGTCGTTAGAGACATGAAGAAATATATTAAGGCAAGAAACTATAGAACCATCCCCGTCGGTTACTCTGCTGCTGATATTGTAGCCAATAGAGCTCTAAGTGCCCAATATTTCAATTGTGGTGATGATGCCGATGCTAGAATTGACATGTTTGGTGTAAATGATTATTCTTGGTGTGGTCCTTCATCCTTTGGTGTGTCTGGTTACGCAACAAAGATGCAATTATACAAAAACTACTCTATTCCAATCTTTTTATCCGAATTCGGTTGTAATAAAGTTGTATCAAACAGACCATTCACCGAAATTGAATCCATTTACTCTACACAAATGAGTAGTGTTTTCAGTGGTGGTCTAGTCTACGAATACTCCAACGAAACTAATAACTATGGTTTAGTGAAAATTGATTCAGACGGTACCAGTGTCACTAAGTTGACCGATTACGAAAACTTGAAGAGCGAATACGCCAAGGTTTCCAACCCAACTGGTGACGGTGGCGCCTATGCTGGTAATGATTACTCTACTTGTCCAGATTATGAAAAGGATACTTGGGAAGCTAATAACACTTTGCCTGATATGCCTACTGCTGCTTCTGCCTACTTCAAGAGTGGAGCAGGTGAACCAATGGGTACTTTTATCTCCACGCAGAACAGTTGTCATGATGACGATGATGACGATATTGTAAGTTTGTCTAGTGTTGCTTCTTCTTCTTCCTCAGCTGTTGAATCCAGCTCTTCATCCGAAGCAGAATCTACGTCGACTTCTAGCACAACCACCATGTCTTCCAGCACTGTAGCATCATCTACTTCATCTTCCAGCTCGAAGTCCAGCAAGTCTAAACATTCTAAAGGCGCTGCTGGTACTTTAGAAATCCCAGCAATTTTCCAATTGTTATCTCAAACTTTTGGCTACATATTGTAATATTATCATGATCATTAAACAACATACACGCTTATATATTTAAAACCTTTATACACACATAAACATACCATTATTAATTAATCTTTATTTTTTTATGCCTAACTCAGTTGGGTTGTTGCTGGTGCATTTGTCTCTTTATCCTTTGGAAAGTAGCACCATTATTCAACTGAATAGCCGTACTTAAATTATTGCTATTTCTTGTAGCCATATATGTGAAATCGATCTCCGAGGATACCATATGATCAGTATCTGTAACAGTAGTAGCAGGTTTAATACATGTCTCTTCAATATTTGAACATTTCTCGCATGTATCCGATGAACCTGAACAACTAAACACGGAATCATTCTTGGCTTTAATAGAAATAGTAGCCTTTTCGTCACTAGTGTGTTCCAATTCCGTACAGACACAATTTGAGTCATCATTACAAAACCCACATTTACTAGGTGTCTCGTCCACTTCGACTTTCTTCTCATCGACGACAACAACGGCAGCAGTCGCATCCACAGTGGCGCCTTGCTCCTGCACTTTCTTCAATTCCTGCAACTCTTTTTCCTTAACATTATATTTATTTTTCCAATGTAGGACCAATTTTTGCAAAGATTCAATCGAATCTTCCAATTCTTTAATCTTATTAGCTTTTCTCTCCCTGTACGCACGCTGAGCTGCTCTATTCTGGAACTGCTTCTTCTGTTCGACACTAGCGACCGCACCCTTCTCCACACTGTCATCTTTCTTCTTATGTCTTGCTTTCATCACACCACCACCAGCAGTCGTGCTGGTGGTCCTTGGGGGTAAAGTCCAGTTCTTCGAGATTAAAATCTTTGAGAGCCGAAGAGACTCGTCGACCCCCGCTTGTTTTGGTTTCAATTCACGTAACGACATTGTGATCCTACCAATAACACATATAATCCTCACTTATCTATACATAACCCACCGATACTTCATCTATATATATATCTGAACGTTCTACTTCTCTGTATGTATTTGCTTATTAATGTAAATCCACATCTGAAAAGTTCACCAAAGTTACCGTCCCTCTTCCTGTCCGCACTATATAATACATCATACCGAAAAACTGTCAATACTGGGCGTACGGCATGTGCACCCCCGTGCAGCAACTAAGAGAAGTAACAGGATGAGAGAAAATATATAACTAGGATCATGATTAAATAGGGATACATGCTTATATACACACACACACAGACTTATTCAACAACTGATGAACGATACCAATACTGCAAAGGTGGAAGGAAGCGATGGTATTATTTACTAAACATGAACATCAACGCGACTTAACCAAACAGTTGTTAGTAGCTAGTCAACTACTTATATTCATTCGATTCAGCAGGGACCGGTCATTCCTCTTGGCGTGCATCAATATATCGATCCTTGGAGTCGTCATGCTAATATCACAAATCGTCGATCACCAATACGAGTTAACCAGTGCTGTTCTGTCGTCGTCAGCCTCCTCGACGCATAGATTATCCTCCGAGACGGATCACAGTGTAGTACGCAACACCGTGAATAAATTAATGGACAACTTACAGACAGCGATACTTTTCCAAACGCTATATTCTATGTGGTATCACTGGACAGTAACACATCGACATCCAGACAGGATATATGACACAATATTCTTGTTTTTGATAGAGGACTCGTTTCCATTAAACGCATGGCCTACGTTATTTTCAGTGATACTGGATACGATACTTTTGATTATACAATTAATTATGATCAATATACAGAACAGTCGCATGCTGATAACAACAACAACCGCAACGACAACTGTTCAAGATCCCTATAATGGCAGCAGTCATCGAGAAGATTCACACGTTGATATAGATAACCAAACAGTGCTAGGTTTCCTAACCAACAACTATTATTATTCATACCATCACAATCAAGACACGGCCACTCAAGAACCACTACTACAAGAACATACTGCATCACCTGCAACCGACTACGGTAGCACCACCTAAACTGTTTGCCCACTGCTATAATCACACGTTTCCTCACTGTAGACTGTGACAGTCTCCCCCGGAAATAAATATATGTTTCAGTAATTGAAGAGAAACTCCGACGGAGAAAAGACTGCCACTGCCACTGCCGTTGCGCTCGAGACAAACAGCGCGAAGTCAGCAGCTGCAACGGGAAGAGTAAAAAAGATGAAGTTTTTAGCAGTCAATAAAAGGGATAGAATCAATAAAGAAAACCAACTTTCAGAAGTAGAAGACAACAACAACAACAACAACGTTCATCCAGAGAGAGACTGAAACTGATTGACGATTGTAGGGGAGGGTGAACCAGATAACGGAGACTGAGTTGCATAGTTAGAAGTAGGCTGGAAAAGAAATATTAAAAAACGACCACAACCACAACCACATATGGAGTATTCAGGTTTGATTCAGCAGCAACAGCGCGTTTCGGATGGAGAAATCAGAGTACAGATGGACGATGGTACTATCAAAGAGCGGCCTTCCTTGAGTGTTCATGCTGTATCTAGCGATAGCGAAAGTCTAATAGGATCAGACATTGAGGACGAAACAGAAAACACTTTATTTGATGGTGGTGCTGGTGGTAATACATTAGTCACATCACGACCATTAAGTAAAGATGATATGTTATTATTACCTCCATTACCGCAAGCATTATTACCCTCTCGACAAAGTTCGATAGTTAGTGCTACCGAGATAGAATCTCTCGGGATAAGTACCAATGCGATGATGACAATGTCGTTGAATGATAATGACAATCATGCAATATTACCTTTACCATCATTGAATCATGATCATGATCATGCAGAATATGATCATTCGGTAGATTACACATTGCAAGATCTTTCAAAAGCATTAGAGATCAGTGATCTCTCGTCAAGAGTTCATAGTAGGAATGTATCTATGTCATCATTATCCTCAATGACAAACTCCAATACAAATACAAACACAAACATAAACATAAATATAAAGACTCATGGGATACCGTCAACTATCTCTGGGCCTATCTCTGCATCTTCATCCACTACAATGTCATCACCTACTGTAATGCCTTCATTTTCATTTGGTAGTAGTACCAATAATAATAATAATAACAACAACAACAGCAGCAGTAGTATTACTATGGATACAACTTCACGAAACAATAGCAATACATCAATGATAATGATGAACAAGCGATTTTTCCCGATCAGTTTGTCGCGACAGAATAGTATTACTAGTACAAATACTATAACTAGTAGTACGAAGATTAAAGCTCGGTCTAGATCTTTATCTAATTCTAATATATTCCGTAAATTAAGTCTAGGGAGCATAAAGCCTAAACGTATACTTGAAAATGAGGTTGAAAACGAAGTTGAGCCATATCATGAACCTGTGTCTCCACATCAACGAATGAACAATACGACTAATAATTCCTTTATAATAGGTAATATTAGCACCATGAAAGAGTTAACGAAATTTGAAAAAATTAATTTTCATAATAACGAATTTGAACAAGAAACTTATATTCATGAATTAGTTGAATTACAAAAGAAAGATGATATGTTATTTGATATAATCATTAAAAAAATCACAAAAGATAATTGGAGTTCCAAGGAAGAAATCAATGATTTAAAATTACGAAGAATTAAACTTAATGAATTATGGGCCAAAAAAATAAATTATTATCAAAATTTATAAAACAAAACGTCGTATTTTGCTATCTATCTATCTATCTACCTATATAATATTAATTTTAAATTTTTATTTTTGCATATTTCTACGTTTGATTTGATTTAATAATTCAGTTGATTTTCTTTCATTAATTTTTTTCAACTTTAATTTCCAATAATGATTTTCATCGATTAAAGAATTAATTTTGTCATTAAATTGACTAATTTGCAATTGCAAAGATTTTAATTTATCTAATTTATCCAATTCTCTTTGTCGTCTCCGTTTTCTAAATCTAGCAGATGCTTCTGTATTTCTTTTACGTTTTAGTATTTGTAATTCTTCTTCGTTCTCGTTCTCGTTCTCGTTCTCATCGGGAACGATCGTACTGATATTATTATTCGTCGTCGTCGTCGCCGTCGTCGTTGATTCATTTAATGTAGTACTTACAGTTTGTAAAATATTCGTCGTGTCTAAATTTTTCAGTATACTTAGATCTAATTTATTTAAGGAATCGTCATCTCCTTTGTTAATTGCTTTAATAATTTCTTGTCCATTCCCGCTATTTACCAACAACAGAGATAATAATCTTGAACCCAATTTTGAATCGTTAGATATTAAGTTTTGCAAAACTGCACTAACTTCACTGCTCATTATTAAAATATTGTTTTACTCTTTCTCTCTAATTTCAAAGATAGTAACTAATCAAGATAATAATTATATATATTTTTCTTCATCTCCCTTATATATACTAGTTGTATCAATGACTAACTGACAATATATATTCGAGTACATTAAAATGAGTTATGAGAATCGTATAATACAGTAATCAAGAGAGAAATGTACAGATAGCCATATACATCAAATTGTGGCACACTTCTACATACTTGCTGCTCATTGTAGTTGTAGATATATAACATTATTCATACATCATTTGTGCGTAAACGTGCAGCATTTCCAGATAAATGGTATCGATTATTGTCGATATTTGTCGATATTGAACTGATCAGACAGTCAGACGTTCTATCATCCTAGTTAGTTTGCGAGTATTAGATGTATTTGATTGAATAAAGTGTGTAATATTTATCGAATAATATGTGTATTACCAGCACAAGCATTGCTAGTCATCTCTGTCTGTTGCAAGTGGTGTCTTGGTGGGCGACACACAGCACAGAGAAGGCGAATTCGTTCTGCTTGGCTCGGAGTGGCCAAATTGGCGGTGGAAAGAATTTGAAGCAAAACTGTGGTGGCGGGGTGTGTGGGTGGACAGTATTAGGGTTGTGATGGTGGGCGATGTTAGGGTTTTGAATTTTGATTGCGATTTCGATTTTGAAATTTGAATTCTCTCGTCAGAGAGAAGGAAAGGAAAAGAGAAAGTAAACAGGTGGTGGTGCTGGTGGTGGTGGGATTTCGTTGGGCGGCTATTTCCATTCGATCAGCACCTCCATATATATAATATATACAAGATATAGTACAAGATAGGCTGGTGTTTGCTTCTGCTTGTAAGAAACCTGACCAAATCGGAGCATGCTAGATGACCAGACGTATTCTGCGACAAAAGTAGAATTTGAACAACGGCTCTACCATGACTTGGAAGAACTGGATGATCCGTTGGAGTTGTTTTTGGAATACATATCCTGGTTGCATCAATACCATCAGGACGGTGCTGAGCTGTCGCAGTTGTTGAGGCGGTGTATCGACTATACTTCTAGTATAGACACTTATTCAAACGATCCACGGTTTTTGAAGATATGGCTATGGTATATTCAGTCATCGTTTGCAGCTGATCCCATGGCACAATTAAAAGAATTTGATAAAATGTTGAACTATGAGAATGGTTTGCGATTAGCATTATGGTATGAAGAAGTCGCTAAAGTATTGCATCAATTGAATCATTTGGATAGATGTTTGATGGTGTTGCAACACGGTATTAATAACAACGCAAGACCAATGGTAAGATTGAAACGGATACTGGAAGAGTATCAATCGATCGGCGCTACGGATAACACGGAGCATGAACTACTCTCATTGCATGATTGTTTGACTGTTTCAAAGGATCCTATTTATAAAATTATTGAAGTGGACGGGAGAAAACCTGAAAGAATAGATTGTAATTTTGATTTATTATATACTGAGAATGACGAGGAGTTTAATGTCGAACAATTGCTAGCTAAAGTAAGAGGTGTCTATTATCATAATCATAAGCAAAAGATTGACGTGTATCAGGATCTTACTGAGGATCTTTCTTTACCAACTAGATCTAATACAAAACATAAGATATATGTGGATACGACAGAGGAACTGACTCCATTGAAAGTGAAAAAAATGACATTGACTGCTACATCGATGACTGCTTCCACCACTACTAACCAAATTGTTAATGATCAATATACAAACGTCACTAGTACTTCCTTATTACCTTTGAAAGATGATATGTTAGAGAAGAAACCAACAAAAAAGGATTCTGTATTGACTCCACATTCTCCTACCGTGACTATGTTTTCAAAGGACGCAATGGATGACGTATATTCAATGTTTAATCAACAAGGACAACTCACACAGGATGATACAATCTCCAATACTACTACTACTACTACTATTACTCGTAATAACAACAACAACAATACAACGAATAGATACGCTGTCTTTGAAGGAGACGGGTTTACACAGGATTTTACTAGACCTAATATCGACGATTTGACAGAAGTGAAACCGAAAAGTTTATTACCGTCATTCCAACAATCTCAATTGGATAGTCATGACAATGACATCGATAACGTTACAACAGAATATAAAAGTACTTTACAAGAATTCATGACACCAATACAAGAACATACTGAACATACTGAACACACTGAACAAAATGAATTCACAGATATAAAATCTACTCAAAGTTCACCATTTTTGACACAACCACCTTCGACAATAAGAACTGCTCCTTCAAAACCATTAGTAGTAGAACATCCATTGGATTCATCTTTAAGAAACCAATTGTTATTAACAATCGATCCACCATTGGATCAATATCAAACTTTTTATAGATATAATCAATCATTGAGAATGAGCACATTATTGAAAAAAATTCATAAATTATCAAAGTCGGAAAACAAAAGTCCAATTGTAGATTTTAAAAAGACAGGAGATTTATATTGTATTAGATCAGAATTAGGTCAAGGTGGTTACGCTATTGTATATTTAGCGGAATCAAGTACAGGAAATTTAAAGGCCTTAAAGATCGAAAGACCTGCAAGTGTTTGGGAATACTATATCATGAAACAAATAGAGACAAGGCTCTCTGGTCAACAAATCTTGAAATCAATCATTCATGTTGACTCATTACATTATTTCCTGGATGAAAGTTATTTAGTATTAAATTATGCTAATCAAGGTACGGTATTAGATTTAATTAATTCAGTAGATAATGATACAAAGACTGTCGATGAATTGTTATGCATGTTTCTAACTATAGAATTAATGAAAGTTATCGAATGTATTCATGATATTGGAATCATTCATGGAGATTTAAAACCTGATAATTGTATGATACGGTTTGAACCCATTCTAACAAATTTAAATGATAATGAACAAGAAAGGCAATCATCACGATTGGGACATTATAATAGACACTCAAGGGATGGTTGGAATCATAAAGGTATATATTTAATTGATTTCGGTAGATCCTTCGATATGAGCTTGTTTCCCCAAGGAACAACTTTTAAATCTGATTGGAAGACCGATCAACAGGATTGTAGTCAAATGCGATTAGGTAAAGAATGGACATTTGAAGCAGATTATTATGGATTAGCTGGTATAATCCACTCATTATTATTTGGACAATTCATCGATACCATTAGATTACCTAACAATAAATACAAATTAAGAAAACCATTCAAACGATATTGGCATACTGAAATATGGGAAGATATTTTCAATCTCTTATTAAATAGTGGAGATAATAATTATGGAGAATTACCTGTTACATCAAAATTAAGGACTTTAAGACAATCATTAGAAAATATCTTGGAACAAGATAGTAATAGTGACAAATTACGTAGAATCGTATTAGATTTGGAGACTGATTTAATGTCGAAGGATAAAACGAACGAGACTCATATCAACAAATAAACGAAATCTTTCATATATATATATATATATATAGTTGTACATCTCAAGAAATGATCTTTTTTATATATTGTATTATATTTTTTTTATATCTATTTATGTTTATTATATTTGAATGATGAGAAGGAGATGCACGGGATTAATAAAATTCAATTTACACGAGTTTATTCTTCCTGTTTTCTGATACCACTAACGATATCATCGACTCTCAATAACAAACAAGCACTCTCAATAGCGGTCTTACAACTTTGTTGTTTAATGACTTCAGGTTCCCAAATACCATATTCGACCATATCCACTATTTTACCAGTATTACCATCAATACCTGTTGTGAAATTACCTTGAGCATGTTTAGCTCTTAATTGAGACAATACTCTAATTGGGTTTGCTCCCGAGTTTTGAATCAATGTACGTGGGATGCATTCCATGGCATCAGCAACGGCTTGGTATGGCCATTGTTGAATACCTTCCAATTGTTTAGCCTTCTCTGCTAACTTAACAGAAACTGCCATCTCGGTGGCACCACCACCTGGAGATAAGGATGGAGATAGCATGACATTACGCGCCACAGCCATGGCGTCCTGTAGATTACGTTCGACTTCATTCAATATATCCTTGGAGGCACCACGTAATACGATAGTACATGCCTTTGGAGCTTTACATTCATCGATATATGTGAAATATTCATCACCAATCAATTCAACTTCGAATCTACCACATTGAGTACCAACATCAGATTCTTTCAAATCCTCAACACGATTTACAATGGTGGCACCAGTAACACGTGCAATTCTATTATTATCGGATTTTTTCACTCTTCTTAATACAGAACAACCACCTTTCAATAGGAAATGTTGAGCTAAATCAGAGACACCCTTTTCGGTGATGACAACGTCCGGTTTAACACTTAGGATTTGTTCACACATCAATTGTACTTGTTCTTCTTCAATTTGTAAGATTCTATTCCAATCTTCCTCTTTAGTGATCTCGATATTTGTTTGAGATTCACCTTTCTTATACTCTAATGGACAATCCAATAACACTACACGAGGATCTCTACGAGAACGAGACATCTTTGGATGAACAACGTCCTTATTTAACATCACACCATCTAAAACACGTGAATCCAATACTTCCCCACCTGGGATTTTCTCTACACGAACATATCTCTTTGTATCAATATCGAATTTTGGATCATCATCAGTTACATTAATATTTTGTGAAATATCCATTCTAACTGTCTTAACTGCTTTTAAAGCCAATTCACACATTTTTTCGGACCATAGATTGATATACTTGGTACCGATTGATGCTTTAATCAACTTCTTCATTGCCTCATCGTTCTCAACATCAACAGGCTTAGAGACTTCCTTAATAACTTTCAAAGCATCTACAAGAGCTTTCTTCAAAGCTTGAATAATAATCACCGGATGAATATTTTTTTCAATCAAATATGGTGCACATTGAGTCAAGATCTCACCAGCAAGGATGATCACAGTAGTGGTCCCATCCCCGACTTCTTCGTCCTGAGTTCTAGACAATTCCAACATCGATTTGGCAGCAGGATGAGCCACATCGATTTCTCTTAGAATGGCATGACCGTCATTGGTCAGCACAAGACCACCCATTGGGTCCAGCAACATCTTCAGCATGGCTTTTGGCCCCAAACAGGTACGGATCACATCAGAGACGGCTTTAGCAGCAGTAATGTTAGAAACCTGAGCTTGACGACCAGTGGTTCTCTCTTGGCTGGTGTTCATAAATACAACTGGAGCTTGCATCTTTCAATAATAATAATAATAGAACTAGTTCCTTTTTCTCCTTCTGACACTAACTAATGCTCCTGGATATCTCTTAACAGCTTCGGAAACCTTGTCAATGATGAATTATAGCACTTCTGTCTGTCTGGTTTTAACAAAATGGGTCTCTAGTTGTGTGGTTTGTGTGTTAAATTTATCGTCAAAATTTCGATTTTTTTCAGCGAAGAAATTTTTCACTTTTTATAGAGGGGAGGGTAACCGGAGACACTCCCTAATGAACAAGACAAGAGAATCAAGAGTGCTACAAGAACATTACTAGCCCACTTCAACCGTTGTGAACCCTCTATACCTTGGTGTCACAGGTTAGCACAACAAGTCCATGGAATGCCACGTCTGAAAAAAGGGGAGCACCAGCCACCCCTGTCACCTCCCAAGGTGAATCACGAGAACACCAACTATCACCAACACCAAGCGCACATATATATAGAAGACCCCACCCCAAACATCGAGGACCTCCACGACTTATAATGGGACCATTCGAACAGCAACGTCCAGTGTTCAACGTCTCCCTCCCCCCTTCACTGCAGTTCCTCATACAAAATTTTCTGGTTCTCTTCGCTGAGAGGAAAAGCGACGAAACGAAAAACAACGAAATTTGATTGGAAAGAAGAAGAAGAAACCACCAACTTTGGGTATTTCAAGGAAGGGAAGGCTAGAGACACACTGGGTTAGACTGTCTATTACATTACTACAGTTGCATATATACCAAGCAGGACGTGCAATGATGTTAGGAAGCACTACTAAAGGCAAAATCACTGGTGCTGTGACGGTGTTGCAACAGACAAGAAACATCTCAAAGAGAAGGATAGCATATCCAACTTATCCATTCAAGAGACTTACAAGACAACATCCAAAGAAACATGATTCGAATTTAAAATATGCAATGAGACAGTTTTTGGGACCAAAGAATTATAAAGGGGAGTATCCGTTGAATAAATATAATGACATACCTTTAAATCATGAACCAAATTATTTGGATCCTCGTGGTGAAAGGGGTGTCTCCTTGAGAAACCCTTTGAATGGTAAAGGTTTGCAAGAAAACATGAGAGGTCAATTAGAAGAGATTTCGACGTATGACCGTGGCAACGACCGTGGCAACAACCGTGGTAGGATGGGTCAATTCAATAGAAACACTCCAAAATTGCAACCTTTCCCGTTGAATCCATATTGTAAGACTAACTACATGATATCTAATGATACAAAATTGCAAATTTATGACGATATTGAAAATAAAGGTTTATCCTCACAACAAGTATCTCAGAAATATGGGTTGAAGATCCCTAGGGTAGAAGCTATTGTTAGATTATTGAAAGTTGAAAACAAGTGGGAAAATAAAAATATGATTAGTCCCGCTTTACAAAAGATGTCTTCGACTCTATATAGAATGTTGCCTTTGTTTCAACCTGATATTGTCAACACAAGAGAAAACCTATCCGAAATTCCAGTTCCACCAAAGACTTTGAAGTCAAGATTTGTGACCATTGCTGAGTCTGAACCATTTGGTCCCATCGACGCAGCTAACGTGCTAGAGTTGGAACCGGCAATGAAAACTCTGGAGAGACTTTCTACTGAGGGGGAACATTCTGCAGGCCATACTAATACCTCGAAAAATGAACAAGAACATAAGATTAAGACTAAAGTTGTGTTGGCTGAATTAAGAAAAGGTGACAGATCCAGACTTAAGTTTAAGGACGTTAGAGCAGAAAAGGTCGCTTACCGTTACGGGTCTGTATTACGTGATAACAAGAAGGATAGAGCCATTGGGTTCAATGAGTTAGGACACATGGTATACATGTAAGAATATTTTGTCGCCCTGCCTTCCCCGTTTCTCCTTCAACATATAATATTCACAAGACACATACATACACGCACACTCTGATAAGTAAATCATCTATTATATATAAACTTGTAAATAACGAATTATATTTGATGAAATAATTGCTCCTCTCTTTCTGTTAGACTTTTCCATTTACTGGAATAATTATATTTATATATTTCTGTTAAGTTGGCTCAGTTTCTTGGCACTTTTAAAAACTTGAAAAATTCAAGCTTTAATAAGAGCAAACCATAACAAGAACAACAAGAACAACAAGAGGAATAGAACATAAAGCATATAAGGAGATCAAACACACTGATCATGGAGTGCTATATACCATTAGATTCGACAATATCGAATACCGACTATGAGGCTTTAAATGAATCTCACAACAAGAGACAATTTGTTATCTTTGATGAACAATTGAAACTAGTGTTACACTCGACAAATAATTCAGATGATGATAGAAACGTGGCTCTAAAATCATTCAGTGTGTGGATCAATGACTCAATGATGCTAGAATCAACAGATATGTCCTTATTTGATGTCGATGCAACACAAAATTGTTGGATCATGAAGCCAACCGTTTGCGCTGAACAATTGTTTAGATCGACAGTCGTGATGAATAATGCTTATGATAACAATATTAAATTCAAAGTTCAGTATGGCTCTATAGACAGGAAGAGTAATGGTACCATTAAGAACAGTAAACATGAGAATACTGACGATGAAGAGAATGAATATTTACCCAATTTTGAACCCATACATATTTGGTCTCAAGTTCACAATAAAAATGATATGTCAATTGCACCAGTAAAAGAAGAGGAACCAACAAATGGGGACCAAGAAGTGACGACATTAATATCCTCAACTGAAGAGCCAGAGGAACTTACTTTAGAGTTTCCAATATATTCTTTGTTAAACATGAGACTACGAAACACATCATTACATAGTAAACAACACATAATTTCTTCATTGGATTTCCAGACTTCTAAAGCTGCCACTCAATTATCTGATAGGTACAGTATGACGAATGGGAATAACACTCTGGAGTTCAAATTTGATGAGGTTCGTTATTCATTACTCGATAGAAACTCTCATATACGATTGGATCCAATCGTCCCATTAGAGATTCCATTCAAAGCTCAGACCCACGATAGTTTCAGCATATGTTACAAACTACCATTATTGAATAATTCTTCAAATAATATACCACATCGTGTACGTGTCAAACTCATTTACAAAATCATCATATCAATGAATCAAGAATTAAAAGCGTGCCTACCGGTATTAACATCATGGGAAACTGATGTTACTATAAAGAAACCCGTGGATAATAGTGTACTATCTAGGGTCGCCTCTACATCTGTATTATCAACACCAAAATTGGTCTCAAATAGTAAAAGATTCCCAAGTCTGGCAACACATCTTAATCACAGCATAGGTAACTTTCCAACTACGAGTAATGGAAATTTACTGTACAATTCAAGTAACAATTTGCAACAAAATTCAATGACTTCATTGATTAATAACAAGATGGATAATGTTAAATTTAAATTCCTCAACAACAATTTACAAGTTATGAAAGGTGAAAAGTTCCACATGAGATTACAGATTGTCAATTCATCGAACATACCATTAGATCTAGTCGTTTATTATAACAACAACAAGAATTCTAGTCTGGCTTTAGGGTCAAGTGGTAGTAATGGGAACAACATTAACAATTCGTTCGCAACATTACCACCAACAAAACAATATCAAATATACAGGAAATTTAGTAAAGTAACAGAGGGGATTATACTACTATCAAATGACTACAAGGTACCTATAATCCAGCCCAAGCAAACATATTTTGTCGATCTAAGCTTCATTGCTATCATGTCCGGTTATTACTCTACCCTTTCTGCTTTGAAAGTATTAGACTTACAGACCAATGAACTCATAGAAGTAGGCTTGGGTGCATCGATATTAGTCAAATGAAGGCGCAATCTAAGCAGCAACAGACACAGAAATAGGCCATAAAATATATATAGAGAGTAGTTTATTGTTATATAAATCACCCAAGAATACCCATATCACTCTGCACGAACATCAAATGCATCAAAATACGCCGGAAAGGGGCCAACAGAGCAAAGAAAGCGACAAATAAGATGTGAAACAGTTTATCTATTTGAGTAACACAACCTTAAGCATAAGTAACGTTTTGGATAAGCGTAAAGATACCGGAAAAGTGATTACTTTATATCAATTGAGGAATTTTTATACGTGGTAGATTGCATCAAGAAGGAAGGTAAATAAATATATATATATATTTAGGAATCAGGAAATAAAAGAAAATTTACAAACATGTCCGAAAAGTATCCAGCCTTAGATGATGAACAAATAAATGCCTCTACTGAAAATATCGACGAAACTGATTTCTTAAAGAGAGAAGCCGATGTATTAGGTGATGAGTTTAAGACTGAGCAAGATACTAATCTGTTAGCTGATGATGCCGATGAATTCGGTGCAGAGAGTACCAATGCGCCAGTAGGGAATGTGGCTGACAATGATGACGATGACGAATTCTCTACAATGCAAAGTTCAGCTACTGAGCCAGTAGCCTCTATAGAGACTTCTCAGAACAGTCTGTCCAACCCAAATGCTGAAAAGACAATCAATGAATGGAAGGATCGTACTGAGAAAGAGATCACTGAGAGAGACGCTACACTAGAGAAAGATAAAGCTCAATTACAAGAAGACGCTGTGAAGCACATCGATGACTTTTATGAGACTTACAATACAAAGAAACAACAACAAATTGACAGTACGAGAAAGGATGAAGAAGATTTCTTGAAGAAAAGGGACGAATACTTTGCCCAAGATAATACCACATGGGATCGTGTATTGCAATTGATCAACCAAGATGACGCTAACGTTGTCGGAGGTAGAGATAGAACTAAGTTCAAGGAGATTTTACAAAGACTGAAGGGTAAGACTGATGCACCAGGTGCTTAAATATTATGAATAAAAAAATAAAACAAAAGAAAGACTCATTTATTTCCTAATTAGAATTTAGAAAAAGGAAATGCATCCATACCTCTCGTTATCTATATACTATTATTATTAGTTTTTTCTTCTAATTGTAATTAATTTCATTATTGATTAGCGAGTATGTACGATATCTACTTCAGTCCCTTAATTTTAATAAATGTATAATTAAACATCAATAATACTTTGATATTTGGAATATTCTATTGCAGAGAGCAATAAAGTGATTAATTTCTTACTCTTGTTAGAGAGATCAATATTATTATTCAATATTGATACGCCCAACTGTCCATATAGTAATTTCAACAAATTTGCATTGATTTGCATATCTTTATTATTATTCAACATATTAAATCCCTGGGCCATTACTACAATTTGAATGAAATAGTCCGAGAGATGCATAGACTTTCCTATACCAGATTTACTACGGACCAACATTTTAAACATCAACCTCCAGATGGCCCATTTGACACAAGGCTGAATATTACGAATAACAAATGAACCTAATAATTTTTCCTTGATGGAACTACGTTTCTCTAAAGATAATTCGTAAATCTCCAAAAATTTATTCATTACAGGCCTAGGCAAATCACTAGGGTCATGAAAAGCTGCAATTGTCTCTTTATAATACTGTCTAATTCGTTTGGAGTTTGTCCTTTTATTCATTATGAAACGTTTGATTGTTTTATACATTGAATGCATATTCATAACTGCGTAAACCTTAAAGAAATCGTTAATAAATGACGATGACTCCCCATATAACGATCTTGACATAATTCTCATTCGAGATGACCTTGTCTGTCTATAATATGATAAAATGACTACTGTATTTAACAATATCTGTTTTAAAGTATCAATGCTGCAAGGGCAAACTTTACTCCATACAGGAAATATGCTATCATCTAGGTATTTGACAATTTCTTGAAACCATTCAGTTGCAAGATAAACTATTAACCACATCGGTATTTCAAAGGATGATACAGCTAAACTAATCCCAATTAAGGTATACCAGGATAATAAATTGTTACGTAACCCATATGTCGTGCTGTTACTACATGATAATCCCAAACTTACTATGGCTGCCAGATTTCTTAATTGCTTCATCAAGTTCTGAGTATTCAATCTATTTACATGTCGATATTCCTTACATAGTTTAATCAATAAATAACTAATCCTAGCTACTAATAACGGTACTGATTTCTGTAATAAACTTATGAAATACTTTAATTTGGAGGTTGTTGGTTTACCAGATGAACGTCTAGATAAAATGATGCGAAGGATCCATTTTAAAATCTTATTGAAACGATGTAATGTATGGAACCCACCATATCCCATCAGTAAATATGTTCTATTCTTCTAACTAATGGGAGCTTTCTTCTAAAAGTCCCTTTCGAGTATTGACATTGTTTTGCAAATGTTGACGCTTGTTTATAAAAGAGTAATTTTTTCTTGTTATAGCGAATATTAAAGATTCGAACTAATTACCATTGGATATATAATTTTACACATATATATATAGTTTGTAAACTATGATACCTATGATGCATTAATCGAATTTAAGCCCATTTTGGCAACTCTGTTTTGAAATTGAAAGTCTTGTCATTGTCATAATATCGCCATGCATGCAAATATAATTCTAATTGTGACATCTGTGGATCTGCCATTAGAGAAACACCACATTCCTTACAAGTTCCATTGCTTTCATCTAGTTTTAAATATCTTACTGCCTTAGTCTCATTGATAATCTGTTGAAACCTTAGGCTCAATTGATCCTGAGTTAATGGCGAATGCTCCCAATGATGATAATCTTTCATGAACTGTAATCTGTTTGAATACATTGTACATTCAGTATTATATATAGAATCATTCACAATAGGAAACCCTAGTCTTGCTAGATGTATTCTTATCTGATGTGTTCTACCTGTCAATGGTTTACATGCGACAATACTTTCATTCGTTTCTGGAAGATGCCGTATAGGATAAAATATTGTCTTAGCTTCCTTTGAATCAGAAAGACCTGCTGGGAATCTTTTCTTTGGCTCAATCGAATATATAGGTGAGTTAGCAACTGTGGTAATACTATTATGTTGAAATAAGTTGTCTAATTGATCTTCTGAGAAGGTTGTCCCTGTTGTTGTATGAGGAAACCTACCACGTACTCTTGCCAAATATATTTTATTCATATCTCTAGCTCCAATCTTCATCTGTATATCTCTTGCAGCCATATTATTCTTGGCTAGAATAAGCAACCCTGACGTTACTTTGTCTAATCTATAACATGGAGATACCACCTGCCCATGGTCTTTTAGAATTTCTGTGATTGTGTTGTGATAGAATTGCCCGGTCGGATGTACAGGTATTCCTACTGGTTTATTTATCACTAAAAACCGATCATTGTTCTGAACTATCTCAAATCCTGCAATTCTCGAAGAATTATCACAATTTTCCAGTTCTAGATCACACCATTGTTTTACGGGTGGTTCATGCTTATGTTGTCTCATTGTCACAACATCTCCACTTCTTAACGGCGAACTTCTTACATCCAAGGATACATCATCTCGTTTCAACTGATAATTACCTTGAGCAATCTGTTCAATGTAATGATCTCTTGAGAAACTTCTAAATTCAGTCGTTAGGACATCGACAAGTGGTTTCCCGATCCATCGTCCCTTAACATAATTTGAATGTGTATTGTAATATGGTTTGATATACCTTAGCCCATTTGAAATATATGCCTCTGTACTCATAATTTCTTTTGCTTTATTGTATCGTGTGAGGTTCCTCTATAATTGGAATGGGGTTGACCCAATTTCATAGAGTTGTTCTCTCACTGTTTTTTTTTTTCAACTGATAATATCTATTATTTTTAAAGATTTAGGATATTTAATTAAATTAGAAGTAGGACTGTATTATATTATTTTATAATTAAATAATTAAATAATATTAAGTATAATTAATGGGGTTCTCCTATGTGAAAACAGTTCAGTAAAGTATAATACTGAAAAATTTCGCATTTCTTCTTCAAGCTGTTGCATTGGTCAAAACACATAAAACAACATAGATAATATTCTGGATGAAGAAGAAGGGAGAACACTGTTACAATGTGGTATGATAGAGATTAGTACCTCTGAAACATAATCTAAGTCACATATATGGAAATGTAGTGTAGTTGTAAAAATAATGAAATAAAATAAAAACAAATGCAATTTTTTGAATTTTTGTTAAATTGGAGGAAAAGATTAACTCACTACCAGTTACAATAATATGCTGAATGAACTCCTCAATTAATATTAATAATAATTGAGGAGTTCACATTAATATATAAAAAAGGACAAACGATAGAATATGTTATTCAATGATGACTGGCTCTTTTCTTTTGTTTACCTGCTTTTGTGCTACCTGGTCCTTTACCACCTTTGCCCAGGATTTCGTCTTCTTCTTGCATTTGAACTTCACGAGCTAGCTTCAATCTTAACTTCTCCTTCTTCTTCTCTTCTTCCTCCAATTGTTTCCTGGAGGCCTTCTTGGAACCTTGTTCCCATTTCTCAGCTTCCATAGATTCAAGCTTTCGTTCTTCAGCTCTCAATTTCTCTTTTTCTTGCTCTCTCTTTCTTGCTTGACCAGCAATCTTTTTATCCATAGATTCACTAAATCTTTTACCCATCTTTGATAATTTTATGTTGTATGATATTCAATTATATCTTTTATGCTTGTTGTAATAAATGTAAAATTAATTGTTTAATACCATCAAATACAGTATACAATTGAGCGAAAATAAAACTTCAAATAACAAGTACTCCCTTTATATATGTACGTTTAAAAAGGATATCTTTAACTACTTCTTCTTACCCAAATCTCTCCTTGTATTTGAAAAGGTATTCAGAATGGCAACTTTTACCTCATCAAACTGAAAAATTAAGGATAAGCAGCGCACGAACCCCCCAAAGTTTCATGAACCCTAAACCCGAGGGGGGAAAGTAAGGGCTACAGACAAAAACGCCCGTCCCCAGAAAAGTTATTCCAACCCTAATAATCTCGGAATAACTTCAGTTTTGACGATCAATGGGAAGAGACGAAATGCCTGCATTTATCAGATGGGTAGAACTCATCAGGGATATACCCTTTTTGAAATGAGCATTTATGTATATTAGAATTTCTCGAGAAGACATTACAGAGCCGCCATATATATTGTCAGGTAGATCAATTGCTCTTTTTGCTAGTGGCTGGGTTAGGTGCTACCAATTTTGCCAAACGCTTACGTAATAATTTATTGATAGTTTATCTCTGAGCATTATTAACATCCACAATTATGCGAATTATCCCTGGTAAGAGGCAGAAGAAGAAGGATGCTAAACAGCTGACTTTGAATCTGGCTGTGAGGATCTCATACGCAAAACATATTGACCTTATAGATAACTTTCAATGCAATCCAATTTGTTTTGTGACAACAAATACATTCTATACAAAACGAACAGCAAAGTTAAAGAATTCTAATACTCATTGGAATCAAATCCTGAAATTGAAACTACCGAGAACTCCACAGTCGGACCTATTAAGAGTTATTGTGTTTGATGCTCTACCGACAATGGCTCCAACAACGACGGCTGGTACACCACCGCTTTCAAACGCCTCTAGTGTAACCTCGATGGCTTCACTGAGTTCACCCTTTGGTAGTACATCACAACAATTACATGCTAGGTCGTCAACAACATTAGCTACCTCTTTGGGAACAGCCACCGGCGTCTCAGCAGCTATTACTACTACTGCTACAACTGACTTACATGACAGCATCGATTCTATCCAACATTTTAGTTCAGAGGCTGACCATTTAAACATACAACATTCATATTCCAATCAAAGTCTCGACCATTCTAACCAAGACCATTATAAGAGACACGTTACAAGTAATTATCTGTATATCGGTGAAGTGCAATTATCTCTCCTAGATTTATTTAAGAAGAAAGATTCAAAGAATAGTTATAATTTCTCATTGGCACCAGAGTGGTATACTTTATATGATAAGAAAAGGGAAAAGGAACAACATGATAGTGGCGTCAATATTAAATATCCCGTAGGTGAAATATATTTAGGATTTCATTTAACTACAAACGACAAGAGCTTCAGTACCATCGAGGCATATAATTCTTGGAGAAATATGCTATTCAATTCAATGTCCACCCCAGTAACATATCCCAAAGGAAAATCAAACGGTAAACTACAGGAAAGAGAACAGTTACGTACTAGGTCCAGGACAATAAGTGACCCTAGATTGGAGTCCCTAAATGTGATGAAAATGTGTGAAATACCGCCTAGTGCGGTAACCGATTCAGAGCTAGGACCATTATTGTCACAATCACGCATACGTTCGCAATCATCCTCTTCTTCGTCATCAGGATCATCTTCATGTTCTTCAGTATCAAGTTATGATAGTTACGAAACGAAACCATATATGGCAAGCAGTGAATCAAATATTAACGATGTGAGTATGGAGGGACTTATCGAAAACTTCGAACTACTCTCAGATGTTATAGCATCACCCGACAGCGAAGAACAACCAATGAATGATACACACAACATCAACAATATCGATTTGGCATCAATAGCATCGGTTCTTGATGAATATGAAGTTGTCTTACCTGAAGAAATTAACCATTCTAAGATACCAAATATTGATTTGTTATTAAATGGAGATATGATACCAGAAGTAGAAGAAGCTATTGACATTGACGACGACGATATACTTGGAGAAAATGGCATAGAAGAGAATCGTATGTACAAGATTAGGGACAAAGCAAATTCCGCAATTAGTTTCAGTTCTGAGAACATTGACAAAGGGTATGAGGATGATGATGAAAAATCCATGTCTGGTGAGGATTCTAGCGAAAATGATGATCAATCGAATGATCGAAATGGTCTTATATTTAGACCAACGGTGAAAAAATTAATCCGTATGAGACGTAGTACAAAAAGTTATAAAGAACGAATTACTAGAAAAGTTGAAACGACATTTCAAGTCTCAAAGAAACAGCATTCATTGGGTGTCATGTATACAGAATTTGTCTCCATCACAGGTTTACCACCTTTAAAGAGTAAATTGTCAAGAACTTTTGATATGGATCCGTTTATCGTAGCATCATTTGGAAGAAAAGTATTCAAAACATCTTGGAAAAAACATACCTTAAATCCAATATTTGGTGAATCAGCTGCTTTTGAAGTATTTCCATACGAAAAAAATTTTAGTTTCCATTTTAAAGTCCTAGATAAGGATTCATTTACCTTCAACGATGAAGTAGCTGAATATGACTTATCTTGGGCTGACATGATCGAAAAACTGGAAAATAAATACCCATCGAAGTGGACAAATTTTGATCTCCCTATGAAACTATTGATGAAAAAGAATTTTGGGAAGTATACTCAACCAGTACTCCATCTAAGGATGAGATTTATGCCATATATGACTTTAAAGAACACTTTTTGGAAATATGCAGTCTTGAGGAGTACCATAAAACAAAATTTTGATATGTGTGATCTTATGTTATTTTTGGATAAATTAGGGTCATTCACGGATAAAGACGTCTTGGAATTTTTTGCAAGGTTTTCAAAAAATCCTTGGTCTGGTGATTTTATCACGAAAGTCCAATTAATTGAAGGTCTACAGAATTGGAAGAAATCTGCGGAGTTTAAAAACGTGTGGAGATGTCCCAAATGTTTCAGGTCAAGAAAGAAGAGTAATAATGTCTTGAAATCTAAATTAATGATTGAGAATGATTTAATTACACATTTCGCCATCTGTAGTTTTTCCCATGCAAACAAGACGTTAAAGCCATCGTATGTGTCATCTGAGTTTGCCTCTAAGAGATGGTTTTCAAAGGTACTAATTAAATTGACATATGGTAAATATGCCCTAGGTTCAAATAATGCCAACATTCTTGTACAAGATAGAGGTACTGGTATCATTATAGAAGAAAAGATTAGTGCACATGTCAAATTTGGTATGAGAATAATTTATAATGGTAGAGGGACAGAAACCAAAAAATTCAAGACTTTATTGAAGAATATGTCAATAAGACAAGGTAAAAAATTCGATGACCCAGCATCAATTAAACAGATAGAACCGTTTATCAAATTTCATTCCTTAGATACATCACAATGTTTAGATATGGAATATAAAACTTTTAATGAGTTTTTTTATAGAAAATTAAAACCTGGAAGTAGAACCATTGAGGGGGGTGATTCTCGAATAATGGTATCATGTGCAGATTCTCGTTGTACTGTCTTTGATACAATTGCGAAATCAAAGGAAATTTGGATTAAAGGTAGTAAATTTAGCATAGATAAATTAACAGGAGATTACGAGTTAGACAAATCAAATGAGAAAAATACGAGTATTGCCATCTTTAGACTTGCGCCACAAGATTATCATCGTTTTCATAGTCCGTGTGATGGTGTAATTGGGAAACCTGTATACATTGATGGTGAATACTATACTGTTAATCCAATGGCTATTAGAAGTGGATTAGATGTCTTTGGTGAAAACATTCGAGTTGTCATACCAATACACTCTAAAGAATTTGGTACCTTTTTGTTTATTCCGGTCGGTGCTATGATGGTGGGTTCCATAATATTGACTTGTAAAGAAGGTGATTCCGTTAGGAGAGGTGAAGAACTAGGATATTTCAAATTCGGAGGATCTACTATCATATTGATCGTTCCCAAGGGTATGATACAATTTGATTCAGATATATCTAAAAACTCTAGAGAAGGTATTGAGACTCTAGTGAAAGTTGGTATGAGTGTTGGCCATTCTCCTGCTATCAAGGAGTACAAAAGGAAAGCAATTCGTGTTGTTGACCCCACCCAACTTGAAAGGATTAAAAGGACAATAAGTGTAGATGAAGAACATGCAAACAAATATCATAACGTAACGTGGGAATACAAAGAACTGGAAAAATTTATGAACCAGGATTACGGAGAGGAGGATGTAGAATCAAAGATAACTGATATCGATTCTCCTTATTAGCCAGCAAAAAATAAACATTTCTAAATCATAATTAATAATAGTTACAGCATGAATTGCATTTCATATATACTTATATACTTATATACTTATTGCATACATTTTATTTTATTTTTACAGATTTCATAATTTTATTTGTTTTATTTACATGTCGTGAGTGAATTCAGTCCCTGATGGTGCATATTCTAATGGGACGTTCCTTTTAGAGGAGTTAGCATTATCTGCATAGCTGTTATCTGCACCAATAATTACATAATCCAAAGTTCTACTTTCTGGTTTGACATCAATACGGTCCAAAAAGTTATTGGAAATTGTTGGAATGATTGGTTGTGTTAATATGGATAATATACGAGCTGTTTCAATACACAGAAATATTATCGAATCCTGTTGTAACTGAGGGTTTTCCCATGGTTTACTTACTTGGATTAGAGAATTTGCATCATTAATTAAATTCCAAATTTCTCTCAATAAGTTTGAATGATCAAATTTTTCTATCTTATCATCCATCTTTTCAGGAAGTTTATTCAATTGTTCAAAAATATTATCGATATGAGTAGTAACTTCATCATTATCCTTCCATAAACTCGATATACTGGCATATGGATCCATTGAGAATGTATTTACTGCTCTTGCGATATTAAATTTTTGACCACAACATCTATTAATTAAATTACCCCATTTAGATACAAATAATTGCCTCAATCCAGTGACATTATCTTCAATAAAATCTCCATCAGTATCGATTTTGGAATTTTCCAAAAGGTACCATCTAACAATGTCTGGACCATACTTTTTCCCAACCGTGATTGGATCCACAACGTTTCCCAGACTCTTAGACATCTTCATCCCATTAGAAATCCAATGATTATGTATTACGACACGTTTCGGTAGAGGTAAGTTGGAAGCCATCAAGAAGCTGGGCCAGTATAAACAATGAAACTTTGTGATATCCTTGCCAATTAAATGGGTAGTCTGAGTCCAATGAGGTGATGGGATGGTTGCTGGCTGTATTGTGGTATCGATACCACCTACAGCAGAAACATAGTTACAGAGAGCATCAAACCACACATATATTTTTTGTTCAGGATCATTTGGAACAGTAATACCCCATTGCAAACGCGTTGCAGGTCTTGATATTGAAAGATCCTGTAAAGGATTTACCCTCAAATCTTTTAGCAATTGATCACGTTTCGAAGGGGGATAAACAAACTCGGGATGTTCTGTTTCTATATACTTTAATATTTTATCTTGGAATGCTGATAATTTGAAATAATAATTTGTTTCAGATTGATATATTACTTCATTAAATGATTCTGTATTGATATGACGTGTTGGGTCCTTAGGATCGACAATCACTTTTGATTCAGGGTAGAAAGTTTCATCACTGATTGAATACCATCCATGATGTTCTCCCTTGTAGATATAACCATTCTTATTGCATAATTCCCACAGTTTCAACACGTTCTCAATGTGAGAGGGGTCCGTTGTACGTATAAATTTGGTAAACTTCACGTTATAAAATTTATCCAATCCTATGAACTCAGGGTATAACTTATCTACAAACTCTCTGGGATTCTTATAATGGTTCTTCTCACTAGCCAATTGTATCTTCAATCCATGTTCATCGGTCCCTGTGGTCAGTAAGGAGTCAACACCCTTCAACAATTTCCATCGATGTTGAACATCACAGAGCAAACTCGAGTACAAATGGCCCAAATGAGGCCTTGCGTTTGGGTAAAAAATGGGAGTAGTTATATGACTAACTAATCTCGCACTTCTCTTCATTTGTAATTGTCTTGTTATTCTTGCCTCTTCTTTTAGGTCTGTTATGTATTCCAATTTTTTAAGTCCCAAGTCTCTAAATATATGTATATATATACCATTTCTATTATTAAAAATTTTATTTAATTAGTTATAAATTAATTTAAACAAAGATAGCCATCAGAGCAAACACACTATAAAAGATTAGCAAAGGATATGCAATAAGTGCTCTTGCATTCTGTAATTGTAGTAAGGAGTTCAAGAACCCAGATGCAGACCAAGTAGCCCACAGGACTGCGAAAGCACCCATGGCATAACCTGGAGTGTTATCAAGATTCATGACTATCCCTACTGCTGTTAACAAACACAATGGTAAAAAACAATAACCTAGGATGGATGCTGTGTTAAAGAAATGCAAAGAAACTTGTTGTGCAGACGTAGATTGGTTAAACATCAGCTTCGATAAGCTATGTAATGACACTGTCCCGAACAGAGCCACACCATAAATATAACCGAAATGAACTTTACCAGCCAACAGTAAAAACAGCCCAAACAACATAAAGAATAGCAATGGACCAGATAAGTCTGCATCTTGTAACAACTCCTGAGACATAGAACCTTGTGATGTACGGCGTACAGGCAGTAAGACAATCTTTGTCTTGGCTAGAATATGATCAAAATGGATTCCTAGTTCCTCTAATAAAGGTGGCTCATGAGCGTAACCCTTTGTAGACAATGCATTCAAGATCCCCATAGGTAGAGGATCAGGTGCTACCCCTAGTCCCATGGAGTCGGGATTACTGCCTGTGTTAGGCATTGTAGAAGACATGGACCCCTGAGGGAACGCAAATTGTTGCGATGGTTGGTAAAACCCTTGAGGATTGTCGTTCATGTTGTTGTTATTGTATCCGTTCATCTTATATAAATAAAAATAACCTTGGCAAACTGACCTCGATACGACCAACTAAACTGGATTAACCTCCTTCCCACTGTGTGTATTGTTTACGTTGCAGTTTAGTTCAGTCTCTGTCTGTCTCTGTTTGTCTTCTTCTTATATTGAAACTTTCCAAAGAACAAAAAATTTTGGCGAAGAAAATTTCATTTTGGAAAGTTTCAATATAAGAAGAACCCTCTTGTGAAAGCAACACAAGTACCTCACTAAGTTGGAGTAGAATATATTCAAGTGATTATTACTAGCATACTGTTCCACATATTTCTGAAGAGAACGTAGACAGTAGGAATCTTTAACTATCGTAGAACAACAACTGCAAGTACAATCAATCAATCATGGGTGTCATCGAGAAGATCAAGGCCATCGAGGAAGAGATGGCCAGGACGCAGAAGAACAAGGCCACCGAGCACCATCTGGGGTTGTTGAAAGGTAAACTGGCGAGGTACAGACAGCAACTTCTTGAAGAGAATGCGGCCACTACTGGTGGTGGTGGTACTGGGTTTGAAGTTGCCAAATCTGGTGATGCCAGAGCCGTATTAATTGGGTATCCATCTGTTGGTAAGTCGTCGTTATTGGGGAAAATCACATCGACAAAGAGTGAAGTCGCCCATTATTCATTTACAACATTGACTTCTGTCCCCGGTGTTCTTAAGTACGAAGGAGCTGAGATCCAAATTGTAGATTTACCAGGTATTATTCACGGTGCATCTCAAGGTAAAGGTCGTGGTCGTCAAGTGGTATCTACCGCTAGAACAGCAGATCTTGTGGTGATGGTTCTTGATGCCACAAAAAGTCAACACCAACGTGAATCCCTAGAGGCAGAATTAGAAGCCGTGGGGATCCGTTTGAATAAGGAACGTCCAAACATTTACTACAAGAAGAAAGAGACAGGTGGTGTCAAAGTTACATTTACTGCACCACCTCAAGCAAACTTGACGGAAGATGCCATCAAGTTGATCTTGAAGGATTACCGTGTACATAATGCAGATGTGCTGGTACGTGACGATCAATGCACCATTGATGATTTCATCGATATTATCAATGATCTACATCGTAACTACATCAAATGTTTATACGTTTACAACAAGATCGATGCGGTCTCCCTAGAGGAAGTCGACAAGCTGGCCCGTGAACCAAACACTGTGGTCATCTCATGTGAGATGGACTTAGGAATGGACGACGTTGTAGAACAGATATGGTACCAATTAAACTTAAGTCGTGTATACACCAAGAAGCGTGCGTTCAAACCTAGCTTCGATGACCCTCTAGTGGTAAGGTCAAACTCTACTGTTGGGGATCTTTGTCATTCCATTCACAGAGACTTCAAGGACAAGTTTAAGTATGCCTTGGTGTGGGGTTCCTCTGCAAAACATTCACCTCAAAAGTGTGGTCTTACGCATAGAATAGACGACGAGGACGTCATTACGCTATTCACTAAATAGACATATATACATATATACATATATACATACTTACGTATCTAAATAGCCGCATTTCAGAACAATAATACACTTGTGAGCTTGGGGTTTGTAACTCTCCTGTTTCTTTATGTGGTATTGCGATGTAATTCCATCTATAATTTTTTTTCTTCCTTTTGGCTTTCAACATGAAAACAAAATAAAGAAAGAATAAATATAGAAACTGACTGATTTGAAAAGATCAAACAACGACAACAGGGACAACAGGGACAACGACTTGCTAAATAAATAAAGTATCCAGTGGAGATTCCCAGTTTTAAGAATGAGTGAGCAAGTGAACAGGAGAAAGTCGTATAGATGGACGAGTGCGTCCCAGACGAACTACGATGGGGCTGATTGGGACTCGAGCGATGAAGATGAAGAACAGAGCCATGATCAACCACAAAAGATAAAGTTACCTACGCTTCCTAAACTTGATTATGGTGGTGAAGCACAGGAGTCTGCAAACACGGACGTAGAGCTACCGCCGATGCCACAACAGGAAGTGCAACTACCTGAGGTGTCATCACCAGATGTTCAATTACCTCAAAAATTCTCTCGTCAATCGAAGAACAGTCAATTCAGTGATGATCTTGATAATTTAATGGTACAGATTTCAAAGGAGATGACACCAAAGGAATTACAACAGGCAAAGTTTGGTGAAGCTGAAGGTAAAGGCGAAGGTAAACGCATACAGGATGCCGCAGTTGGTGAATCCTTCTCTTCGGAGCAAAATACTGAAGATGATGAGATGCAGGTGTCAAAAGGTGGATATTTTGCTAGTATGGTTACTGATGATGATAATGATGATGACGAGGATGACGAGGATGATCCGGATACACAGGACCATTACGAGCCCATTGAACAGGATATAGTTAAAAATGGAGAACAAAAAGATAATACTACTGTGAATGTACCAGAAACACAAAGTGAATCAACACTCCATCTGGAGCAATATAGTACACCTCAAGCAACAACACAAACAAATATAGAAGAAACTAAGACCATCCAGACTGATACTGAGAGAAAGACCGATAATGAAAGTGAGAGCGATATTGAAAGTGATAAATCGTCATTTTTTGATGGATATGGTAGAAAGAATAGCACCGAGCAAAACGTTGAAGCAGAACCACAACAATCTGAGGAACACGAGGCTGGGAATGAATCTACATTGGCGTCTGCAGGTGCACCGATACCAGATTTATCCTATCGAGATAGCTCCGATGATTTCGAGGCCGATAATTCAAATCAATATAAGTATGATGAAGATGAAGAAGATGCTTTATCTTATACAAATTCGATCAAATATGATTCTGAAGAACCTCAAGAGGATGAGTCTCCTTTTAAATTTTCAAATAAGAAGGTACGGGAATCTATAATGCATAGTAGTTCATCTGAAAGCAACGATAAAGAAAAAGATGAAAATTCCTCAGATGAAAATTCGACAATGAACGTGTCGCAATCTGGTTATTTCTCAAAGATGATGCAAGATGATGAAAGCATTCCGGATACACCAGTAACCAAGGAATATACGGATAACATAGAACATGACTTAGATAATGATAAAAATGCAGATATACTCTCTATGCCATCTTCAGTTGAAAGTAAAGGCATTGCTGAGGCTGATGATGATAATGAAGAAGATGAAGAAGAAGATGATGGTGGTATGACAGATAAAGATGATATCCCTACTGAAAATAGTAATATTGAATTAAAAAATACAACTCACGATGAAGACAGTTCTATACTTGACACTACTCATGAAGATACAACGCAGGATAATTCGACATCTGGTGCTGAAAGCAGTACAGAAGACAAAGAGTCAGGATCTGATGATGCAGGGACGAAAAGTGACGAAGATGAGTTAATAGAGAATGAAAATACAACAGGTCTAGATAAATCAAGACAATCAGTGAACCTAGGCAAATGGAAACCAGATACAGATTCTTTGAGGTCTGGGTTCGTTCAAGAGACAGCAAAGAAGGCACCACCGGGATTTGTCTACGATGAAAATGGTAACTTAATTGACTTGACTCCATCCAGTATGAAGGGACGTGCTGTATCTACTTATTCTGGTATTGAGAGTGGGTGGAATGCTTTCCCATCAGAAGATAATGACAACTCAGGAGATTTAGAGACCATTGGAGATACCAAGACAATATACGATAACAATACAATTTATAATGTACCGGGCCTAATAGGTCGTACAAATAACTTACCACCATTACCAAATAATATAGACACCACTATGAACAATGATATCAGTAATAATGGTATTGAACAAGAGGATAAGACTAGACTTAGATCGATATCGAACGCTACATACTCCTCGGATAAGAGAGTAGAAGGTCCAGGGATCCATCAGCCAAATTCACAGGAGATAGCAAAAATAAATCAAAATAATTCTATCCCACAGCTGGATTTAAACAAACTTATAACCAGTAATATATCCAATGCTTCAAAATACGAACAACTTACGAGCTACTATGAAGAGCTAGGTAGTTATGATACGGGGATTCAAACTTGGATTAGTTATTCTTTGAAGGCGTCATCTAAGGAGAAAGAGTTTTTATTCCAGGAATACAAGGACAACAGACATGTCAGAGAAGCATATGCCAACGCTGAGGACCTTACGAAGAAGAATACAGTTATCAATACAGTGAACACAGTCAATCAAAACGTGAACCACTTAAAGAAGAAAGTCTTCTCTCACACAATGAACAGTATGAAACCCAAGATGTTATTCTCTTCCATCGGTAAGAAGAAGTTATAGAGACGATACAGTTAGATATAAACACATATATAGAATAGTAATAAATATTCTTAGCTTGGTTATATAGTTATCACCTTACGATGATGTTTCATTCTGTTTTAATCATTGATCAGGATTTCTTCATCTTGGACAGATTTCGCTTATTCTTCTTATTCGGTTTTATACATAAATAAGGGATATTAAATATTGAAAGGAACGACGAGTAACAACTTTCACAACATTTTTATTAAAACTAGACAGAAAGAAAAAGAGATCACAGTATTAAGAAGGATACGTTACGTAATCATATATTTAATAATGGGAGGCGTTTTCTATCTAGGGTTTGATCTCTCTACACAGCAATTAAAATGTCTAGCAATAGACGAACACCGATGTGTCGTTGGCGAACAAACAGTTGAATTCGATAAAGATCTACCCCAATACGAGACTGAGAAAGGGGTTTACCACAATGGAGATGTTGTTGACAGTCCAGTTGCACAGTGGCTAGAAGCGTTTGACCTCGTACTTCAACGGTTCGTTGATGCTGGGCATGATCTAAGCAAGGTCGTGGCTATATCAGGTTCATGCCAACAACATGGTTCTGTATATTGGACAGAGGAAGCGTGTGAATTATTAGAGAACTTACAAAATGGGATAGGTTCATTAAAGGATCAATTGGCTTCCACTGCCTTTGCTAGACCCACAGCTCCTAACTGGCAAGATCATAGTACAGGTAAACAGTGCCAAGAAATGGAAGATTCAGTTGGGGGTCCACAAGAGATGGCTAGGATTACTGGTTCAAGAGCACATTTTAGATTCACTGGTCCCCAAATACTTAAGATTATTCAAGAAGAACCTGATATCTATGAAAGATCGCATGTTATCACTTTGGTATCCAATTTTGCTACATCTTTACTCTGTGGTAAATTTGTTCCATTGGAAGAAGCAGATGCTTGTGGAATGAATCTGTACGATATTCAAGAAAAGAAGTTTAGTGAACCCTTGGTTCAACTATTAGAAAATAATAGACAATATAAAGTTGGTAATAGTTTACTCTCTAAATTACTAGGTGAACCTATGAGTGCTGGATCTCCACTTCGGGCGGGGGTCATTTCTCAATATTTCGTAGATAAATATGGTTTTAACAGCAATTGTTCTGTATTCCCTTTCACTGGTGATAACCTAGCGACGATTTGTTCCTTACCTCTTCGTAACAATGATGTTCTTATTTCTTTGGGGACAAGTACCACAGTATTGTTGGTGACAGATCAGTATCACCCTTCACCCAACTATCATTTATTCATTCATCCAACTATTCCTGACCATTACATGGGTATGATATGCTACTGTAACGGTTCCCTTGCAAGAGAGCAGATTCGCGATCAATTGAATGTGGTTTGTCATGACAAGAAACTTGGTAATTGGTTGAGTTTCAATGAAGCTGTTAGTGATGATAATATTGCAAACGATAATGAATTGGCAATTTATTTCCCGTTAGGTGAGATCGTCCCTAGTGTTCCAGCCACTTGTCAAAGAGTCCTGTTTGAGAATGATACAGGCGAAATCTTGCAGGTTGTCGACAACTTTAATGATTTAAGACACGATGCGAAGAATATTGTTGAGTCCCAAGCATTAAGTTGTAGAGTGCGTGTTTCCCCACTGTTGACTCCACGTCCAGGGGCATTTTACACTTCGATCCAAATCAATACAATGGTTAAATTTGACTATGACGAGCTACCATTGACGGCCTATTTTGAACGTAGACCTGCACATGCTTATTTTGTTGGTGGAGCCTCTAAGAACTTGGCCATTGTGAAACGATTCTCACAAGTTTTAGGAGCCACTGAGAGTAACTTCAGATCGGAGAATCCAAACTCATGTGCAGTCGGTGGTTGTTATAAGGCAATGTGGTCATATTTGCAGCAATCAGAAAGTCAACCTACCAATTTTGGCATGTTTTTGAAAGAACGATTTCAACCGACTGAGTTGCAATTGGTTATCAAGGGCGATGACAAAGCATGGGACAAGTACAATCGCAAGATAGTTGCTCTAAGTCGTTTGGAACAATCCCTGCAACATTGACTAATAAACAATACAACTATATAGACCCCTTTATATAGAACAATTTTATATAATGATGATAATCTTAAAAAAGACGTTTTTAGTTTCTATTGGTTTTGGTATTACAGAAAGATGAAAAGCCCCAATTTCAGCCCTTTTTTGTTTTTGCAATACAAAAATTTGAGAACGTGAAAATAATAAGGAACAATGAAATAGGGAATGTACTTGAACAAGTCGTCAATTACAATTGAAAGTGACAATACTAGGCTTATTTTTTTATTCTAGTCTAAGTTTGTGTTGGTATACCTGGAAAATTCCAATTATTTTTATTTGTTGATCATGTTGAGAGCTAATATTAGCAGACTTGGGAGACGTGTGAGTTTATGGAGGAGCATCCCATGCAAAGGATTCCACTCCCAGGGGTCCCAATTGGCAGTTAAGCCATATATGATGCCAGCTATGTCACCTACAATGGAGATGGGTGGTATTGTTGATTGGAAAGTGAAAGCAGGACAAGAATATGCAGCAGGGGATGTCTTACTTGAGATCGAGACCGACAAAGCACAGATCGATGTTGAAGCTTTAGATGATGGTAAACTCGTAAAGATCCTGAAACAAAATGGTGAAAAGGACATTGCAGTCGGTACCAGTATCGCTATCATTGCTGATGTTGATGATGATGTGAGTGCGGTTGATATAGATTCTCTAGTAGCGGGTACTAAAAAGAAGACAATATCAAAGAAAGAGGAGCCAGCCATAACGAAGGAAACAAAAGTCGCTAGTACTGTAAATGGTACAACTCAATATGTGGCCAATAAAGAGCAGACATTACTTCCTTCAGTAAGTATGTTGTTGACTGAAAATGGTATTTCCAAGGAAGATGCGTTAAAGAGTATCCCAGCAACAGGGTTGCATGGAACTCTTTTAAAGGGTGATATTCTATCTCATATTGGAAAGATTCCTAAAGATTCATCTGTTGCAATTGAGGAATATATTAATAAGTCAAGGCATTTAGATTTAACCGGTATTGAGAAGAAAATTTTGACTGCTGCACAAACGAATGATACTAATACTACTACTGTTGCAGAAAAGAAACCTCAGACTGTAAAGAAACCTACACATGTGCCAGATGTTGTTTTAAAACAAGATATCATGATGGAAGTACCATCAGATGTTAGTTATGACCACTTGTATAGTTCAGTGAAAATTTTCTTACAAGAAGCCTATCAATACGCTCATCTTGGGGATCTTGTAGGGAACCAATCTGAACATTATGATCCTATCTTTGAAGAGTTGATTACTGTGGAGCCTCGTGCCAGTAGATTCGGATACAAGTTTAGTTTAGTGTCAATGGATAACGGTAATCGCAAGATGACCTCTCAAACAAACGATATATTTGATATTCTTACCAGCACTAAAAAGCAAAATATTTCATCTATGGAGGAAATAAATGGTGATCAGTCTATAAATTATTTGTTAAATTTAGATGTGACAGTGAATGGTAACTTTTCTGATTCCAAGACAAAAGCTAATACATTCTTAGCATATGTAAGAGACCTACAGGATGTTCAAGGTTAATAGTTTATTTTGTAAATAAATAAATGTATAAGTGATAATATTAAATACAACAAAGTAACATAACTTTTTTCAATTCTTTGAGGAAGAATTATATTGATAAACATATCGTAAAAACACTTAATGTTATGTTTTTTTATAATCTTTATATAAATATGTGCATATGTTAGTAAATATATCATTAACGTTTTAAAAGTTGATGTAGCCATTGTCTTCTAGGAATAAGACAACTCTTTGGACGACATCGAAAACAGAACCATCGGTTTCACTAACTTTGATGTCAGCATCATCGGAATTACCTACTGTATAGACATTAGTCAATTTACTTTGAACCAAAGTGACATCGGTTGGGATAATTAAACCTGAACCAGCATGAACAAAATCATTAATCAATTCATGTAAAACTTCTGCGTCATCAAATTGACGATCCAAGACTTTATAGTATCTTTCACCACCAAATTGTAGGAAGATAGATAATAATGCAGTTGATAATTGTTTAGTAGAGACTTTTAAGTTCCCAGGTAATAAAGATAGAGCAAACCCTTGTTTTGGTCTTGGTGGGTTTGATTCCCTTAGAATCTTAACGACCTCCGGGTAAGAAAACCATTCTGGGATGGAAGCACCAACCTTTAAACGACGTCTTAATTCAGTACCACTGATATTCAGAGTACGTGTCACCGACGTATCGACAGTATCTATTGGAGCGTATCTATCTTCATCTGGTAAGTAAGTAACCATTCTAAATGGTACCACAGTAATTTGTAACTCATCACGATGAGATTCGACTAATTCTTGAGCGTCATAAGGGCCATAGAAATCGACACCCTTTGAGTTTTTACCTGGACCTGCATGATCTCTACCAACAATGAAATGAGTAGCACCATAATTCTTTCTAATGATTGCATGCCATAGAGCTTCACGATCACCAGCCATTCTCATTGCTAGTGGTAATAAGGATACAAGAGCCATCCCAGCAGGGTATCTTTTGACGATTTCATTGTATGCACGTACTCTTGTATGGTGATCTATATCACCGGGTTTGGTCAACCCAACCACTGGATGGATCAAGATTTTAGCGTTAGTTTCTCTAGCGGCTCTCACAGTCAATTCTCTGTGGGCTCTATGCATTGGGTTTCTAGTTTGGAAAGCAACGACACGGTCCCAATGACGAGAATCAAATTCTGCTCTCAATTGAGCTGGGGTTCTACGTGCACCGGGGTAATCATAATGGACAGGTAATTGGATACACTCTAGGGACCCACCGATGTACCAGTCACCAGCTTGTTCGTTCAAATAACGAATCGCTGGATGTTCAGGATCACCACGGAATACCTTTGCAGCCTCGACAGACTTATCTGGTTGCCAAATATCCTGGACAGTAAGGATAGCAATTGGAATCTCACCATCCTGAGACAGGACAATACGTTCTCCACTTTGTACCTTACCTTTGATGAATGATTCGTTGTTGATATCCAAAGTGATTGGCATTGGCCATAGCGTACCATCTTCAAGACGACTGGAAGAGACCACAGAATTGTAATCAGCACGGTTTAAAAACCCATCCAGTGGAGAGAACCCACCGTTTAAGATCAGTTCAATGTCACACAATTGACGTTCAGTTAGAACCCATTGGTGAGCTAACTTGGTGGATTCCTCAAGTAGGGCGTTATGACGTGGTAAGTCTCTAGCGACTAGATCTTGTAATTTACCTCCGTGTGGGGCAGGCATAGTGTATATATATGTATGTGAATATGTAGATACGTAGGTAGAACTGTTATTGAGCAAGCTAATAAAAGAAAGGCAATTTATTGTTCATCATTCTTATCCTCGATACCTGGTCCCTTATATAGGTCAAATCCCATAGCAAGACAAAAGTAGATCAGCACATCCATTATACACAATCAGTATCGAGCCAGTTGTGAACAACAGCACTGGACTGTGGTGACACTACTCCATTATGAGCACATAGGCAGTTTATATAGAGAGGCGACCCAAAGAGAATCAGAGCAAAACGGTGTGGGACTTGGGTCAATTGGAGGGCAATGTCACGTGCCACAGACAGTTACACCCACACACCGCGTACATTATCGCTACACGGCGAAAAGTTGCTCTGCGTGTCACGTTGAATTGTCCCATTCAGGAAGAGAAGATGACCGAGTTGACGATGAATAGAATAGAATAGGATAGAATGCAAAGCAATTTACTTACCTGATGGTAATATTTTTAGTCATTGTTCGACCCATGGTTGTCCAACTTTTTTCTTTAACAACAGTAGCACCCATCGTGTAAGGCCGTGAGAACTTGCTGTCGTCTGTCGCTGTTAATCTTATTGTCGGGCATCTCAAGGAACCAGAAGAATTAGTCATTTTGGAACAGAATAAATGTTCATCGCAAACTTCTTGAACTCCAATGGAAAATATCCACCACTATATACGGTTGTATTTATGCCCTATGTCTCCCAAACATTTCAAGCGGGGGCTACTTGCGGATACTGTCAACATTGTTTTCGAGGGCTGGTAGAATTAGAGTCCTATGTGCCCCCTCCCCAAACCCCCAAAACATGAGGGCTCTCGACCAAATTGCCCCCAAAAAATGCAAAAAGGGATTCTTCAAGCCCTAACTTCCCAGCCCCGAATTTTGTCGTGTCAGCCGCCGCCGCTCTTTTATCACTGTACACGAATAGCCGTATCTTCCGAACTTCTATCGGAAATTTCGTTGCCAACTAAGCCCCTCACAATTAACTAAATACACGCGGTTTTAGGCGAAATATATATATAAATATATATCCATTAGTTTATATAAGCAGGTGGTTATGACGACGACAAGATATACTTCGTTCTTTGTTTCACTATTCATAAAGGTGATTAACAACTACTATACCTATATACTTATACATTTACATACTCACAACATAAGGTGTAATGGCATTGCATAGAAATATTAACGTGTTATGGCTGACCGTTGTGGTCACATACATGATACAGACAAGATCATTTGAAAATATTGTAGGTAGAGAACAATTGGTCGACCAAGATACACAACAAGTTCTGAAGCCTCAGAGTGTTCCAAGACAAGGTTTTACAGTACATCTAGCCATCTTGTACCTATTATCATGGTATCTGTTGATTCCATTCAGTAAGATGATTTGGTCTCATAATGAAACTGAAGATGTTATGAATAACAAGAATGAAGGTTTGGATACAGAGGCCGATGAGAATGACGATAATGTCGATCTTTCAGAACCAATAGAATTACCACAGCCTGTATCGACAGATAAAGGTCTCTCCTCAAATATAAGGTATTTTGCTAAGATTTTTATTATGGCCTTCTTTTTGTCCATCACAGTAGTGACTTATACTCTAGGTTTAGGTATATCTCCATCATTTGATATTACCTTAATTCAGAACTGTGCGTTCTTCGAGATTACTACTCTATTATATGGTGTCTGTAGTGTCTCTAAAAATAAAAACGTCTTTAGAAACTTTTTGATTATGATGGTAGCTGTTACTAGTATATTGATTGTTTCTTACACTAACGCTACATGTAATTTATTAGCTGGTAAAATGTCTGTCAATAAAGAAACTAAAGAAGTTAACGATCCGTGGTTGTTCGATAGATTAAAAGCTGGGTTGATTACTGGGTTGGGATCTTTAGCTATTGGTCCATTTGCTGTCTGGTGTAATCAATGGTTTGAGCAATCACCAAGAATTGAAAAAATTAAAATTAATACTAAAACTCTATTCTATTTACCAACTTTTTCAATTCTGTTACTATTACCATTCTTAAATTTAGGTAACCTAGGTTTGATTGTTGAGGAATATTTTGCACAACCTAAATTTTGGTTAAATTTATTTGTTGGGATAGTATTTGGTGTATTACCAAATATGGTTGCAATTATTAAGTTGAACGCTCATTATCCAAATGAATTTGTTACTACATGTAATCTAGGTGTGATTATAATGACGGGCTTATTCGAGTGGATATGTGAACCTGGTCATACTGTCATTGTTAGATGGGAAGTCATCTCTTACATCTTTTTAACTTTATGCACCATTACCCTTTATTTCAGTTTACGTGGAAATATGGCACATTAGGTCTTCTTCTTCTTTTTGATAATTTTCAAACTTTACCTTCCTTTTCCCTAAATACATAACTGTTTATTGATATGACAAAATTAATATTGTTTTTTAATTATTATTATTATTATTATTCTTATTCTTATTTACAAGTAAATACATTTATTCTACTTTGTTTATTTTTTATGAGTTCTCTTATATTCCCATAAGGATTCTCTGATCTTCTCTGCACCGGAAATCTCATCAAGATTTCTACCTAGAATTGTAATAAACTTACCTTCTGGATCCATTAAATAGAAAAAAATTGAATGATCCACTAGATATTCTTGACCAGGTTTAACATTCTCAGGAGTTGAAAAATACACACGGTACTGTTTACACATTTGTTTAATTTGATCATATGTACCTGTAATACCAATAATACTACTATGGAAATCTTTCAGATATTCCTTTAACACTTCAGGACTATCTCTAGCTGGATCACAAGTGACAAATACAGGTTGTAATTCAATTCTATCCTTTTGAAGTTCATCCAACCAACATCCTAATTTGTCTAATTCATCAGGACAAATATCTGGACAATGAGAGAATCCAAAATATACTATCGAGAATTTACCTAGCATGTTTTTATCAGTGAAAGCTTGACCATCTTGATCAATCAATTGAAATGGGTGTCCACCAATTTGAGGGGTACCGTACCCCTTTCTAGATTCCTTGTCTTGTTCTGCATCCATCTTCTTCTTTTGACGTTCAAATATATAATACGATAATCCACCAACAACAAGGAAAAATGCAATAGATAATGGAGCATTGAACTCAACATTCTCAAACCTTCTACTACGTCTACTACTATTAGCTTGCGACTCACTACCACCGATTGGTTGACGGCTTAAATGAGACTTTTGATAAAGAATGGAGGCGTTGTGTAAAGTTCTCATATTTTGGAAAGAAGGGGTTACCATCTTGGATCTCATTAGTAATCTAGTGGAATTGAACCTTGTAGTGGCTAACACATTACGTACGACATTGCTATGCAACTTACCAAATTTAAGCATCGTTAGTAATGTATATTTAGAACGAGTTGGGCTTTATTCTATCTTCCTCTTTATAATTGCTAAAAAGGTTCTGGTTTCCTTATAATTTGCTCATATTTTAAATTTTCCTTCCCTTTTCTCTGCCTTTTTTATATATATTATATATTTTTCATATCACCTTTTATTTGTCTGGTTTTTTTTCATATTTGACACATTTACAAGAGAACTATGCTATGACAAAAGTAAAAGGAGATATAAGAAAGAACATCTAAGCCATTGACACTCTATTTGGTTATCATGACTATGTATGTAAATCATTTGCATGCCTATTCCTTTTATTTTTAAAAAAGAAAATGCTGTTGATTGATTATGTACAGTTTGCGTCACAGTCGTAAAGAACAACAGGTAACTACAAAATGAAGAATTTTGACAACTCCACATGATATTAAAGGTCGCTATGCTTTTTTATTAATTGATGAGCATATGTCAGAATAACATGGGAAGCTTTGTTTCATTCATTTTACTATGTCAGGAGAAGATTATTTTAGCATTCGTGAGGATCTTGAATCACAAGAAGTAGGAAATCCTAGCAAAACACTTAGCAGACATGTCACTTTCAGATCTAACTCAGATGGTAGTAAAACTCCACCAAAACGGTATATTGGATCCACTAGGGTACGTTCACTATCTGCATGGAGATTCTATTGTTATTTGATTACTTGGTGGGTTCCCAGACCTTTGCTATCTTTCTGTGGTATGAAAACGAAAGAACGAAGGGTCGCTTGGAGGGAAAAGATTGGATTACTGTCAATTATCTTCTATATTGGAATATTTGTGACTTATCTAACATTTGGTTTAAGTAGTACTCTATGTAATTATTCCAGACAACGTCTACTACATACCGATGTACCTCTGACTCATATTGCAATAAATGGCGAAGCTTATGAATATAGACATACCGATACCGATAAAGAAAGCACTGACTATGTTACGGTAACGGCTGATCTATTATATGGGCCATCTAAATATGGAGGGAAAGATGCTAGTTTTTTGTTTCAAAATGTTAACGGGAATTGTCAAGGTTTGATCACGCCCAAGGATAATTGTTCAATACCAATAGATGAAGAAAAGAACATTGGGTGGTACTTTCCTTGTTTGGTACTACCGATTGACCCATTATATGATATCATTAATATGACGAATAAGATACACCCTCGAGATTGCCATCTTTCGAACATTACTAGATCAACTTTTTATGAATTAGAAAGTGAAGCAGATATTTACTATACTTGGCAAGAAGTGAAAAACGATACAAGAAATCTAATAGTCTATAATGGTGATGTATTAGATCTCGAATTATTAGATTGGATTTTAACAAAGGATTTAGATTATCCACACTATTTTGATGAATTAAGAGATTCAAATTTACAAGGTTATGATATCTCTTTAATAAGTAATACAAATTACGAAAAACAGATCGGAAGATGTCTTTCTGAAATTATTAAGGTCGGAGAAATTGAATCGCAAACTATTGGATGTATTGCTGCTGATGTAGTTCTATACGTTGCTTTGACATTGATTTTAGGTGCAGTCTTCACAAAATTTATTATTGCTTGTTATTTCCACTGGGTTATTGCTAAAGTACAAGGAGCAACAAAATTAGATTCAAAGTCAATGCTTCAACATAATAGAGCCGTTGAAGAATGGTCTGAAAATATAAACATTCAAGGCCCACTAAGATCAAATTCAAATTCGACCTCTGCAGCAAGTAGATTATCGAGAATTATATCTCTTGAAAGTACTCTGGCAAACATGAGTAAACGTAATTCTTTGATAAATGATGATTTCTCTCAGTTTACACCTTTGGATAATCCTGTTCATAAAACTGCTGGAGCTTCAAGCGTAAAGGGTTTACATGACAAATCTAGTTCCTCCTCCATGGGAAGTAGTTCACTTATCAGCAATAACTGTAACAGTGGGGTATGTATCATTCACACCTTAAATTCATCTTTGGTGACTGCAAATGTTGTGCAACAACAACCTACTTTATTCACACCATACAATTTCCCATTAATCCATACACTATGTTTGGTAACATGTTATTCAGAGGATAAAACGGGATTGAGAACCACATTAGATTCTCTTGCCATAACAGACTACCCAAATTCACATAAATTGATTTTTGTTATATGTGATGGTCTAATTAAGGGATCCGGCAACGCCGATATTACACCTGATATAGTCTTAGATATGGTTGAAGACTTTATTGTACCACGACATGAAGTTCACCCGCATTCGTATGTAGCAGTTGCCTCTGGTCTTAAACGTCACAATATGGCCAAAGTGTACGCAGGATTTTATAAATATGACAATGATACAATACCTTTGGAGAATCAACAAAAAGTCCCAGTAGTGGTCGTAGTGAAATGTGGAACATTAGAAGAACAACTTTCTCCAAAACCAGGAAACAGAGGTAAGAGAGATTCGCAGATTATTTTAATGTCTTTTTTACAAAAATTGACCTTCAATGAAAGGATGACTAGATTAGATTTTGAAATTCTTGCTAATATATGGAGAATTACTGGGTTGATGGCTGACGTGTATGAGGCTGTTCTGATGGTAGATGCAGATACAAAAGTATTTCCAGATTCCTTGAGTCATATGATTGCGGAGTTAGTGAAAGATCCTGAGATTATGGGTCTATGCGGTGAAACAAAAATTGCAAACAAAAGGGAATCTTGGGTGACCGCTATTCAAGTCTTCGAATATTATATATCTCATCATCAGATTAAGGCCTTTGAATCGGTCTTTTGTTCAGTTACATGTTTACCTGGATGTTTTTCGATGTATAGAATCAAATCACCAAAGGGATCTGATGGATTATGGATTCCAATACTAATAAACCCAGACATTGTTGAGAAATACTCTGATAATGATATTACTACTTTGCATAAGAAGAATTTATTGTTGTTGGGTGAAGATAGATATTTAACATCATTGATGTTGAAAACTTTTCCAAAGCGTAAGCAGGTGTTTGTTCCAAAGGCAGCGTGTAAAACAATTGTGCCTTCGAAATTTTCAGTATTACTTTCTCAGAGGAGACGATGGATTAATTCAACTGTTCATAACTTGTTTGAGCTGGTTTTAGTTAAGGATTTATGTGGCACATTTTGTTTCTCGATGCAATTCATTATTATTATAGAATTAATTGGTACTCTGGTGTTACCACTGGCAATATGTTTTACTCTATACGTTATTACCATTTCCATATTCTCATCGCCAACTCCGACAATGACACTATGTCTGTTGGCACTTATTTTGGGGCTTCCAGGTGCATTAGTTGTCGTTACAGTATCTAGTTTTTCATACGTTCTCTGGTTACTAGTATACATTATTGCTTTACCAATTTGGAATTTAATATTGCCAACGTATGCATATTGGAAATTTGATGATTTTTCATGGGGTGATACAAGAAAGGTTGTTGGAGAGAATATACACAATGGACATGACGAACCAAACAGTGAGTTTGAGCATTCTATGATTAGAATGAAAACTTGGAAGCAGTTCGAGAAAGAGATGACAATACAGAGTCTTCCGACAATAGAAGAAATTAGTTGAAAAGAGAAATTATTTTTGTAAAAACGATAAATAATATGGAAATGTTTTTTATTTGATTTTATTTATTTGTAACTTATATATCAAAGTATATTATTAAATATTAAAAAAGTTCTAAAAAAAAGATAAAGAAATGCAGAAAAGTAATTTACAGGGTTTTGCGAAGTAGCAATAATCGAAGATTCAGGAAAGAACAAAATAGATCATTTCTTCTTTTTTGTCATTTTTCCAACTAGCTTAGTAATCTTTGAAGGATCTAGAAGTTTAGTTTGTCTGACGTGAATTACGTAGTAAACACCAATCATGGCAAAAATGTTAAAAACAATGTAAATCCAGTAGATACCAAAGTTTCTCCATAAGTGGCTATATTCAGCATTAACGTAAGACAAGTATTCGTCACCGACGGAGTAGATACAGTAAGCACAATCAGTAGTAGCCTCTGGATTTTCAATATAACCAGTATTGGACTTTAGGAAAGCACTCATGTATTGACCACAAGTTTGTCCATTTGGTGGATTGAAGTAACTGTATTCCTTCTTAGAACATTTGACAGGTTTGTTGTGCAATAGAACACCAATTAAGTTCTGCACGAAGTAAGTATATGGAGATGTCTTCCACATAAACGTCCAGAAACCAGGCATTAAGGATTTTGGTTGCACGACACCACAGAATGCGATTAGGAAAGATAGACATAGACCCAGAATAATGTTGGCAGATTGTAAGTTAGGAGCCATGTATAAGACCAATAAACCTAGACCGACATAATATAGTTGGAACATAACAGAGTAATTCAAATAGTAAACGGCAGATGCAGAAGCTTCGAAGTGAATTCTTAATGGGAAATATGAAGAAACAAAGAAAATAGCAGAAAACAGTAAGTGGTATGGAATTTCACTCAAATATTGAGAAATTAAAACAAATGACCAATGGAACATATTAGATTTGGACTCTCTGACTTCAAATAATTCTCTGGCAGCAATAGCTCTAGCTTGTATTTGATTCATAGCTGGTGCGGAGATAATGATAGAAATGAAAGCAGCAAACATGGCATTCTGTAGACCAATGTGACTGTCACCAGGATCATAGAAAGTGAAACCAATGTATAGACCACCAACGGTCATCAGCATCATCTTAGACATGATATAATCCAAGTTTCTCCAGAAAGTAGTAGCGGTTCTCAAATAGACGTATCTAAATTGGTAAAGGTAAGAAGTAGCGTATTTCGAAGGTTCGGAACCGACTTCAGATTCATCCTTCTTTTGAGATAGCTCTGTAATCATTTCGTCGACTTTTTGGTTCGATTTAACGAAATTATCAGAATTGACCCAAATGTCATGCCAGTCCTCTTGAACAGAAGCAGTTGCACCGGCACCAATAGCCTCTAGAATATATTCAGCAGGGTTCTCTTCTTTGGTACATTTTCTAGCACCATGACTTTCGAAGTAGCCCAACAGAGTCTTAGAATTTTCACCAATATCCCCAAAGTAGACGGTTTGACCACCTTTCTTCAGTAGTAATAATCTGTCAAATTGTTCGAATAAAGTAGCAGAAGGTTGATGGATGGTACATAAAATACTTTGACCAACCTCAGCCAGTTTTCTTAGCAGTTGGATAATAGACCATGATGATTGAGAGTCCAAACCCGAAGTTGGTTCATCTAAAAACAATAAGACATCAGGTTTAGCGACTAATTCGACACCAATAGACAATTTCTTTCTTTGTTCGACATTTAAACCATTACCAATTGCACCGACCAAAGCTTCAGCATATTCTTCCATGTCAAGTAATTCAATAATTTTTTCGACGTAAGCACATTTTTCTTCATCTGGAATCGATTGGGGACGACGCATTCTAGCAGAGAACACTAAGGATTCTCTAACAGTCAATTCAGCGATATGGATATCTTGTTGTTGCACGTAACCACTACGTCTTTCAAAACTTTTGTCAATTGGACGACCATTGACTAACATGTCACCTGTAATGATACCAACGTTTCTTTGAGCCAAAGTATTCAATAGAGTAGTCTTACCAGCACCAGATTCACCCATCAAAGCAGTCATAGTACCAGGAACACAGTAACCAGAGACATTATCTAACAATTGACGTTGACCACCATCGTATGGGATAGTGTAACAAACGTTTCTCCAAATGAATGCACCTGCAGCCTTAAGTTCTTCGAAGATTGGAGCAGAGTCAGCAGCACTACTTGCACTACTTGAAAATTTTTCTTTAGCATCAATACTATCGTTAGCAGATTCTTCATCATTAATGGCTGTGAATCTTTTAGCACCTTTCTTGAAAATCAAAGCGTCACCACCACCTTTAACTGGTCTCTTATATTCAGTGACTACGGCTTTAATAATACCGTAACCTAATAGGAAACACCACATAATACCAAAATTTCTCCAAGTATCCTTATATTTATATTGGAAAGACAAATTTAGGTAATCGTCACCAAGGACCCATGATTGACCTGGTTTAGAACCAACAAATGCACAAACACGGTTAGCGTCAGTAATGTTTTGATAACCAGGGCCAGAAGGAACTAAAGTATCACCACAGCTCATGTGTCTACCATGGAATTCAGCATTAAGCATCGATTCAAAAGCGTATCTGATTGGTAAGATATAAGAAATCCATTTGAACCATGGATGCATGGAAGGTAATTGAATCATATAAGTGGAGTACATGGAGATAGACAACATCAGAATACCAGAAATAGAGTTTGCTTGAGATATATTATCACAACCAGCGGAAATCATTTCAAATAAACCATTGATTGCCTCGGAACACATTGTCAAGAACAAATAAACGATAAAGAAAGAATGAGCGGTTCTGTTTAAACCAGATAAGAAGTAGATAATAATTAGGAAACATGTAAGACCTAACATTCTGAATGGGAAACCAGAGATGGTACTAGCCAAGGCTTCAGCAGAAGGATGATATAACGAGTAACCTTTATGTTTTTGAAGGATTGGTCTATGTTCAAAACTAATATTTGCCAACCCCATTAAGGAGTAGTATAACAGACAGAAATATAAGACACCCCCTCTTGAGAATGCACCCGAAGTACTTGAAGGAGCATTGTAATATAGAGAACCCGAAACAAAGGATTGAACGATAGCAGCCACGATATTTGTCACAGTGGCACTCTTATCACCATAAATTCTTTGGAACCCACGTTGTGTACATAATCTAACTTGTTCCCAATATGATACAGTATAATAAGATTTAGTTCTAGCATATTTTGATTTTTCGTCAGCCATAGATTTTCTATACATAGATTCCACGTCATCGGCGTTCACTTGTTCTTTATAATTTTCGATATCTTTTTTCAAAGCTTCAAATTCTGGGGAGTTCAACCAATAATGTTCGAATTCTTCAGCGGTACGTGGTACTTTATGTTCATAGCCCGATTTGATTTGATGGAACCCATTAGGATCAGTAACGGCAGTCAAGAATTCAGCAGTGACTTGTCTTGGAGGACATTCATAACCCATATTAGTAAAATATTTCTTTGCGTCATGAATCAAACCATAATAGATTTGTCTCCCGGAATGAATCACGGTGACTTTATCGAAACATTCGTAGATGTTCTCACTTGCTTGATAGATGGTGACAAATGCAGTAGACCCTAACAAATTGGTCATGATACGAATAGCTTTAGCGTATTCCAAAGCTGTAGAGGCATCCAGCCCTCTAGTGGCATTATCCCAACAATATACCGACCCGTGAGCTGCTAGTGCTTCAGCAATGGAGACACGCTTACGTTCACCACCAGAGACACCTCTGATGAAATCGTTCCCTACTTTAGTGTTATAAGTGTGTCTTAAACCGAAGATAGTAGCGTATAATTCTCTTGTTGAAGCGATATACTCACTTCTGGATATATTATTGACTCTCTTTGCGGGAGTCTTACAAGCGATGGCGAAATCCAAAGTTTGTTGGACAGTTAAATGAGGGAAATGAACGTCCAATTCACCGTTGTAGATAACATCAGCTTTAAAATGTTTCATCATTTCGTTCTGTGGGATACCATCGTAAGAGACTTCACCTTCTGTTCCGCCGGCAAATTGATCGATTTCACCAGCTGTGACTTTTAAGAAAGAGGAGCAACCTGCACCTGGTCTACCTAACACCAGGACCATTTCACCTGGTTTTGCCAAAGCATTAACGTTTTGTAAAATCTTTTTCATCTTCGTGCCTCTCTTGGCTCTTATTCCTTTGTATATGGTGTAAGGCAAGCATAGGATATTACCGAACGTAGCGCCTTCTAAAGCCGAGGAATCTAACCCTTGACAACCGATATCCTCTAGGATCACCCCAGCTTTACGAATATGGATATTTTGTTCGTTGGCGTCTCTCACAAACGAAGCGAAGATTTCACGAGCATTGAACCCCTCAGTCTCGACAGAATTTAAATCCAGGGATCCGTTTCTAGTAGTATGTTTAGATAGTTTATCAGCTAACGATTCCACTTTTGAGGCTACATCATCTGCCATAGTGAATTTCCTTTGGTGTAAAGAATTGACGTCTTCATTTGGATTTGTTAGCATTCTGGTCAGTCTATCGGCTTGAGTGTCGTCTTCTCTAAACGATTGGAAAGTAGGAGCTTGCGATACGACATCGGCATTAGCGTTGTTGTTAATATTACGAATAGCAGTACCGTCGAATGCAATTTCAGATTCAGGAATCGAATTCGACCCACTGTCTGAATGGTAGTTATTGTTACCAGACATTCTTAATTGTGTTATTGCCCTTGTTCTAATAAATGAATAAATAAATAAACTATATAGCCAGACAGCAATTGAAAGTAGAACCGAAAATATATATAAGATTTACTATTTCATCAACCCTCTATATATACTGGTATATATATATATATATATCAGTATGCAATGACTTGTTATCCAAAATAAGACTAGATATGTGAAACATTGCAAGTCCCTTAGTATCGCAGACTATTTACCTGATTATTACTAAGATATTGCAATATTGCAGATGCGATCGATGTGTGGTCTCCCTGTGTCTTCTTAGTTGTTTATCTATCATTCTCACCTCTGAGTGAAATTTTGCATCCGTTTGTCCCTTGTCTCTTATGTAAGATGGCCGTCGCCCTGCGGCCGCGTCTGACCCATCGAAAAAGAAAGGAGAACTGAAAATTTTCATGTTGCGTTTATATCCACGGAAATAACAGGACTGAGATTCCCTTGTGCTGGCGGTGCTGGCGGCGGTGAGTCGCACTTTTGGCAACGAGAAGAAACGCTGCCTGCGTGCGTGCGAGGGAGGATTGCTCTGCGAGTTTCTCCGGATGTCGGAAACCAAAATTCGGCCGAGACAGTCTGAGCTGCTGCTGGTGCCGGTGGAGGTGTTGTTGTTGGTACTGCCATCGTGGCTGAAGCCACACACGCTTCGTTGTGACACACACGGTTTGCGTGTTTGCGTGTTTGGGACAGTGGTTCGTGCGTGTCCCGCCCCATTCCGCATTCCGCATTCCGCACAGTCATGGGCAAATATCCGCGGCTTTCTCTTTCTTTCTTTTTTGCGTGCAGTGCGTAACAACGCTCATTGCCATGGCGAATTGTGTATTTGTATTCATGGGGACTACTACGAAGATAACGACGATGACGATGTGGTCGAGCTGTCAACACGCTGGGGACATGTTACGTGATAATCACCTGTGAGCTTGTCACCGCCGGAAGCGGAAAATGATAGATTGGGCAGAGAGGGTGCACTAATAATAATTATATTCTGTATATATATCTATATAAAGTATGCGTGTTAGCATTCAAATATACAACTACCAGGTGCAGCTTTTGATACAATTATAGCATTATCTAGCACTTCTTGCGTAATGTTCGGGTATTGCAATTTGTAATATTGCTCGATTAACGCATTTTTCACATGTTCAACATTACAGCCATTCGGACCATTGGGCACTAAATGAACCGTTGATCCACCCCAGCCGGCCCCGGTTAATCGAGACCCGTACGAGCCATTGTTCAGCGCAATCTCGCAGAGCTTGTCGATCTCAACACTGGAACATTCATACAGTTCATCACAGGATCGTTGGGATCCATTCATCAGCTCGCCAAACTGATGATAAAACGTGTAATTGTTGGTCTTTGTCTGCTCGTTCGTCTCCTCGAATAATTGTAACGTCTTGATGACACGTAACGCCTCAGAATAGACATGTTTCGCACGCTTGTATATTTTCAACATCTGAAACCGGATGGGAAACAGCATCAAGTATTCGCGAGTGAACTCTTCCTTCGAGCATTCAAGCGCTTTCGAGACTTCGTCGGCTGTATGCCCGTTTTTCTTATCTCCAAGACATTCTTCCGTTAATTGCAACATCAACTCCAATTGATTGATTCGGGACTCTATACTATCATTGATCTCAAACTTCACTTGTGATCGATGCAACCCTAGATATGCATTCATAAAATCTCTTAAATTGCCCTTCCGAATATTCGAACTTAAATCATAATTCATAACAACTCCATAATGCATAGCTAAAATATTAGCCGCAATAATCACTTCAACTACTCTTAAATTATAATTCGTAGACGCCGTATCATATTTATTCACTTCAACTAATGTATCAGCTACAATAAATTCAATGTCCCAATCGAGACTCATGGTTGGGAATTGGATCGGGGTGGCTTTCAACTCAGGTTTAAACGATACACATAAGGCATGGCCTCGTTGACCGTATATTGAAGCAGCTTGGTCCATACCACCATTGTTAACACCCAAATAATGTTCCGCGACAGAGGTGATCCGTAACAGATCGGCTTTGGGTATTCTATACCCATGTCCCATATTCGCACGAATGATCCCTAACGTCACGGCACATATGATAGCAGACGACGATCCAAGTCCACTCCCCACTGGAACATCCCCTTGACAAAACACATCCATCCCATTCAACGGTTGGACATTATATTTCTCAGGACATATCTCTTTTAAATATAATTGCGCTACATATAACCCACATTTAAAATAATTAGACCAATCCGAGATCGAGGGATCGATATTTATTGGGGAACCATCTAATGGTAAATCAAACTTCCTACCTGCAAAACGTTGTTTATCCTTATTGGCTAATGTAATTGATGGATTGTTGTTCTCTTTTAAATCATGAACTTTGATAGCACATAACATATCTCTTTCAAGAGATAATGGTAACACTGAAAAATCTGCATAATCTATATGTTCACCAATTAAATTGACTCTCCCAGGAGAATGTGCTATAAAATCGGGCTTATACCCATATGTATCAATGAACGATGCAATAACTTTGGGACATTTGTCTACTAACGATACAGGTGCATTCTTTTCTTGAACGGCACTATCGTCGAGAATATTGTATTGAGGAACGAACATATTGTTCGTGGTATTACTAGTCATAGTTTGTTTTGGTTTTTTGTTTTGGTTTTTGTTTTTGGCTTTTATGTAAGTTGAACTTCGATGATGATCTAATAGGGGTATACTATATTTCTACTCCTACATATGCCTGTCGTTATTAACCTGAATTATTTTATTTATTACCCTGGCTCTCTGTTCTTTGTTCTTTCTCCCCCTTTCTGTTTTTGTTTTGTTTTTGTTTATGGTGTTCTCTCTTTCTTTGAGGGGAGAAAACTTTTTGAAATTTTTCAGTTGTCCTCGCAGGCAAAGTTTTGTTTTGTTTCGGTACTTCTCAAATTTGTCACGTGCTGGAAGACGTTTAAAGTAGTAAGTGCACACTCTTAATAGGATATATATGAATAAACAAAACAGTCAAACTATCGTTATTCCTAATGACTGTCTACCTTCATTGATACAGGGAGTTTGTTTCTGTTTTAAAATTTATTATGTACCTGGGTTTAACATATGGTTCTACAGTGATCTGTACTCAACATATGGATTTAATTATGACGATCATTATCAAACATATGTTAATAATAAGTATATGGTCAAGTTGTATAGTGGTAAACCCACTTTCAGACCTTTCAGACCTTGAGTTTTGTTTATAAAGCAAGTTTGTCAGGAGCACGAAAGTCCGAATTTAACCTTGACATCAGAGCCACCCGACCAGCATCTGATCCTTCTTCTCATTTATTTTTTGCAAAGGATATATGTATGTTTTTACTAAAACTCAACTGAGTCGGTGTCAACAGGGCCGGCAAGAGAGGGGAGGAGGGGCAAGAGAAGTAAGTGATAAATAAGGAAATCTGTTACAATGTGGGGCAAACGACCAGCTCCATGTGTTGTTTTATTTTTCTTTCTTGCTCTTGAAGGGCTTTATTCTCTTTGAAAGAGTTTGGCTTGCTTTGTTAATGCTCTTTCGGGGGCCACTGTCCCGCAATGTGGAGCTGATCCCATCAGAACACCCCGCACAGACGTAGCTGCACAACGCGAGTCGGATCACTGTTTCCCGAGGCAACAAGGATATTACCATAGCAGCTAATTTTTGCCTTATTCTTAAAACCATTATCTAAACTACTTCACAATATAAACATTTCAAACACTTATATATGTATATATATATAAGGCCAGTGTATTGTCCTTTCATAAATGTTTAGACAAGTCTTTTGTATTTATTGGTGTTATTGTCGTTCTCATAACATAGATTGATCAAATGCAATATTCTCAAACAAACGAGAATAATATCAATAAATATAAAAGAAGAAAAATGACTCAAGTTAAAACAGTTTTAGTCACAGGTGGTGCCGGTTACATTGGTTCCCATACTGTCGTCGAGTTGATTGAAAACGGCTATGAAGTCGTTGTTGTTGACGATTTATCCAACTCCTCGTACGATTCTATCTCTAGAATCGAAATTCTAACCAAACATCACGTCCCATTCTATCACGTTGATCTATGTGATCGTGAACATTTGGAACCAGTCTTCAAGGAACACAAGATTGATTCCGTGATCCATTTTGCTGGTTTGAAAGCCGTTGGTGAATCCACTCAAATTCCATTGAAATATTACCACAACAATATCTTAGGTACTTTGGTTCTATTAGAATTAATGAAGAAATACGATGTCGCTAAATTCGTCTTCTCTTCTTCTGCTACCGTTTACGGTGATGCCACTAGATTCCCAGACATGATTCCAATTCCAGAAGAATGTCCATTAGGTCCAACTAACCCATACGGTAACACTAAATTCACCATTGAAAAGATCTTGAACGATCTTTACAACTCTCAAACCGATAACTGGAAGTTTGCCATTCTACGTTACTTCAACCCAATCGGTGCTCATCCTTCTGGTTTGATTGGTGAAGATCCATTAGGTATTCCAAACAATCTATTACCATACATGGCTCAAGTCGCTTCTGGTAGACGTGAAAAATTAAACGTCTTTGGTAATGATTATGACAGTAGAGATGGTACTCCAATCAGAGATTACATTCATGTTGTCGATTTGGCTAAGGGTCACATTGCTGCTTTGAAATACTTAGACTCCTTTGAAACCACTAAGAAGACTGGTATCTGTCGTGAATGGAACTTAGGTTCTGGTAAGGGTTCTACTGTCCTTGAAGTCTACAGTGCCTTCTGCAAAGCTTGTGGTGAAGATATTCCATACGAAGTTACTGGTAGAAGAGCTGGTGACGTCTTAAACTTGACTGCTAAACCAGACAGAGCCAAGAAGGAATTGAAATGGCAAACTGAATTGACTGTCGATGACGCCTGTACAGATTTGCAAAAATGGAACACAGAAAATCCATTCGGTTATCAACTAAATGGTGTCGAAGTTAAATTTGCCACTCCAGAAAAGGAATATGACGCTAGATTCATCACTATTGGTGCTGGTACTAAATTTGCCGCTACTATTGCTAACATGGGTGCCACTTTAGTCGATTTGAAGGTCGATGGTCAATCTGTTGTTATTGGTTACGATGATGAAGCCAGTTATGCTGACCCAGAAGCTTGTTACTTAGGTGCTACTGTCGGTAGATACGCTAACAGAATCGCTCATGGTAAGTTCAACTTGAATGGTACTGATTATCAATTGACTATCAACAATGATGTCAACGCTAACCATTCTAGTATCTCCAGTTTCCATACTAAGAGATTCTTAGGTCCAATTGTTAAAAACCCAACTCAAGGTATTTACACTGCTGAATATATCCTAATGGACAAGGAATCCGATGGTGAATTACCAGGTGACTTTGAAGTTCACGTTACATACACTTTGAATGTCGAAGAAAAGACACTAGATATGGAATATGAAGGTAAGGTTCAAGGTAAAGCCACTCCAATCAACATGACTAACCACTCTTACTTCAACTTGAACAAAGTTAACAACCCATCCATTGAAGGTACTGAGATTTCTGTTATCTCTGATGATTGTATCGATGTTGATGAACATACCATTCCAACTGGTAAAGTTATCAAGAGAGAAATTGCCACTATTAGCTCTGGTAAGAGTACTATTCTAGGTAAAAATGAACCAAAATACGATTACAATTTCTTAGTTGATGCTTCCTCTTCTCCAAAAGAAACTGACACAAGATCTCAAAAGTTGAACTTGGTTACTAAGGCATACCATCCAGAATCTAAGATCGGCCTAGAAGTTTATTCTACAGAACCATCCTACCAAATCTACACTGGTGATTGGTTAGCAGCTGGTTTTGCTCCTAGAGAAGGTTTTGCTGTTGAACCAGGTAGATATGTCAATGCTATCAATCAACCACAATGGAAGGACTGTGTTTCTTTGAACCCAGGTCAAACTTACGGTGCTAAGATTGTCTACAAATTCTCTTCCTAGATTGTTCAACTAGACAACAACGACAAAGAAGAAAAATAAAATTTAGAACGGTTTTTTTTGGTACCGAACAAATCCATAGTAATATACTTTTTTAATGTCCTATATATCCCTAATAATTAACTTTTCTTAATAACTTATACAAATAATAAAATGATTAATGAATATACTTTATAGTAAAAATAACATTTGTGCACTTTATTACGTAATAAAGTAGCACTGCCGGTCCTATAATCGTTCTAGTAATATCAAGAATTAAGACGACCCCTAATACATAACTGGTGAACCCTCAAAAGGAAAAAGAAACGGTACGGTAGGCATAATTTATAATTCTCGGATACTATCAATTCTGATTAAATGTGTCCTTGCTTTCTAAGAGCCGACTAGGAAAAACTAGTTGATTGGCTCTGTTTGATGGAGATACTTTACTAATATCTCTAAAGTGACTTGTAACTTGCTTCCTCTACTTGAGTAACAAAAAAGCACCGGTAAGGACGAATCCCCATGTTCTTAATGATCTGTTGATGCATTCCTATGATCTTTCATTAGTATCCATTGCTGCTAGAAGTCCGTTAAGGATCATTACGTAAAAGAATCTTACAGTGCGCTTCCTTCGGCTCCTCGACGGCAATTATTCACTCTCTGCTCCTTGATTCTTCGTATTCCGTTTCACCGACCGATCGTTGAGCCAAAGGATTATAACGCCGCACCGTGAAAAATTTCGATGAGACTTACCTAATCTCTTCTCATTGCGATGGATGCCACATATTAATAACAACATTATTACGCAATCCAATAAAGGGATTACGTTAGGGGAGAAACCATTAAAGTAGAGTTGAATATTTGTTTTTAGAAAAGTTGAGAAATTAGGAAAAATATGTATAATATAAATAGGTCATCAATTTGAGTTGTAGATGAAGAATCTTATTTTAGTTTTTATCCCTTGTTTTGTATTGAAATATATAAATCACTAACAAACCAAAAGTTAAAAAAACAATCCAATAAACATAAATAAATAAATTAATTAATTAAAAAATATGCCTTTCGTCAAAGATTTCACTCCAGTTGCTTTAAATGATACCAACTTATTCAAGCCTATCAAGGTTGGTACCAATGAATTGCAAAACAGAATTGTCATGCCTCCATTGACTAGAATGAGAGCTACTCATCCAGGTAATGTTCCAAACAAAGAATGGGCCACTGAATACTACAATCAACGTTCTCAGGCTCCAGGTACGATGTTGATCACTGAAGGTACTTTTATTTCACCACAGGCAGGTGGTTATGATAACGCTCCTGGTATTTGGTCCAATGAGCAAGTTACCGAATGGAAAAAGATTTTCGCTAAGGTTCACAGCAACAAATCATTTATTTGGGTTCAATTATGGGCTCTAGGTAGAGCATCATATGCTGATACCTTGGCTAGAGATGGTTTACGTTACGATTCTGCCTCCGATGGTGTCTATATGGATGATGAATCAAAGGAAAAAGCTGAAAAGTCTAAAAATCCTCAGCATGGTATTACAAAGGATGAAATAAAACAATATATTAAGGAATATATTCAAGCAGCTAAAAATTCTTTAGCTGCTGGTGCAGATGGTGTTGAAATTCATTCTGCAAACGGTTACTTGTTAAACCAATTCTTGGATCCAATGTCCAATCACAGAACTGATGAATATGGTGGATCTATTGAAAACAGATCTAGATTTGCACTAGAGGTTGTCGACGCCTTGGTTGATGCTATCGGTGAAGATAAAGTAGGTATTAGATTCTCACCATATGGTACCTTTGGTAACTTGTCTGGTGGTGCCGAACCTTTAATCGTCGCACAATACGCTCATGTTATTGGTGAACTAGAAAAGAGAGCTAGAGCAGGTAAACGTTTAGCTTATATTCATTTGGTTGAACCTCGTGTCACTAATCCTTTCATGACAGAAGGTACAGGTGAGTACGATGAAGGTACTAACGATTTCGTTTACTCTATCTGGAAAGGTTTAATTATTAGAGCTGGTAATTTGGCCCTTCACCCAGAAATTGCTAGAGAGTTAGTCAAGGATGAACGTACTCTATTGGCATATGGTAGATTCTTTATTGCTAATCCAGATTTGGTAGCAAGATTACAAAAGGGTCTGCCATTGAATAAATACAACAGAGATAGGTTTTATGCAATGACATCTGAAGGTTATTTGGATTATCCAACTTATGATGAAGCCATTGCTTTGGGGTGGGACAAACAATAGAAGAAATAGTAGTTATTTAAATATAATATTGTGACATTGTTTGCCTCATTTTTTAATATGTACACACATAATTACATTTAATATGGAATATATATTTAATAATAATAAAAATAATAAGTACATTGATTTTAAAATTGTTTCGAATCCATGTCTTTGTTGATAAATAATGGTACACTGCATATGTTATATAACTTTGATTAAATTAATTATTAGATTATTAGCTAGATATTTTTTTTTTTAAGAATAATATTACAAAAGGAACTTTCAATCTATAACAGAGAAAGAAATATTGGCAAAAAAATAAATATTATACAACAAAAAAAGAGAAATCACACTCAAAATGAATCACTTAATTATTTTTTAGTCAGGCTATAAATTTCTCAATTTTTTTTTTCTATGAGGAAGCCTTATTTTGTTTTCTATGTCGACTTTATTCTTAGTCTTTTGGAAGCAATTCTTTTTTCTTTTCTTTTTCTCTTCTTTTCTAGGACAGCCAATGGGGTTTCCAGACAGTCTACTTGTTGGGAATTCCAGTGATGTAATCTTCTTAGATGTTTTACAAGGTGATCCTTTCTTTTAAACCTTTTAATACATTCTGGACAAGCCCATGGTCTTTCTTCCGAATGGACAGTATCAGTATGCCTGTCTAGGTGTGCTTCGCTTTGACACATTCTTTGACAATCCACACAACAGACAGGTTTCTGCTGTTTGGCATCAACTTTTTCACCTCTATTATTAACCAAGTTTAGAATGTACACCGTCTTTGCAGGATTTTCTTGTGATATGATCCCTTCTTCAGCCATTTGCGAAGCTTGTCTAGCATCAAATTTTTGTATAGCTTCTTCAACTGCTTGTATAATCAAATCAGCCTCAGAAACGTATTTAACAGTCTCCCCATTTTCTTTGATACCATTTTGTTGTTGTATAATTAATGAAGAAGAAGTTGGAACCGAAAAGTCACCTTCTTCACTATCAACTCTATCTTTTTGAGCTATGGTACCAGAAGATTCTTCGATATTGTTGTAAACCTCATTCTGATTGGTTTCTTCAGGAATGTTGTTATTACTACTGTCACTATTATTATTGTTGTTATCGGTATTTGATTGAAACAATATATCTGTATTTAGCATACTTTCTATTAAGTTAGAATCATATAAATTGTTAATTATTGGTTCAAAATTGGTAGCACCATCATCATATGGTAAAACTGGAGTCGTAGCAAAATGATCTTTAAAGTTAAGTTCCACATTGAAGCCTGTTAAAAATTGAGACTCATTTGAAGAAGAATAACTCAAAGGGTCAAACTGAAACTCCATTAGAAATAAATTGCTTAGAAGTTGATTGTTTTAATGTATATAATAATAGTAATATTAATTGTTATTATTGATATTATTGGTTGGTATTTTTTTTTACTGAAGGAACATATAATGAAGAGTGTAAAGCAATAATGACAATTAAATTTTAAATAACTGGAACCTGCCCATACTTTTATATCAATTATAATGTATTATTTGGAGCCTTTATTACCCATTCTACTAATTTGAAAAGGTGTCTTTTGTATAATAAATCACTTCCCAATTTCTAAAAGGTGCTCTGAAGTAAAGTTTCATAGTATCATTAGGGGAATACCATAAAATCTGACTAGGTATTCTTATTTTTTTAAGAATAAATCTAATACCCATTACCTTTTAATAAGCGCTATGTATGAGAAATGACTTATTATTATTTTACCCACAAGACGATTCTAGGTAGTCATCGACTAAAATTTACAGTAGACAATAAAATCTAATTTCGGTAGCACACTATATTGAATATACCGAAAGAGTATAATTAGTGATTGATCAATGGATCTATGAGAGCTGTTTTTATAAACCATTATACATCACTTAAGTCATATCTCAAAAAAATTAAAAAATAAATTGTAAGATGGGAGGAAGAGACTAGGAAAAGGTGATACGAGGTATTATTAATTAGGGTATCTTATTTTTAACTACTCATCACTTTGTATCCTCGTATACCATTCTGTAAGAGAACTTAATCATAGTTATTTTGCCTTAATCTTTACCCATCAGGATTGGGGTGTTTTTTCTCAGGGTCTGTCTGGCAAATAAAGAATCATTATTTTATCATTTGTGACACTTCATTTTTCTTGCAGGATATACGGCGCATCTAAGCAAGCGCATAAAAAGTACATATTTTTAATACTTATTAGACGAAGATAGACACCAGCCACATGTTAAATACCAAATAACGGGACCATTATTTACTTATAATGTTGTTTTATGTAAGGGTGTAAGTGGAAAAATTTATGTTAGAATTTTTGCCTCAACATATTATGAAACAGGAATGTTACTGAGATTCTTTTTGGAATATATTTTCTTTCAATGGTAAAATAACATAGTTATTAATAAATAAATGGCCTCATAACTAGGTAACCTTTCATATTCACATATCAAAACAGTCTCGTAAGTATTATTGGTAGTATTATATTCATTCCACCATTCAAATCTTGTTCCACCCCTACCAAATAATATGCACAACTCCAGAGGTAGAATACAGAACATTGTAATGTCCTTAGAATTGTTATCTTGAAATTATATTTCTCATTTCTTTTATTTAATTATATTTGCAAATTTTCAAATTGACTGGGGTTTATTTTTACCATGATCATCACACAAACTCCGATCAGAAGACAACTTATTTTCATTTTCATAGGACTTCATTAATAAATGCATTTTGTTCTCCAAAGTTATTACAGGTGATTACACGTAGAAAATATAGTCTATTCCTTTAAACAATTGATAATTTCTTCCTGAAGCTATATAAATTGCAGAAATAATTGCTCTAAACGACTTTAAAGTATTTATACATAAGGAAGCAAAGTTTAGCAACTTAGTTCCCATTGTGGTGTATTTAGACTGTTATAAAACTTATGTTGTTACCTTTTTTATTTGAATTCAGGAATGCTCCATTGATATGTTCGAGAAAGCTATATTCCACCGAAGACAAATGGAATCCAAAAAAATGAAATATGAGATTTGAAAATTATCGGTTCATGAATTACTATTTATATTATACGTAATTAGTCAAAGATACTCCCATTATTGACATACTTAGAACTATGCAAGTGTTTTGAGTTTACCAGTCAATTTCATTTGGGTCTATAACAATAGAGAGATTGTTTATACTTGCATTCCTTATAAAATGTTCTGTACCTTCGAAGTCCAACCTGAAATAAGGGTAAAATGAATGAAGTACCTAATACCAGTATCATATACATTATTTTCCGGGGCGTACTATAATTCATGACGCCTAGATTGAATATTTATTTTTATTAGATAAAGAACCCCTGTTCTTAATGGTTCAATTGCTCTCACTTTTTATTAGAGGTACCTGATACGAAATTTTGAAGTCAACACTTGATTTTTAAACTAAACGACATCCTTTTTTCATCCCTCATAAGCATTACTCCTGAGCTGAAGCTAGTATAGTAGAGTTAGGTCTTGATTAGTTAATTATACTAAGTGCTATGCAGAGAGGTATAGGTAGTGTAAACGTAAGTTTAAATCGAGAAGATACGATTAGTATTCGAGTTGAAATTATCGGATATAGTTATAGATATTCAAATGTATAATCTTGTGGTTTATTTTATGTTATATATGACAGAAATTATGTGGAATTGAGATATCTAAAATGTCCAAATAGGAATGAAGAATTACGTAATAATTAGGTAATAACATTCCCATTAATTAGTAATTTATTACCTAATAATTTCATTACGTAAAAATTAGGTAATAATGGTTTTTACTTAATAATTCATTAGGTAATATTTTATTAAGAAAGAATTAGAGAAACAGTTTTTTAAGAAAATAAATAATATATAAAGACA